TCTGGAGAATTCATGTTTCTTGAATCGAATCATTTTATTTATTTGCTTTGAAACTTTTTTTTACTTGACACAATGCCGGTGTTCTTGATCCAAGAAAATATTTTTCTTCAAATGTATATGCAACTTAAATATCAGTTTTTGAAAACTGTCCATTGAGGCTAGGATGGCATAGTGGTAGCGTGACGGCTTCTGGCGCGTGCAACCCGAGTTCAATTCCTCCGACCGTGGAAAATTTTCTTTCAAGGTATATTTGTTGTATTTGTGTTAAGTATTAATTAAATGTAAATATGTATGTAAAATAACAATTAATTATTTAAATAAAAAATATAAATGTTAATTAATTAAATAATAAAAATGTTTGACCTAAGTATTAGAAAAGATGGGATGGGGGTAAGGGGGAGGGGGGTAATTTAAGTAAATAATTTACTTGTATTGAGAAAGTATTTTTTTGATTGAAATCTATAAATTTTCTCAAATCAAGAAAATATTTTCTCGGACAGAGAACATACTTTCTAGATTTGATACATAAATGATTTTGAATTAATATATTCTGCATTTCTTACATGCTACTTAATTTCTTGATCGAATTCCATATTTTCTTGGATCAAGAATATCTGCGTTTTCTCACAAAATAAATGTTTTCTTCATTTAAATCTTGAATTACTTGAACGAATGTTACAAAAAATTGAATGAATCAAATAAAATAATTCAATCATCTATATATATTCTTAGACCAAGAAAATATTTTATTCATTTAATACATTTTATATTTCGTACAAGTAGATTAACTTCTTGGTCGAATTCCATATTTTCTTGGATCAAGAATATCTGTTCTTCTCACAAAATAAATGTTTTCTTCATTTAAATCTTGAATTACTTGAACGAATGTTACAAAAAATTGAATGAATCAAATAAAATAATTCAATCATCTATATATATTCTTAGACCAAGAAAATATTTTATTCATTTAATACATTTTATATTTCGTACAAGTAGATTAACTTCTTGGTCGAATTCCATATTTTCTTGGATCAAGAATATCTGTTCTTCTCACAAAATAAATGTTTTCTTCATTTAAATCTTGAATTACTCGAACGAACGTTACAAAAAATTGAATAAATCAAATAAAATAATTCAATTAACTATATATATTCTTAGAACAAGAAAATATTTTATTAATTTAATACATTTCATATTTCGTATAAGAAGATTAACTTCTTGGTCGAATTCCATATTTTCTTGGATCAAGAATATATGTTCTTCTCCCAAATATCCTATGTCAAGAAAATCGTTTTCTTGAATCAATACTTTAATAGTCTTGGCCGTATTCAATCCCACGATTTGCTTCAACCAAGAAAAATTTTCTTGGTTCAATACTATTTTTTTTTCAGTGTATGAATTTTTCAAAATTTTACGTTTTGAAAAAAAATTTTTTTTTGAATGCTCATAACTTCTACAAATGTGGATCAATTTTAAACTTTCTTATATGAAAATTGTTTGTTTTTTCCTGAACTTTTCGAAAATTTTATGAAAAAAATAAAAAAAAAATTTTTCATTGCATTTTAAAAAATTTTTAGATTAAAATTTAATTTTTAAATCTGTTTGTATCCTTCGATTTTTTTAAAAAAATTAAAAAAAAACTACTTCCTTTTACGCAAATTTTAAGCCCTGTCCCGTCGTGGGAAAATGATTTTTACTATTTTTTCAGAATTTTTTTAAATTATCAAAATTTAGTATTTACTCATTCAGCCGCTGCATGGCACTGCCCTGCGCAGCGCAGCGATTTTTCAGCATTAGGTTTTGTCTAATATATTATTTCAATGAAACTACGATTCTTTAAAACATACAGTGACACGAAAAAATAAATTGTTATTAATCGAGTGATACATGGGTAAGAATTCCTGAAGTGGGCACCTATTTTTCATTCGGTCTGTGGATTTTTCTCATTCTTATATGTTTCGATAGCCTATGATGTTATAATAAAAACCTGTGAATAGTTTTCCGAAATTCGAATATTTGCCAAAGTTATTCAAGGTCAAAGTTATTTGTAGCGTTTTAGTAAATAGCTAATTACTAAAACGCTACAAATAACTTTGACCTTGAATAACTTTGGCAAATATTCGAATTTCGATCGGATGAACCGATATATCGGTTCATCCGATCGCGAGTAATTAGCTATTTACTAAAACGCTACAAATAACTTTGACCTTGAATAACTTTGGCAAATATTCGAATTTCGATCGGATGAACCGATATATCGGTTCATCCGATCGCGAGTAATTAGCTATTTACTAAAACGCTACAAATAACTTTGACCTTGAATAACTTTGGCAAATATTCGAATTTCGGAAAACTATTTACAGGTTTTTATTATAACATCATAGGCTATCGAAACATATAGGAATAAGAAAAATCCACCGACCCAATGAAAAATAGGTGCCCACTTCAGGAATTCTTACCCATGTATCACTCGATTATTAACAATTTATTTTTTCGTGTCACTGTATGTTTTAAAGAATCGTAGTTTCATTGAAATAATATATTAGACAAAATCTAATGCTAGAAAATCGCTGCGCTGCGCAGGGCAGCGCCATGCAGCGGCTGAATGAGTAAATACTGAATTCCCAGTAAGAAGTAAGGAATTAATAAGAATTCGAAATTTTTAATTCTTTTGAATTCCGTTTGTGACCAATTCTTTTCATTTTCATTTGGAGAAGCCGAAAAGAAGGTAAGTTTATTCTTTTGAATACCGTTTTAATATTTTAAGCGGAAAAAAGATTTGACGGTTCGAAGATGTGAACCCTCAAGCTTCATTGTCGGAGACAAACAGCTTGTCCGCTCAGCTATTTAAACTGTACTATGACTACCGAATTTTAGAAGCACTTATCTCAAAGTGTTGCAAACTTCAAAGGAATTAAAATATTAAAACAGAATAGACAGGAATTGAACTTACCGAGTATCATACAGTATTCCGGAATTCACAAAAATTTAAAAATTAAAGAAATATTAAAACGGAATTGATTGGAATTCACTTTCAAGAAATCTTTGACTCAAAAAGGAATACATAGGAATTGGACAGAAACGGAATTCAAAAAAATTGATAATTTAACATTTTCTGTAAAAAATTAAAAATGTCCAATTCTTCTCAATTCCATACTTCTTACTGGGTTTCGATAATTTAAAAAAATTCTGAAAAAATAGTAAAAATCATTTTCCCACGACGGGACAGGGCTTAAAATTTGCGTAGAAGGAAGTAGTTTTTTTTGAATTTTTAAAAAGAAAAATCGAAGGATACAAACAGATTTAAAAATTAAATTTTAATCTTACAATTTTTAAAAATGCAATAAAAAATTTTTTTAAAATTTTTTTCATAAAATTTTCGAAAAGTTCAGGAAAAAACAAATAATTTTCATATAAGAAAGTTTAAAATTGATCCACATTTGTAGAAGTTATGAGCATTCAAAAAAAATTTTTTTTCAAAACGTAAAATTTTGAAAAATTCATATCTTGTAAACGGCTGGGTAAAAAAATTTGAAAAAAATCGTAAAGCTCTTTTTCAACTAGTACTAAAAGATAAAAAATATTAAAGCCAAATCAAAAATGTGAATTTTTACGATATGTTGGTTTGGCGTGGAATATCTCATATACTATAGGGTGCCCTTAGTATTTGACCTGTAGGCTAAAAATAGGTCAAAATTGACCTAAATATAAATATACTACATTGGGCCCTTAGAATTAAATTGACCTATATATAAATATACTATAGTGGGCCGTTAGAATTAGACCTGTAGGTTAAAAATAAGTCAAAATTGACCTATTTTTTGACCTGGAGTTCTTTTAGTAGGATCTCTTTGACATCCTGTATGAGCGATGTTGAGCTTTTGAGTATATATTTGATTGTCATTCGATTGACATTTGATTTGAGTAATGACATTTGTAATTTGACATTTGAGTATACATTTGATTGACATTTCTCTGGACTTCACAGGCGACTTCAGCATCTTGCTGACCACTTCTTCCATTCTTGAAATGCACGCTGCCTCTTCCTCCCGCAGCTTAATGCATTCATCTTGATCTTTGTTAAGGTACTGCCACAGCTCTCTATTTACAGCTGCCTGCGCAGGCAGCCGGGCTCAATTAGGCGGCAGATTTAAATTAATATTTTCTTTTTAATTAAAATCATTATTAAAAATGAATAAAAAATAATTATTATTATAATTTTTATTATTATCTTCAATTTAATTTAATTTCTACAATTTAAAATAAAAAATTATTAATTTAATTTTAATATTAATTTAAATGTGCCGCCTAATTGAGCCCGGCTGCCTGCGCAGGCAACTGTAGATAGAGAGCTGTGGCAGTACCTTTATAGTTAGTAATGTCATTCGCAGAAGCAATAGGTACGTTTTCGTTGCCTGTAAAGGCCTTTCTCCAATAGGTTTTAAAAAGTGTGCGAATGACTGCGTCTGCGTAATGTATGGTAAAATTACGTCACATCCGGCAAAGAGAACAGCATAGTGCAGGTTAGGTGTTAAAGTGTAAGAAGTGCAGGCAACGAAAACATACCTATTAGGTATGTTCTCGTTGCCTGCACTTCTTACACTTTAACACCTAACCTGCACTATTCTGTTCTCTTTGCCGGATGTGACGCAATTTTACCATACATTTCGCTACACTTTCTGCACCTACTCTTGAGGTGGTGTAAAAGTTACACTTAGTGCAGGCAACGAAAACATATCTATTACTAAAGACAGAAATGCAGCTAGCTTAACTTGTAACACTGCTCATGCATCCTCTTCTCTCCACCTGTCCACGATGATCTGTGGTACTTCCAACGCCCTGTTGCCCTCCTGTTTCCTTAGGCCACTATGCCCACCGTTCTTGCGCCAAGCACTTCTCGATCGGAACCATATAGTGAGGTATAACAAGCGTTGACAAAAGTTAAAATAATTAATCAATGTAATATTTAAATAAAAACGAAAATTTATATTTATTTCTAGATCTGCATTGACATTCGTTTCCAGTTACGATATGAGTTCAGATGAGCTTGGTAAGTATAGACATTATAAACAACATGATAAATTTGCAAAAATAAATAAGTTATATAATTATGCATTAATAGCAAGACTTCTAGAATATGCGATTGACATTAACCAAGATCCTTGTGAAAATTTTTATGACTACGTTTGTGGTAACTGGAATAACACTTTTATAAGACCTGAGCATTATGATGTTTGGGATAATGATGAAATATCAAAAGATAGTATGATCTATAAAATTAAAAGTAAGTCAAACAAAAGAATATTTTATGTTCTGTTGAGGAAGGGGGCCGTCCAAGAATTACGTAAGACATTTAGGGGGAGGGGGGGGGGTCAGCAAGATCTTACGAACAATAGGAAAAATGGCGCTAATGTATGTAAAATATCTTACGAGGGGGAGTGGGGGGGTCAAATTTTCCAAAAAATATCTTGTAATTTATGGACAGCCCCAAGGATTCCACGGGTATAAATCACAATTTTCCGTGAGATGATATCAATTTTGTTAAAAAAATTTAGGCATATTCTATAACTTCAAAAATACTCAAGTAGTTAAAATTTCATGTCCCCATCAGTAGGGACTTGAATTAAATTTTTATTTAATTTTTATATTTTTCATTGTTTTTTATTATAGCAGTTTTAGAAGATCAGCATAATTATATTAATAAGCAATTACTTTCAAAGGAAAAAGCATTCTATCATGCATGCATGGATACAGGTTAGTGTAAATAAATATTATAAGGATAATAATCCCTGTTTGGGGTCATTATTAAAATGTATTGCAGGTCATTCGTTTGAAGAAGGAAAAAGACTGTATAAAAATATGGTAAGAGAAAGTCAGAATGCTGGACCAGAGTGGCAAGATGTAGCTGAATATTATGCTAATAAAATTGGTGAAATCTCTCTTTTTCATATTACATTAGGTCCCCATAAAGAACTGCAAGTAAGATCTTGTTTTTCATATTTAAAGCAAAAAATTTTATGTTAAGTTTTGGTTATAATAAATATTTGTTTCGTGTTTACTGTATTTTCTAAAATATTTGTAAATTAAAATACAACTTTCATTTTTCTAGATTCTTAGACCATCTCAGACGATATCAAACAGTAAACCATATTCACAGATGCAAAGGTCATTCCTAGACATGTATTTAAACAGTAATGCCTCCTATATGTGGTATAATGATAAACAACCAAAAACTTCCAGCTTCAAAAGAACTTTTAAAAATTTTTTATCATCTATAAATAAGGTAAAATTACGATAAAATATAATTAAATAAGATAAGTAGTCAAATTTTAGGTTTTGATCTCCCAGTAAAAAAGGCAGAATTGGCAGTGATCGAATAGAATTGTCGGTTAGTTTCTGCCAATACGTTTTCGAGTGAAAACCGTATTGGGGGCATTCTGCCAATCCTGTCCTCTGAAACCTTTCGATTTCACGTTTATTGATCGACTCGACTGTGTACTGTTCATCTATTACCATAATGTGATTTAGGGAGCTTTCGACGTTCGCGCTGAGGGCGCTGTGAGTATAAGTCACATCGCTTATCTAGAAAATACTCTTAATCATATGGTAATGGACCAACAGTTTATCAAATTTCATTTATTAAAGCTGCGGTTACACCTCTGCAGGCTACCTGCCTGCGCAGGCAGGAGCAACGAGAGTAAGGGAGAAGTTTGAAGTCACTGACTCTCTTACTCTTGTACGTTACCATGACACAACCTGCAGGCAGGCAGGCTGCCTGCAGAGGTGTAACCGCAGCCTTACATTTTAACAAAATTTTATATTTCCTTTTCGTTATCAGCATTTTTACATATTAAATCAATCAGTCTTTTTGATTAAAATGCCAAATCGAGTTAATAAACGTGAAATCGAAAGATTCAAGAGGACATAATTGACTGCGTGAAAGCAGGATTATCAGAATGCCCCCAATACGGTTTTCACTCGAAAACATATTGGCAGAAACTCACCGCCAATTGTATTCGCTCACTGTCAATTCTGCCTTTTTTACTGGGCTTATAACTAAAATTTAATTTTGAAAATTAATTTCACAGCTGGTTTATAGTCAATCACTTCCATTGATTCCAGTCACTATTGAAAGATTTCAAAAAATGTATGAAGATACTTGTCCTTCATTGAACTCTGTAACTAAGGTAAATTTATAAAATACTTTCTGAACTGAAAATGATTTTTTTTACTTTTTCATATAAAAAATGCTTGTCTACATTCTAAATTTGAATTTGAGAATGTTTTGCCTTCTGTACAAATTAGTTTTTTTGTGGTTTTTTGACTTGATTATTGTTGTATTATGCTTGTCTGTTTATATTTATTAGATAGATTGGTTACAATTTCTTCAACAACTTTCGGGAGGTAATATTGGTACTCTTGAAACATCGCACGAGGTAGAAATTGATTGGTCGTATTTAAAACATTTATGTGAAATATTGAGTTCTGTACAACATAGCGTAATCGGTAATTGCATTTGATGAGGAATAAAATTTATTTTTCATTAGTAAAGTATATTTTTTTATTAATAAATAATTTTTCAGTTCGATATTTGCAGTACAATTTTGAAGCAAATGATGATGTAATGTACTTTACTTCAAAGAAGTTACAAAGAATGAATCATAAGGAAAGGTATAGAGAAAAAAGTTTCAATAAAAATTAAATTTGATAAATTATAAAAATGTAGCCTAATATTTTCTTCTGGCCGCAGGTTTTTATGAAATATTAATGAAAAATGTTTCTCTGTGCATGTGTTTTTCATTTCTTTATATATAATTAATAATTTTAATAAGAATCTTTCTTAAAATAGATCGTACTCTTGTATCTTGAAAATGCCATTAACAGAAGGGTATTATAATGTTCTGGCTCCCAAAGAATATATTTCTAGAAAGTTTTCTTTCGTAAGTTAAGATCAGAGTTAAAACATAGCGATTAATTAAAAAATTACATAATAATATTACAAATTTGAACGGAAGCTTTTTAAACTGAATTAACAGTAGCCACATAGCACCGAAGCTTTTCTAAAAATTTATTAAAGATTTACTTGCAAAGTTTAGTGAAAATTGAGTAAAGATTCAAATGTCCCACTTCAATAAATCTTTATCGGCAAATTTTTCTAAAAATTTAGCTTAAAACTTACCTGAACATTTAATTTAAATTTTCGACTTCTCTCTTACAAGCGAAAATGTAGTTTATAACTTTCCTGAAAATTTAAATTAAATTTTCGCTTATATACAGTACCTAGGCGAAATTTTTTTTTAAATTTTCAGGAAAGTTTCACGCAAAACATTTATTGAAGTGGGACATTTAAATCTTTAAACAATTTCTACTAAACTTTGCATGTGAATACTTCGAAGTTTGTAAGTAAAACTAATAAAATTTTTAGAAAAGTTTCGGTGCTTTGTGGGATATTGTAGTAGATACTAAGACTTTCGTATTACATCTATTTAAAATCTAATAATGATAAATAAATATTTATAATTTTATCACTGCAATAGTTACTACTAGTACTTAAAAAATTACAAATCGAATTGATAAAACAAATTGGTAATAGTTGGTTGGATGATGGCTTAAAAGAAAAAGCAATGCGTGTGGCGGGACAAATAAAGCTTTACCAAAGCAAAATGAATTTTCCTATTATAAAAAACGAGATAGAATTAACTTCATATACGGTGAAAATCAAATTTTGTATAAATTTAATACTAACAAATAGTAAATATTATAAATTTATTAAATACCTTAATATTTAAATTTTTACAGTTTGAAGTTACTCCTGTTGCTGTGCAAAATTGGCTCAATTATAAGAAAGCCCAAACAGTAAACAAATTCAATTTGTTTTTAGTTACCACAAAAGGAAATAGGTAAAAATATAAACTCAATGTCAATAAAAACTTTTGTCAACACAGACAATTCAAAAGTATAATATAACTTTTATCAATTTTTTTTTCCTAATATAAAAATATGATAAGTAGAATTTTGAAAACTAAAAATATTACTTATTTAATAAAAATGTATAGGTTAAATAGAAGAAGTAAGAGGGATATAGAAATGAATGCATTCTACATGAGTCGTGGAAATATAATGGGTAAGTTGAATCAGCAAAAAAAAGGCACGCAAAGAAAATAAAAAATATGTTTCTTTTATTTTAGTGATATCACTTGCATTCTTGTTTCCACCCTTGTTCTACTGGGATGCACCAGTGTAAGTTAATATTTAAGAAGAAAAATCATAAACATAATTCATATTTAATAATTAATTTCAATAGGGCTTACAACTTCGGAAGAATAGGATTTATAATAGGTCATGAAATTTCTCATGCTTTCGATTATACGCGTTTTTTACCAGAATTTGGATGTAAGTATATACGCTTATTAACTAATTCATATTCATATGAAACTTTAAACCCTATTGAAAGTACCCACATGGGATCTTACGTGGGTTCTTATACAAAAACCTGTATAAAATGCCAGTTTCCACGTAAGAATCCACATGGGATCCCGCATGTAAAAGCACATGTATATTTGGGACACGATTTGAAGCAGGAATTCATGTGGGTTATTTACATTTCGATGTGATAGAAAATAATAACCATTTCTATAAAATAATTAATTAAAAAAATTAATATTTTTAATAATAAATAATAATAATAAATAAAATAATTATTAAATAAATAAATTTATTATTTAATAAAAGTTAATAAATTTTTTTTTATTAATGGTTTTCTAATGGCTTAATGATTATTTAATTATTGGCCTAATAATGGGCCATTAATGGTTGCCAATTATTGGCATCGGCGTGAACAACCCACGATTTTACCATTAGTGGTCCATTATTGGGTGCCAATAATAAACCTAGAGAAAACCAATGGCTCTCAATATTGGGCCATTAATGCACCAATGGTAGACTAAGGCTGGAGTCCCATGGCAGCGTTTTGCGTTGCATTTTGTAATTAGGCAATGAGTGCAAATAGAGTAAACCTATATATCTGTATCTCTCTCACACTCATGGCCTAGTTACAAAGCGCTGTCATGGGACTCCAGCCTAATGGCTATTTCCCATTGGGTGATGATTTGACATGCTAATACAATTTATTATTTAATTTTTAATTAAATAATTTTTAATCCTTTGAAAATTCTCACAATGTATCCCTAATTTAATAACATATCAAATCTTTTGTGAAATCCTATGTGAAATCTTATATATGAAACATGAAAACCCATATGAAATCCTTTATGGAATTCTTTATGTATTCTCACATAAGAATTCATGTGGATTTTTATGTAGATACACAAACTCAAATTCCCACATGAATTCCTGCTTCAAATCGTGTCCCAAATATACATGTGCTTTTACATGGGATCCCATGTGGATTCTTACGTGGGATCTGGGATTTTATACAGGTTTTTGTATAAGAACCCACTTAAGATCCCATGTAGGATCCCATGTGGGTACTTTCAATAGAGAATAGAAGATTAGAAAGTTGGTTATAAAATTTAAATTAAACTTCTACTTAACCACATGGAAAGTTCCCCGAAGAAGTGATCCTTAACTATTGTAATTCTTGTTGCTATTCCGATGAAATCCTTCAATTATAATCTATTATTTTCAGATCAACCTCAAAATCTTGATCATTTCAATGAGATAATGACTAATAAATGGCAATGTTTTGAAAACCAATTCGACCAACTTAATGACGTAATTATTGTTCCCAATAAATAATTAATGTATAAATAAATGTTCTAAACTGAAGGAGTTAACGGTGTTGCGCAATTTCAAACAGTGATCGCCTTTTAAAAATGGCTGCTCAAATGTATACTTGATTTAAAAATGATTTTTCTCCCAATTCGGGCAGTTATTGGAAAATCGGAGAAAATACAAGATATCCTGAATATTTTATCCTTCATTTGCGCGCAAGAAGTGCTGCCCTCTGGTAGTAATTTTATGTATCGCGCATTTGTTTAACTTTTTCCTATTTTACTTTCTGTCGTTGTAAATCTAAACAAATCTTTTACTTCTTGCGCGCAAATGAAAGATAAAATATTCAGGATATCTTGTACTTTCTCCGATTTTGCAATAACTGCCCGAATTGGGAGAAAAATCATTTTCAAATCAAGTATACATTTGAGCAGCCATTTTTAAAAGGCGATCACTGCGGAACACCATTAATAGCTTATAATGAGTATACAGTACGAAAACCTACCACGTCAGTCATATCCTATGAGTGGGAGTGAGACAGACTTATGTACGGAAGCGCCTACCCGCCACCTCGAGGCACTGAGGCATAAACTAGTGGTAAAGCAGTTTTAGCGAGGCATACACGCATATAGGCCTGTAGGCCTACTTGCCTTTGTGCTTTGTTCATGTTTTGTTAGTGGACTGACAATTTTGACAAAGTTAAAATTATAAATATTCAATACTTTTCAAACAAAAATTTTAAATAGTTTTAACCTATTCGACACATTATAAGTGATATATGTAAAAAAATAAATATATTTTGTGAAATTTATTTGATTTCCTTTGCGACAAGGTAAGTTACATTATGCATAATTTTAAGGTTATGGTTGTGTTTGTTACATGTGATGAATTTTATTAATAATAATAATAATAATAATATTTATCATTATTTACATTTTCTATGTGATTCAATGTTTATATAAAAAAATTTAATTTGTTTACTCGACAAATGGTACGCCCTCGACAATTGATGCATTTATCCTACTTTTAAGTTTCTCTATTTCCAAAATGTATTTTAAAAATTTTTTGGTCAAATTAAAATTTTTTTCCTATTAAAAGTTTCACTTCTCAACAGAACACAACTTCATGTTATTGTTATATTGGAAAATTTTAATAATAAATTCCACATTCTACATACACTTTTTTCAATGAAAATGTAATTTTTCATAGTACATTAAAATAATAATAATAATAATTTAATCAATAATAAATAAAATTCATCACATGTAACAAACACAACCATAACCTTAAAATTATGCATAATGTAACTTACCTTGTCGCAAAGGAAATCAAATAAATTTCACAAAATATATTTATTTTTTTACATATATCACTTATAATGTGTCGAATAGGTTAAAACTATTTAAAATTTTTGTTTGAAAAGTATTGAATATTTATAATTTTAACTTTGTCAAAATTGTCAGTCCACTAACAAAACATGAACAAAGCACAAAGGCAAGTAGGCCTACAGGCCTATATGCGTGTATGCCTCGCTAAAACTGCTTTACCACTAGTTTATGCCTCAGTGCCTCGAGGTGGCGGGTAGGCGCTTCCGTACTTATGCGATTCCCATACTTTCCTATGACTGACGGATAGCTTTTCTTACTGTATATATATAGATGAATCTTCTAAAGGTATTTAAAATTTGGTAAACGGGGTTTGGTAAATGATCAAGAAATAATTTTATTTGAAATAAGTGTGTATTTAATTCTGTCGTGCCCCCGAGAAACCCAGCCAGTGAACTTTATTGAACATTGTTACACAGGGGTTTTTTGGAGTCGTTTATTACGAATCTAAAGTCAGATTTTCAAAATTCAAAATGACGGACATTTATTTCAAAATTGCTCAAATTTGTATATAATTTGTTACTTGGGGGGTTTCAGGATCGCTGATTACGAATCTGAAGTCAGATTTTCGAAATTCAAAATGGCAACCCTGAAAACCCCCGAGTTTCTATTAACTGAGGGTGCAGTCCCATGCTGAGCAGAAAACACAATGCAAAGCAGAATTTCGTGAGAGTGGAAAGGATAGTGATAATATCTGACTATCTCTCTCGCACTCACGAAATTCTGCTTTCCCTACTAAAAAAATAATAAGGAATCAAGACAACACATCAGAATTCTGATTATTCGTCAGATTTTCTGATGATTCTTCTTGACTCTGATAATTTGTCATTTCTCTGATTATTTCTGACAGAATTTTTAGTATGGATTTGATGTTTTGTGAGAACTCTATCAGCTTCTCACTTCACTTCACAAACCAGGCTGACCATACTTGATGCGTATCTTTTAATTTCTTAAAAATGAAGTTTCTTAGAATAAATTTTAGATATTTCGAATCATGAAATATCACAGATTTTAAATTTTTAAAATATAAACTTCAATTAGCTAAATTAAACAAATTTCAAGTCATAAGATTTTTGTTTAAAAAATCATAAACCTTCAGAACAATGCCTTTTTTTGCCCACTCGACTCAACTCAGTCACAATGACCAAATTGATACGCACCTTTCTTTAACAATAGATTTTCTGAATCTATTGTGATGATTTAAAAACAAGAATTTTATAACTTTAAAATTCTGCATTTTAACTAATTCAACTTTGTAACATAAAAATTTAGTATCTATGGTATTTTACGATTCCAAATATCTAACATTTTTTAAAAAAAACATTTGTTAAAATAAATTATAAGGTTTGGGTGATAATTAAAAAAAAGATTTTTAAAATAAATTTTAGATATTTGGAATCGTAAAATACCATAGATTCTAAATTTTTATGTTACAAAGTTGAATTAGTTAAAATGCAGAATTTTTAAGTTATAAAATTCTTGTTTTTAAATCATCACAATAGATTCGGAAAATCTATTGTTAAAGAAAGGTGCGTATCAATTTGGTCATTGTGACTGAGTTGAGTCGAGTGGGCAAAAAAAGGCAATGTTCTGAAGGTTTATGATTTTTTAAACAAAAATTTTATGACTTGAAATTTGTTTAATTTAACTAATTGAAGTTTATAATTTAAAAATTCAAAATCTGTGATATTTCATGATTCCAAATATCTAAAATTTATTCTCAGAAACTTCATTTTGAAGAAATTAAAAGATACGCTTCAAGTATGGTCAGCCTGGTTTGTGAAGTGAAGTGAGAAGCTGATAGAGTTCTCACAAAACATCAAATCCATTCTAAAAATTCTGTCAGAAATAATCAGAGAAATGACAAATTATCAGAGTCAAGAAGAAGCGTCTGAAAATCTGACGAATAATCAGAATTCTGATGTGTTGTCATGATTCCCCTACTAAAAATAAAATCACAAAACGACAGAAATTTAGTCAGAATCTTTGACGTTTTTAGGCTGCATTTGTTACGATTGCAGCCACAGAACGTCAGGCTTGAGTCATGTTTAATCAGAAAGCTTCAAAAGTAGTCAGGTTTTTTATACAAAGTCGACACCCTTTTTTACCTGCGGAAAAAGGTTAACTGACCGTCATAAAATTGAAGGGAAATCTTTTTATTTGTTTATATTCATATTTATTTAAACATTATACTTGTTTTTCATCGACTTAGAATTCATCTAACAATATGCTCTTATTATGCATGCAGTATATTCTTTAGAACTTAAATTCAAAAATGATATCCTTTTTTATTTAACAATTACGGTTTTCGAGATACGTTACAGTTTCCTTAAAAAAAAGGTTTTTTATAATAAATTTTAGATATTTGTAATTGCGTGGAGATTTCTAGATTTTGAATTTATATTCATTTTACTTGAAATTTTAAAATTGCAAAACTTTTGAGCAATAAAAATTAGGTTAGAGACCCGAACCTCGTAACAACCCTGGTAAAAATTTCGGACTAATTCCGGATTAAATACGGACAGATTAGTACGGATTAGTCCGAAAATTGTACGAATAAGGTCCGAAAATGATCCGCGCTAGTCTGATATCAATCCGAACAAAAACCTGAATTCGAAAACACTCCGGAGTAATCCTAAATGTCTACGAATTCAGTTCGTAATTAGTCCGCAACAATCCGAATTTATGGCCCGTGAAGAATACTTCTGAAATAAGTACGGAATTATCCGAAATCAATATGTAAAGAATACGGAATCAGTCCGCAACAATCCGAGTTTAATCTAGTTAAAAAACTTAATCCGCAAAATGTCCGGAGCAATCCGAACTCTGTAAGCAAGAAATCCGGTATTAGTCCGCAAAAATTTGAAATTAAGTGTGGCAAAATCCTATTCTGAAAGAAGTACGAAACAATCTAAAAGCTGTATGTAACGAATCCAAAAATTGTCTGCAACAATTGGGATTAAATCCAATTGAAAGACATAATCCGAAACAAATACGAAATAATCCGAAATATGTATGCTAAGAATTCAGTAATAGACAGCCACCCGAATCATATTACATCCCTGGTAAAAATTTCGCATTAATCCAAATTAAATGCTGGTAAATTAGTGTGGATTAGTCCGATAATTGTACGAAAATGATCCGCGTTAATCTAACATCAATCCGAGTGAAATTGTGAATCCTAAATTCGTCTGGAGTAATCTTAAATGTCTATGAATTATGTTCCTTAATTATTACGCAACAATTCGAAATTATGTCCGTCAAAAAACTCATCTAAAATAAATACGAAATAATCCGAAATCAATATGTGAAGAATACGAATTCAGTCCGCAATAATCCGAATTTAATCCAGTTAAAAGATTTAATCCGAAACAAGTATGGAACAATCCAAAATCTGTATGCAAAGAATCCGGTAATAGTCAGCATCAATCCGAATAATATATCTGATCAAAACACCACAGTCCGAAAATAAGTCTTATTATTATAAGAATTTGTAAATATATACAATCCACAGACAGTTCAAAACAATCCATATTCAATCCAATTCAAAGACATAATCCAGAATGAATTTGGTATAATATTGTATTTGTGTATTAAAAACAGATAAATTAAATAAATAAATGCAGATAAATTCAAACTATAATTATAATTTCGTAGGACAAAAACCAGATTAATTCCGGATTTAATAATTTCATATTTGCAAGTTGCGTATTATCAGACTAACTTCGGATTAGATCGGACTAATTCCGGATTCACTGGTTATACACAAACCGCATTGAGTTTGAATTTATCCGGACAAATTCCGAGCGACAAAAACCTGTCAATAAGCAGACTGTTTCGGATTAGATGCGGATTCACTGGTTAAACCAAGCGAATTACTTCTGCATTTACTAGTCGCATATGATCTGACTAACTGCAGACTAAACCGGACTAATTACGGATTCAATAGTTATAAAAAACGGTATTGATTTCAAACTTAATTCATGGTAAAAAAAACTTCACAATCCGTATACTGTTGCTGACAAATTCCGGATTAGTCCGAAATCGTTCCCACTTTTTATTCAGGGTATTTACTTATGGTAAATAAAATATTTAATTTTGCAGTCAATTTGTTTTTACAAATTTACTAGTATTATTAGTTATCTTGTTTCAATATTAAAATTAACACTGACTATGTGTTAGTTTCTTGTCATTTCTTTTCGTGGCACTTGATAAATTCTATTAAGAATTTGAACTCCCATGCGAGCGTGGTATAGTGGTTAGTGTATTCGATTTCGGTGCGTTATAATGTTAGATAGGTGTAGGTTCAAATCCCCAAGCGTTAGAAATTTTAAGTTAATGTAAATATAATTGCGATAGGTAAATCGAAAAATAAGTTGAATGTACCATAAAGTAATAATAATTAATATGTGTAACTTGTATAATTATTTTTTTATTAACATTCACTAAATTGTCCAGACTAATTTTTGACTGTTTCGGACTAATTCCGGATTCACTAGTTAAAATTGACTGATTAATTTCGGACTTCACCAAACCAAGTCCGGTTTCACTAGTTGTTCACAAACCGTATAGAGTTCGGATTTTTCCGGATCAATTTCGGGTGACAAAAACCTGACCATAAACCGCATTGTTTCGGACAAATTTCAGATTAGTTCGAAATCTGTCCGGTTTTTTAACCAGGGAATAGACCCGCAATTCTATTGTGAAAAAAGGGCTACGCACAAATTTCAAGTTTTAACGGTACTTTACTTTTACCGGCTATATTTCGGTGAAGGGCTGTAAATAAAAAAAAAGATTTCAATGCTCAATAATCACAATCCATAAACATCAGGATTTAACAGGAGCATAAAAAATCCTTTAGTCAGAATTAACCAAAAGCTTCAGGAATCGTCAAAGTAGTCACAAAACATCAAAATTTCTGACGTTCTCTCTTTATTTCTGATTTTATTTTTAGCAGGGTCCTCATTATTTTTTTAGTAGGGTGTGTGGTGTGTCGATGATTCGGATTCAGATTTTGCAAAAAGTGCTTGTGTGCAGAGAAAAACTCGTTCGAAAATGATTGTTTACCAATTTCACGTCATTGAAACCAGGCAGTACCGATCTTGTAGGGCGACAAGTGTAGGTCGCACATAACCTACAAATTTTAGAGACCACACCTAGAGAAATGATTTATTTGATTTAAATAAAATTTTTTTCAAACAAATAAAAAAGGATATTTGTCACAGAACCAACTAAACTTTTATTTAGCTCAAATAATATTTTTTATTTGAATTAATATATTTCGTTTAAATATCCATTTTTATTTAAATGAAAAAAATTTTATATTTTCTTTAAATATATTTTATATTTAGAGCAAATAAAAAACATTTTTCATTTTAATAAATCCTGTAAGCATTCTAAAATATTAAAATTCACTTATAACCTTCAAATAAATTTAACAATCACAATCACTAATAGAACTTTTAATATTCATTAAAATAAATGTTTATTTTTATAAGAATATTTGTTAAATAAAGTCAGATTTTCTTATTGTTAGTCATTTTACTTTACTTTTTCACTTCATATGTAAAAGTCCACTGTCACATTGTTCTCACAAAATCTCAAATAAGACACTAAAATGTAAATGAAATCACATACAAATCTGTTACTTTGTACTAATTAAAATTTTCACTTAAAAAGAAAAATTCTGTACTTAAATTAATTAAATTTGTTAACTATTTATGATGAATAAACCTCTTATACTTATACGCGTTAAACTGTTAAAAGCAAAACATCTTATTGTTTTACTATAGCAATGCAATATGCGCAGGCGTCTACTTATAAGTCAAACAAACATTTATTTGAATCCAATATATTTTTTATTTGCTACAAATATACTATTTCATAAACTGCAAATATATTTCTTTATTTTAGATTAATTAGTGCATTTATTTGAAATAAATATTAGTTTATTTATTTTAAATAAAATATTTATTTGCAACAAATAAATTTTTCTTAAATATACACTTTTAGTTAAAATAAATAACTTTTTTCTCTGGGTGCATCGAACGCATTGGATTTTTGCATTGAGCTTCAATGGGAAAATCGAATCGACTTTGACATCCCCTTAAGCCATCACTATATAAAGACTATTTTTTAAATTATAATTTAAAATATTAATATTTTTTTAAAAACAAAAATGTTGCTGTTCCTAAACACGAATATAGAATACCCTGTTTGAAAAATTTGATAGAAATGGAAAGAAAAAAATTTCTTTCCATTTCAATCTTGTACCCTATGGGAATCGAACCCCGCACCTATGACCTATCTATATCTAAACGCTTAACGACCGCGGCTATCGAATCGACGTGAGAAATATTTTTCGACCTGTCTATATAAACTACAACTTTGAAAAACGTAAGTTTATGTAAAATATTATAATTTTTGTAAGTACCTATAAAAATACAAGCAGAAATAAAAATATTTATAGAGATTTGCAATATATGCTATTATGTTAAAAATATTAATTAAATATTTAATAAATTTTTGCTCAAATGTCATTTGACCGCTTTGTAATTTTTTGCAAATATTTGCAAAAAATAACATTAAACGAAATAAAAAAATAAAAAACACAGCTCAACTGTGTTAAAAAAATTTCGTTGATTTTCTAAAATGTTAAAACTTTTATGAAAATCTGTAGTTCACAACAAAACAATAAAGGGGCGCATGATTATTCCCCAAATGTCATTTTTCCGAAATGTCATTTTATCGAACTGCACTTTTGCGAATACTTATTTTTGCGAAAAGCCAATTTTGCGAAATGTCACTTTTGCGAATTGTCATTTTTTCGAAAAGATATTTTTGCGAATTGTCATTTTTGCGAATCGACAGTTTTACGAATTGTCAATTTTCCGAAAAGTCATTTTTGCGAATCGCCATTTTTGCGAAAAGTCATTTTTACGAATTGTCACTTTTGCAAATTGTCATTTTTGCGAAAAGCTATTTTTGCGAATTGGCATTTTTGCGAATCGCCATTTTTACGAATTGTCAATTTTCCGAAAAGTCATTTTTGCGAATTGTCATTTTTGCGAAAATTCCTATAGTGAATCTATATATGCATACAAGTTTACTATAGGAATTTTCGCAAAAATGACTTTTCGGAAAATAATTGACAATTCGTAAAAATGGCGATTCGCAAAAATGCCAATTCGCAAAAATAGCTTTTCGCAAAAATGAAAATTCGTAAAAATGACTTTTCGCAAAAATGACTATTCGTAAAAGTGCAGTTCGGTAAAATGACATTTGGGGAATAATCATAAAATTTGATAGAATTTGTATCCAAACCTTTTGATAGAGAAATAATGGATTTTCATGTGGAAAGAATTTGATAGATATTCAATCAAAAATCATGGATAGAAAACTATAAGAATTTTCGACTCATAGAATTTGATAGAATTTGTATCCAAATCTTGGATAGAGAAATATTAGATTTTCATTTGGAAAGAATTTGATAGGTATTCAATCAAAACTCATGGATAGAGAATTATAAGATTTTTCGACTCATAGAATTTGATAGAATTCGTATCCAAACTCTTGATAGTAAAATATTGAATTTTAGTATATTATTAACTTTGATAGATAATACATCAAAACTTATGATCCCAGTAAGAAGTAAGGAATTAATAAGAATTCGAAATTTTTAATTCATTTGAATTCCGTTTGTGACCAATTCTTTTCATTTTCATTTGGAGAAGCCGAAAAGAAGCTAAGTTTATTCTTTTGAATACCGTTTTAATATTTTAAGCGGAAAAAAAAATTTGACGGTTCGAAGATTTGAACCCTCAATAAGCTTCATTGTCGGAGACAAACAGCTTGTCCGCTCAGCTATTTAAACTGTACTATGACTACCGAATTTCAGAAGCACTTATCTCAAAGTGTTGCAAACTTCAAAGGAATTAAAAAATTTAAAAATATTAAAACGGAATAGACAGGAATTGAACTTACCGAGTATCACACAGTATTTCGGAATTCACAAAAATTCAAAAATTAAAGAAATATTAAAACAGAATTGATTGGAATTCACTTTCAAGAAATCTTTGCCTCAAAAAGGAATACATAGGAATTGGACAGAAACGGAATTCAAGAAAATTGATAATTTAACATTTTCTGTAAAAAGTTAAAAATGTCCAATTCTTCTCAATTCCTTACTTCTTACTGGGATAGGAATGGATTTAATTTTCTACTTTGGATAGAAGTGGATTGGTTTTTCAATATTTGATTAAATTGGATTCGAATTTCAAGGAGTGAAGGAAGAAAATTCTATCAAATCCTATCCATTTTAATAATTTTTTTAAACAGGGTACTGGTGGAATGACAGCAAAAGAAAATTATGCTGATACACAAGGACTGAAATTGGCATTTAAAGCAATGAGACGATATTTTGAGGTATTTCCAGATGAAGAAACTCAGAAATTAGGATATCTCTATCGTATCGATGCAAACAAACTATTTTTCATAGCCTTTGCGAATGTGAATATCAATTTTCTACTCTTCAAAAAAGAAAACAGTTTAGAATATAATTTTAAATTTAATGTCGTTAAAACACTAATTGAAAGTCGCTATAAAGTATTTTTTTTATAAAACTAAAATGTTTTCTACTTGCAATATAATAAAAACTATTATATTAGTATATAAATTAATATACTTGTATAAGTAGAAATAAATACATTTATAAAAATTGTTTTAAAAATGTTGACAGAGATTTTGTGAAAGTAGAAAAGTTCCATATTCCAGCCAAACTCATTCACCAGCCATGATAAGAGTCATTGGAACTTTACAGAATATGAAGGAATTTGCAGAAACATTTAACTGTAAAATTGGGTCACCAATGAATCCTTTAAGGGAGAGATGTGATTTTTGGGAAGCAACAAATTGACAATCTCCGTAAATATAATGTATACCTTTGGATAAATTTTGAAAAAATTATCTTTATCTAAAGAATCTAATGCAATTTTGTTAGACAAGAATCAATAAAAAATATCTAAAAATCAAATCAATAAAGAAAAGGCTAATTTATTTTACTCTTGCGGCTAAATAAAATTTATCTAATGAATAATTCTCGGTACCTTATACTTTTTTTTTAAAATCAACTTTTCTATTTTTCAAATTACAAGTTTTCTAGTATACATATAGTCATAATAATATTACAGCTAGTTACTGTACATTTATCTCTTCAAATATTACAATTTTTTATTACTCACAAACTGTTATCAGTTTTTCCCCCTACTATTAAAAATAATTTTTTCAACTCAATAAATTTATTAATAGACGAATTTTATTGTCTATATTTCTAAAATAAAGAATTTTGTTTATTTGTACTTTTATAAAACAAAAATTTTCACAATCTTGTAAAATTTAATTATTTTCTTCTACCCTCAAAGTTAAACAAACACTTCAATTTTTTCTATTTCTGACAATAGTTTCTTTTTATGTTCAAAAATTAAAAAAATTACTCATCAAAATTTCAATTATCTTTATAAATAATAAAATTCTTCTCTGAAATTCAATGATTTTCAAAAAATTTAATAAAATTCTTGACAAGAATTGAGGCCTTGGATCCAATATCTCGCCCGACGCTCGGAGGAACGCGAAACTGCCAGTCAGTGGGCAGTGAGCGCCTCTGGGCCACTCACTGCTACCCGACTGGTATTAGCTCAATTAGCCTCAATTGAATTATTTTAATAAATTTTCCTCATTTCAATTATTTTTAATATTTACTATTTTAATAAAATTTTCCAAAATAATTCAATTATTTACACAAAATTTTAATAAAAATTTCACAGGAATCTAATTACTTACTTACCAATTTTTTATTTTTTAATGAAGTTTCTCGAAAGAATCCAAATATATTCAGAGAATTGAACAAAATTCTTTACAAGATTTAGTTAATAAAATTGCAATTTTAATAAAATTTTCCTATACAATTCAATTATTTGCAATACAATTTTTTACCACGCTTTTCCTCATTTCAAATTCCCTGACTTTTCCAGGTTTTCCAGGTTAAAAAACGGAGTTTTTCCAGGTTTTTAAAACTACATTTACAATATTTTAGGGGAGAGTGGGGCAAACCGGACCCCTCTCAATATTTCCGAAATGGCGAAATTGGAAAAAGTGTTGTTTACAAATTTAAAACAACCATGTTTAGTATACCTTATGTTTAATTATTCAATCTGACAGTTTTAGCTTGCGTTTGTGCGACGAAGGGAGCAAAAGTTTTTTTTTTAGTTTTTTTCTACACTTTTACGAATTTTTTCATTCTAAATTCAATAAGAATGATAAAAGTAAATAAAAATTTCATTTCTAAGAAGAATTTAAGGTTAACTTAAGAAGCAGTCAGAGAAGCAGGCGCAATGCGCCTATACATCATATAGGGTTTCGTGGCCTAAAATGACAAAAAAATAAATAAATAATAATTTATTTAGAAATTTTTTTTGTACTTAAAATTCAAAATTTTTTCGTATTGAGATTTGATAATTTTCTCTTTAGCAAAAGTTTAATTTTTCTGAGCAATTATTTTTTGTTTTAAAATATATTAAAACCATCAAATTAAGTTTTATGTGCATATCTTACTTACTGTTTATTATTTATTAATAACAATTACAATTTTATTAATAAAGTAACGAAATTCACTGACATTGACAATGAATGACAGTAGACCTTTCAACATGGAATAAATTACTGAAATTACTTAAAGCCCTAAGCACAACTGAGTCGGGTACGGGAGACGACTTCGGGATATGGGCTTCCTAACCTCAAAATGTATGTATCTTACATATCCCGTAACCGTCTCCCGCACCCAACTCAGTTGTGCTTAGGCCTTAACACAGAAACACAAATATAACTGCAATCTGGCTGTGACTGGTGTGAACGCGACAAGAAGACTATGGCTGTTTTCGAGGTTCACGCTGTCAGCGCTGAGAAAATAGAAAACGTGGTTGGTTGGGTTAGGGGAAAGGTGAATTTTGATTGGCTAAAATCTAAATTACTAGATTTCATGCTCGGTTTTCACGCTGTGTCATATTGAAATCAGCATCAAATTATAGCTCCAAATCTGGTAATTTATATTTTAGCCAATCAAAATTCACCTTTCCCCTAACCCAACCAACCACGTTTTTTATTTTCTCAGCGCTGACAGCGTGAACCTCGAAAACAGCCATAGTCTTCTTGGAACGCGAGTTCGATATTTGTCGCCATATTTTTTCGTCTGACCGAGGTGCAAATGCACCTTTAGGCATTGTAAACATACTTCACATACTTGTAAAAAAAAACAGCTTTATTTTGAAATCTGCGCATGCGCAGCCCGTTTTGTTACCACAGCTGAAGTTTCCATTCTATTGCGGTTTAGGGTTGTAAAGTTTCATGAAACTTTGGAAAATGAAATGTTTCATGAAAGTTTCAATGCTTCATGAAACATTTCAAAGTTTCAAGTTTTAAGCGGGAAATTTCAAATTCAATGCAAGAAAGTATAATAATTAACGCATATTATTATCGACAAAAACATGAAGTATTATTATTTACTTTAATATCTTTCTTTAATTTTTATAAATAAAATAAATAATTAAAAAATATATTAATAATTTAATTTTAAGTCACTCGTTAGAGGTAATATTTTAGGTAATTTTTAGTTAATATTAACATAACTACTCTCGTGTTTTCGGATGTAAACAAAAAATTTTCATTAAATTGTTTCGAGCTAACCTAAAATTTCTAGAGATTATCTAACCTGAACTGACAACTGCGCATGTGCAAATAAAGCTTAATTATTGGTTCTTCAATGTTTTATGAAATTAATGAAACTTTCGCTTATGAAACATTGAAACTTTCAAATGAAAGTTTCATTGTTTCAATGAAACGTTTCATCACTCACAACCCTAGTTATTTAAATGTTTTCATGTTTTCAACTGCCTCTTGTTTGTTCTGACAGTTGGCTAAGCCTCAAGTCATTTAAGAAGAAGAAGAAGAACTGCCTCTTGATTTACAATTCAAATGATATAAATTGTAATTAGATACTTATATAAAATAAGTACAAGTTAAAAAGTCTTGGTTTCTGTAATCCAAACATTGTAAAATGCCATCATTCGTTTAATGTCTCGTCACGGAAAATCGTCGAGTTTATAAAAGCGATAATGTTGATATTGCATTAATCATGGTTAGTATTTTTAATAGAAACTAATTTAATTATGTATTTATTATATAATAAATATATATCAGTTTTTATATATTTATAATTTATATCTCAGTTTCTATAAATAGATTTTGATAATAAATAAGTAATGTTAACAATGTCACAAAAGCTTGATCCGTAGTATTTTTTTGACATTTTTACACAACACATTTTAAATGCATGTGAATAAATATTTAGAATTAAATTTAATTATAAAGAATTAAGATGATATCAACTTATCAAAATTCAAATGTGTTCAATTTTGGCTTAGAATTGAAACAAATATAAATGTAAACAGATGATTCTCTTGAAAGAAATTGAAAACTGAAAGTTGAAAGACGAAATTAGTCTTGTATAAATTTAAAACTTATTAAACTAAAAGTTCGTGCTATTTAGATAATAAAACAATAAAAACTTTATTAAAATTAATTATTTAAACAAATTAAAGCAATAAAAAATATATCAAAAGCGTAATTAGAGGTTATGTTGCGCGCCATAATTAAAGCGCGTGCATTCAATATGGAAATAGATAATGTGGTCTCTACTGTATGTTTAAGATCAATTTACAAAATATTTTCAAATCTATGATATTATTATAAAGAAAAATGACGTTTAAATTTTTATTTAATATATAATTTATAGTCTGATTTTCACTCTCTTAAGAATATTCTTCTTTAATTTTAACAAAAAATTCGGGTGTTTTTCAGTTGTAAGAGAAGTATTATATATAAATATATTGTTCGCCTTTGAAAAAAAAATCTTTTATTTCAATTTTTTACTCTAAACTTTGAATTTTTATACCTATATAAGGATAGTTTTTTCGATTTAGAAAAAACAGGGTTATGGAGCACTTCTGACTTCATATTTGTTTTCAGCGAGCAAAAATACTATAAGACATGTATTTTATTTTTCAACTTTTATTTTTTTTGTGCCTGTGTAATGAAGGATAATTTATAAAATGATTATTGTTTTATAATTCACTATTTTAATATCAAAATTTCCACCAATAAATTGATATTTTGTAATAAATAAAAAATGTAAATAAAATAGTAACAAGTTATTAACACAAAAATTTCATACCTACCTTCAATAACTAAAGCAAATGCAGATGTTAATGATGAAAGTACCTCACTAATAATGTGAGAATTATAACATTTAGAAAAGCCAATGGGAAAAGTTATTTCTTTCTAAAATATAATTACTATGCAGTTGTACCTCAATTATCTGAACCTCTGTTATCCAAACTTTTTCACCACCTTAAACCCTAAATTTCATGTTTTTACATTTTTGGGTACATTGAGGCTACAGTTTCCAAATTTTTGTTATAGAATATTTAAGTGGAGCAGTGCTTCCTATTTGAGATTGCAAATCACCGCCAAAGTGACAGAAAAATATCTTCGAATCTTAATCTTCTATTTGCTACCATGGACCTTGCAAATGATTGCAACGACACTTCTGGAGACAGAATTAGAGATACACCTCTGCATTTGGCGATAAGGGAAAATCAGCCTGAGACATTCAATCTTCTTTTAGAGGAGAGTAACCTGAACGCAAGAAATCAAAATGGTGAAACATCACTTCACTATGCAGCTTTGCATAACCGCCCTGAATTCGCAAAGACACTTATAGATAATGGCGCCATTGTTAACGTTATCGACCTTTGTTCACGAACGCCACTTGATGTCGCCTTGGAGGTAGAAAACGTTAAAGTAGCAGAAGTTTTGTTTAAACATGGTGCTGTTTTAAGTGACTACGATTTGAAATACATGGGACCTCTTCGTTCCGCAGTTAGAAAAGGAAATTTGGAAATGGTAAAACTGCTCATGGCGAATGGATGTAACAAAGTCGATGTTCCAAAAGATGATGCCAGTTATATCGAATCTTCTCTTAAATTCGCAGTATCGTCCGATCGTTTGGACATTCTAGAATATCTCATGAAGAATGGGGTAAAAAGCAGCGCAACAGTTAATCAGGATAAATTACACTTATTTACAGCAATTGCTTCGGGCTACGGTAATTTGGCTACTTTAAAATGTTTAGTCGATCTTGGTTTTAAGACGAAAGCGGCAGATTCTGTATTTTATACTTCAATGTATATAAATATCCATGACGTGTGGCAGTATTTATTAAAATGTTTCTCGAAAATTAATGCAAAAACCTATTATAAAGAGAAGCAGATTCATTTTTCTATTCGAATGGGCCAAGTGGAATCTGTTACAACAATCGTAAACGAACCAAGAAATAAATATAAATTGAACGCTTTCGATAGACAATTGGCTGTTTACATTGCTGCTGAAAGTGGCAATGATGAAATACTAGAAATCCTTTTGAAAGCTCATTATCCTGTTGATAGTTTATTTAAGAAAACAAGTGCTTTACACGTTGCAGCAACATTCGAACACCCGAGACTAGTGAAACTGCTATTGGAAGCTGGAGCTGATGTTAATTTACAAACTGAAGATGGTCTCACTCCATTATATTTCGCAGCATGTGCAGCACAGCCAGCTGTAGTGAAATTCCTCCTTGAAAATGGTGCTGATCCCTCTAAACCCTCTAAATCCAGTGAATCACCGTTGCAAGCGGCTTTGAAGTTATATTCGTCCATAGTTTCTTTCAAACCAATTTCTCCATTAGTTTTTGAGAGTTTGGTGAAAGTGACGGAGACGCTAATTCGGTGTTCAAAAACTGAAAATGGTAAAGGCTTACTTCCATATGCAATTAGAATAAGAGTTTCAAATAACAATAATTCAAATCTGGAATCAAAGGAAATAATATCGGACCCATGTGATTCTGAATTTCGTCCTGAAATCATTAGATGCCTATTTAATTATCTAAGTGATGAATTAATTGAATATATTTCTGAAATAGTGGTAAATAAGTCGTTTCCAGTAGAACAGACACCGGCATTGTTTCACCTTCTGATGGAATATAATGATTTCAACTGGTGTTTTCATATCAGAATAGATGATGTGGAGAATAAGTACAAGTGCCAAGTGCTCCTAACTAGTTACTCTAGAAACATTGATAATCTTTTATATACTGCAAAGCACATTATCTTGTATAAGGATGGTAACATATACAAAGAGTTCGAAATAGATGGTCAAATAGTTTTTTTAAAGTTGATAGTCTCACGATTAGTTTTGTTGACTACTAATTGTTATCTACCTTTTATTGAATTTTGTTTAGAGAATGATCTTAATGATTGGCGAGAAAAGTGCTTGAAAGAGGAGGTGGACATGAAAAACACGAAAATTAATGAAAATATGATCGTTACTTTCTACGACGTATTAACGAAATCAACAAATGAAGTTGCAATGTACGCGAGCAATAATGATTTTTTAAAAGCAATCGAATCTTCTCTAACAAAATTTCCGATATATGCTGATTTTTTGAAGGTAAATGCCGAAATAGCAGAAAGAAGAAGAAATTTCATCAACGACTGTGTTAATTTAATGTTAAATTTGGTTCAAAACCGTCATAGAATTCGAATTTCTACAGCTGAAATCAATGGGATTTTCAAATATCTGTCAATTGTAGATTTGAGAAGATTTTCAGCAGCTTTTTGCTAAAATGTAATTTTAATACATTTAAGACAAAGATCAGTTTTTATGTATAATTTGTTGTGAATTTTCCTTCTACGATGAAGAAATTTTCATTTAAGGATTCCTTCTCATCAATGTTATAGAATATGGTTTAAATTTTATAAATAATTATTAATATAACATTAATTTTAGAGTTTAAATTTATAGACGTATATTGAGATTACACGGTAAACTAAGCTTTACGCTTTAAAACAATGTTTTGTACGTCGACACATTAACATTAACAAATTGAACGCTTTTTAAAAGTTTGTTTAAAATATTTTAATAATGTGACATTGAATAAAAAATCAGCTTTTTCATCCCTCAGTGAGTTCTTTATTTTTATATTCACTTATGACAACCTGTAAGTAATAATGCTTTTTATAAAATACTTTATTAAATAATACAGTATTTTTAGTTTTATCATTTATATACGCGATTTTAATATTTTAATATACTTTGCTCCGGGACTCCCATTTGTAATTGCATATTAAATACATTCATTTAGTATATATTTTCAAGTTCTACATAAATCTTATTTTTTAAATTTCAGAATTTTAGAAGTTTAATATTTTCGACTGCAATGAACGAAAAGCGATAGAATAGGAAATCAAAAGATACACGCAGATTAAATTAACAACATACAAATTAAACAAAATCATATTGATGTTATATTTTTACTATGCATGAAATTTAATGCAAATTTAAACCAAGTCAACAATTACTAACTACCTAACTAACAACCATTACTATCTTACTAACTTAATAACTAACTCACTAAGTTAGTAAGTTAGTAACTAAGCTAGTTAGTTAGATTGGTAGTTAGATTGTTAGTTAGTTAGTAGTATTTTATTAAATATTAAAATATGAAGTGTCGGAGTTTTCAAAATAATCAAAGCCATTCTATAAAATTATGTCGCAGACAAAATGAAAAAATTTATGAATTTTATCAGATTCATCATTATTTTTTTAGTACTGAACCCTTCCTCTTTAAGGAAGCAAAGAGGATTTATTTAAATAAGTGATACAAACTTTCTTATTTTTGTTACAGAATATTTAATTGGAGCTGTTTCTCCTATTCGGGAGTGTATAGATCACTATCAAAGCTTCAGTAAAGTGTATTTGGATCTAATTCTTCAATTCGGTGCCATGGCTAGTTCAAATGGTTACGGCGATACTTCTGACTACAATGAATTGTTTCTCGCAGTCCACAATGGAGAATTGAGTCGAGTTCATTCTCTGCTCGAGAAGTATTCGGCGACGGAAACGATTCGTGGCAGGACGTTGCTGCATGTGGCGACTGCAAGAGGACATTTAGAGATTGCAAAAATGTTCATCACTAAGCGAGACGGGGATGGTAATACACTGCTGCATTTGGCGATAAGCGAAAACCAGCCTGAGGCATTCAATCTTCTTTTAGAAGATAGTAACTTGAACGCAAGAAATCTCAAGGATGAGAGACCACTTCACTTTGCAGCTTTGCATAATCGCCCTGAATTCGCAAAGACACTTATAGACAATGACGCTTCTATTGGAGTGAAAGATAGTAAGGGAAAAACGCCACTTGATGTTGCATTGGCGAAAGGAAACGTTCAGGTAGCACAAGTTCTTTTTAAACATGGTGCGGTTTTAAGTGAGAACGATTTAAAAAATATGGAACCGCTTTGTAACGCAGTTAGGAGAGGAAATTTTGAAATGGTAAAGCTGCTCATTGCGAACGGATGTAGCACAGTCGATGTTCCAAATGATGATCGCAGTTATTTGGAATCTTCTCTTAAACTTGCAGTGTCATCTGGTCGTTTGGATATTCTTAAATATCTCGTGAAGAATGGTGTAAAAAGCATCGCAACAGTTAAGGAAGATAAACTAGGCTTATTTAGATCACTTATTCACCAAGGCAGTTTGGATACTTTAAAATGTTTAGTCGATATTGGTATTAAAGTAAAAAACTTAGATGACGTATTTAATGCTACATTTAATTTGTGTCGTCATGACATGTGGAAATATTTAGTAACAAGGTTGTCGAAACTTAGTGCAAAAACGTATTATAAAGAGAAGCAGCTTCATTTTTCTATTCGAACGGGCCAAGTGGAGACTGTCAAAGCAATGGTAAATGAACCATTAAACGCATATGAATCGAACACTTTCGCCAAAAAATTAGCCGTTTACACTGCCGTTGAAAGTGGCAGTGAAGAAATATTAGAAATTCTTCTAAACGCTCGTTATCCTGTCACTGGCAGTCTGTTTAAATGTATAAGTCCTCTTCACCTTGCAGCAACATTCGAGCACCCGAGACTAGTGAAACTGCTCTTGAAAGCAGGAGCTGATGTTAATTTACAAACTGATCATGGTCTCACTCCTTTACACTTCGCAGCAACTTCAGCGCAGCCAGCTGTAGTTAGATTTCTTCTAAATCATGGTGCTGATCCCTCTATAACCTCTAAATTTAATGAATCACCGTTGAAAGCGGCTTTGGAGGTTCATTCAGGCTCGTATTGTCCCATACCTGTAACTCCTTTAGTGTTTGATGGATTGGTAAAAGTGACGGATATGTTAATCCAATATTCGAATAGTAAAACTTATGAAGATTTATTTTATTACGCATCTAAAATAAGAGTTTCACCAAGTATCAATAACTCAAAGCCAGTGTCAAGAGAACTAATATCGACTGTAGGTGATTTTATATTTCGACCTGAAATTATTAGATGCATAACTAATTATCTAAGTGAAGAGGAAGTTAAAGATTTTTCTGAGACATTTTTATTTGAAGAAAGTGATTCATCTCTTTACCCACCAGAGTTGTTTCAACTTATGATGGAATTTAATGATTCAAAATCATGCTTTGATATAGAAATAAACACTCGGAATAAAAATAACAAGTGCCAATTGCTCTTAATTAATTACTCGAAAAACGTTAGTAATCTTTTACATACAATTACGGAAATTATTGATTCTTGCGATGAAGATGACGACAATGACGTGGAGAAGAAGAATAAAATAGATTTATTAAAATTACTAGTATGTCGTTTAGTATTATTGAACAAAGATTGTGATCTAACTGAGTATGAAGAATATGAATTAATTGATGATCTTATTGATTGGCAAAATAATTGTGAACTGGAGAAAATTGTCATGAAAAGTACGAAAGTTAATAAAAATTTAAATTTCACTTTCTATGATGTATTAACGAAATCAATTGATAATGTTGCTATATACGCAAATAACGATGATTTTCTCATTGGAATAAAATCTTCACAAATAAAATTTCCTGCATATGCTGATTTTTTGAAGACAAGTGTCGAAATGGCCGAAAGAAGAAGAAATTTCATCAATGAGAGCACGACATTAATGTATCGTCTAGTTGAAAAATGTTACAAAATTCGAATTTCTACTTCTGACATTCGTCACATTCTCCAGTATCTCTCTATTGTAGATTTGCGAAAATTTTCAGCCGCTTGTTCCTAAAATGTAATTTTATGACAAATAACGCAAAAATCAGTTTTGTTGAATAATTTATGTATTTTTTTGTTCTGCGATGAAGAAATTGTAATTTAAAGATTTATTTCCATGAAGGTGTTGAAAAGTAGTTTAATCTTTAATATTAATTATTATTAACATTTCTACATTAATTATGAAGAGTTAAAATTTATGGATGTATAATATGTATATTGCGATTACATCGTTAACTAAGCTTGAAGCTTTAATTCAGTGTTTTGTACATTGGCTCATTAAGATTAGTAAATCAAACGCTTATTAAAAGTTTGTTTAAAATATTTTAGTAATGTGACAATAAATAACAATTAGATTGTTTTAACAGTTTTTGAAATTATAAAATCAGTTAAGAAATATAAATATAAGTAGAAAATAATAATTGAATTTTAAATTCAAGACAAAACGAATGTATGAATATTGTTTCTAATAAAAATAACAAAAAAGTATTTATCTTTTTGGTGATTTTAAGACTTATTCTTAAGTACTGAATCAATATCAGCAGTTGTATTCACAATATTACATAAAACTTTCCTCATTAATTTATTCTCTTCGTCTAAACGAAGTTGAGTTGAAAGAACTTGTTCATATTTTATTTGTTGTCTTGCCACCTCCTCGACAGATGCATTTAATCGTTTTCGTAACTCATCGATTTCATTATTAAGATATGAAATGTGATCGATTAGAAACGATTGGGAAAGATTATTTTGAGAATTTTCGACATTTTCCAAATTGGCACAAAGTTGTTTCTCATTTTTTTCTTCTGCTTCGCGCTTTTCTATTTCCACATTACTTTTTTCGTCATTCTTCTGTTCGACGTCTTCTGTATCTGAAGCTTCGTTGTCGATTGATTTTGAACAATTATCATTTTCTTCAGGTTTGGAATTCTCAATCACAGTATTTTTTTCGACTTCCTCTTCTTTTCTTTCTTTCACCTCTGCTCCGGGTTCTGAAATAATTACAAAAGAACAAACTGATGATGACGATGGAGAAAGTGTTTTATCCTCGGATTCTTGTTCCTTTATTTGTTCATCATTTGACGTACGAACTTCCAACGGAGTAATTTTCGAAGCATCTTCTACAGTATCTGTAATTATATTTTCAGCACAGTTGAGAATGGAATCAATATTTTTAACTAAAACATTTTCAGTCGTGTTTGTCCCATTTTTTCCACGCAGATTTCGTCCGTTACTGCAACATTAGTTTTTTCAAGTACTTTGTTCTCCTTTGATTGCAAAATTATAAAGAAGTCTTTATTTTTAATTGAGGATAATGTACTGAATGGTGCTCTTATTTGACCTGCATAAATAAATCGAAACTTTACTCTTGAAAACGAGAGAAAATGTTGTGTTTTACAAAAATTAGAATTTGATTCAAATCGCAACATAATGGGAAAATCAAGTTTACTCCAGTTTAATCTTTCGAAATTACATTCATTGACGATTTTCACGTAAAACAGAAGGTTCGGTTTTTGATAATTTTCATCCAGCATGTAATCGTCGTAAGATTTTGACAAATATTCAACAGTTAGTTCTTTTTCGTTCGAAATGCAATGTTCACAAAGAGACGTCTCTAAATTGTCCCGATTTTGAATTGCAGTGATGACAATTTTTAACTTTTTCATCTGCGGATTGAGATGCAAGAGAAATTCCCAATAATTTTCTTTTGTGATTGAGTGTTCATAAGAAAGGGCATCGATGTGAATTGTCAATTCCTCTGGAATTGTTTCGTGTATTTCTTGTAAAGAATTATGAATTTTTGCAGAAATGTCAATAAAATCAATGAGATTCATTTTAGTTAATCTCGATTTTAAACTATTCTCGTCCCTGTCATCAAAATCGAATATTTTTGTAAGAGCGTCAATACCCATAAATGTAGTTTTCTCTTTGACAAATGGAAAGGCAAAGGATAGAAAATCTAAATTAGTATTTAATTCATCAGCCGTTGTTAATATTTTTAAATATGTGCTCATTACTTTACAATTCTTATCATGAAATTCATCATGTTTATGTTTCTTGCAAAAGGTCGCTACTGGGCAATGTGGACAATTAATTAAGTCCTCTTGTTTTGTTTTGTGACAAACGAAACAAATTCGTGGACATTCCAACATTACAGATTCCAGTGGACTGATAGTTCTTGCCAGTTTCTTTATGATTTCATTCCGGATTACTTCTCTTTTTGTATCCCATTCGAGATCAAATATATAAATAAGCTCTTCATAAATGTGAGTGATTTTTCTTATTTTTAGCAATTCTTTTATTGCTGTGCAAAAATCTTTGTGTGTTGATTGATGTTGTTGTCGATGATCCTCAGAACAGTAGGAAATCATATTACATTCGCATCTTATTAAATTTTCTCTCGATTTGCAAATGTAGCATTCATTCGGAAAGCATCTGGCACTCTTTGAATAAATAGGCATCTTTTGGGTAAAACGGTAAGTCAACTGGTTTTTCGAAATCTGAAAATAAATAACAACAGTAAATTTAAGAAGAAAAATTGTTCTCTCTTATTATTTATAACCAAAGTTCTTAATTATATTATATGAAAATGCAAAATTATAAAGTCAGAAATAGTTTCAGAATTGCCACAAAACACAGATTTTTAAAATTCCATGACATCCAAGTTTTCCAGACCATTTTTAAAAAAATCCAGACCCAAAATTTAAATTGTTTTGATAAATCTTTAGCTACTTACATCTTACAACAAAAAATATAAAATCTTTCAAGTTAATTATTAATGTTTAATTTTTTAAATAATTTAAATTTAAGTTAAAATTTGTGAGATTATTTATGAAACACTCCGAAGAAAAGTACCTTAGAAAAAAATCGCTGTAAGGTTATATTTTGTGTTATTTTTACCTCAATTAAACGTTTTTATTTAATTTTTTAAAAACTAAATTTAATTTTTATTAATTATTTTGATTGTCATGAAGATTTTAATATTGATTATTTATATTGAGAGTTAATCCGCTTTGTGTAATTTCATACAAAAAATTACAAACATAACCTACGCATCGAAAAATTTAAATTTTGTGTGCAATTAGTTTTTGTTTCGTCTTTAATTATTTATAAAAAGTAATTACAGTTTAGAAGAATAATGTATTTAATTATTTTCAAATTTTGCAATTAAAATTCTTCAAAATTTGATTTTCAAAAATTTTATTTAAATCATTTAAATACTCGAAAAAAATCAATTGTTTTCAATAAAATTTTACAAAATCGTTTTACCCAGTGAGAAATTGCCAATAGACTTTAAACGGTCCAATATCGGTCCAATATTGGTTGCCGTGCTGGGTGCCGATTGACTCCCAATATTGGACCAATATGGGCTGATGCTTGGGATGTAACGGCATCGCCAATCATCGGTTGTTAATATTGGTCCAATATTGGCCGAATATTGGCAACCAAGAGAAAAAAAAAATTTTAAATAAATTTTTTTAATTAAATAATAATAATAATAAATTAATGTTTATAATTTTTGTTTATTATATTTATTTAATTATTTATTTTTAATAATTTATATAAATAATATATTATTTATAAATAATAATTATTTAAAAATGCAGCAGCTATTAGAAAATAGCATTCTGCAAAAAAATTCTATCATTGAAAAATCAATGATAGGTGAGAGAAATCCGCGTCTTTAAATAGATTCGCAGATGATAGACAAGAGATATCCGCGTCATTAAACGGATTCGCAGATATACTCTGGTCTCGCGACGAATCTCTCGATACTTATATACACTGGAGTCGCCGTGTCAGTTGCGAGAACGGTTACAGCGTCCCTCTTTCGGCGGAGATAAGAATTGTCACGTAAACTGCGGGTATAATAAGGCGGTCGGTAAAGCGATTTAGCAGTTTACGTGACAATTCTTATCTCCGCCGCAAGAGGGACGCTGTAACCGTTCTCGCAACTGACACGGCGACTCCAGTGTATATAAGTATCGAGAGATTCGTCGCGAGACCAGAGTATATCTGCGAATCCGTTTAATGACGCGGATATCTCTTGTCTATCATCTGCGAATCTATTTAAAGACGCGGATTTCTCTCGCCTATCATTGATTTTTCAATGATAGAATTTTTTTTGCAGAATGCTATTTTCTAATAGCTGCTGCATTTTTAAATAATTATAATTTATAAATAATAAATTATTTATTATTTACATGAATTATTAAAAATAAATAATTAAACAAATAAATATATTAAACAAAAATTATAAACATTAATTTTTTATTATTATTATTTAATTAAAAAAAATTTATTTAAAAAAATTTTTTCTCTTGGTTGCCAATATTCGGCCAATATTCGACCAATATTAACAACCGATGATTGGCGATGCCGTTACATCCCAAGCATCAGCCCATATTGGTCCAATATTGGGAGCCTTTATTGGACCGATGATCGGTCTCTTGGCTCCCAATATTGGACCGATATTGGTCCGGTGAGAAATTTCTCACTGGGTAATTGTATATTTCGAAAATTTAATTAGAAAAATCGAAATAAGTTGCAAATTATACTAAAAATATGGTATTTTGTTGAAATTATTGTAAAAAAAAGTAGAAAAAGTCACAATTTTTTAAAATAAATCGAAAAAAATCTTTTTTTTTTTGAAAATATAGTCGAAAAAGTCATAATATCCGCAGCTAAGTTTTGTATTTTGTATAAATTCAGAAACTGTAAAACGGAAATAAACTTTTGTCAAGGTCCCTCTGGAATAATATTTATATTTATACATTATTGAAAATTAATATATAAATATCACTTCAGAAAATCTGTATTTTTTTAATTGATAAACTAAATTTATGAATTTTCTATAGACAAACAACGGAATTTTCAAGAAATGTGAAAATATAAAACAGAAAAGTCTACTCATATTTTACTTACAGGTTTAAACTTTCAATTAACAATTAACAATAACAACAATAGAGAAGAAACCGAAAAATCCAACATTAAATTTTTTTTGCAAACATAGAATTGTTAGACAATTGAGAACCATAATAACTCTTATTTTAATATTATGGTCTTTAGTTATAAAGAATAAGGTAACAATATTTAGGGTCCAAGGACCCTTCAAAAAATATGAATTTCTTTATGATGCAGAGAATTTTATCACAATTTTAATAAATTCTAAAAAAAGAAAAATACATTGATTTTTTATATAAATTTATTGGAACTGTAATGACAGTTATATTTAAATATTTTTTATAAAAATACAATTTTAGTTTAAATATAAAAATGAAATACAAAAACATTATAAGGTGATTGAATTTTTAATGCAAAACAGTGTTGAATAAAAATATAAATTCGATAATCAATTTTTTAAACCGAAGTAAAACTAATGGTATTCATTAAATAATACATCACATTTTTTTTAACAATATTTTTCAACTAGTCACTGAAACAGTAAACGAAGATGTAAAATAAGAAAGCAATAATTGAATTTTAAATTCAAAACTAAAATATAAAAATTAGAAGATTCCTTTTAAAGAAATAAAAATGGAGTCATTTTTTCAATACGGATTAGACGTTGTTGTTTTCACACAATGAATCTGTGTCTTTAATTGTAGTGGCACCAAAGTCGACCCCCACAATATCGCGTAACATTTTCTTTATAAACTCATCTTTCTTGTGCGAATCTAAGGAAACTTTTTCAAATTTTGTTTGGAATTTTGTTACCTCATTAATTGATAAATCTAACTGTTGTCGTAAGCCTTCGTTTTTTTTTAAGATACGAAATATGTTCGATTAGATACGATTGAGAATTAACTTTATCGTTCTTTTTGGCAATTTTTCCTTCTTCGACATTTGGATCAAAATTTTCCTTATCGATAGACTTTGAACAGTTTTTACAAATTTCAGTTTTTGATTTTTTATTCTTCTCTCCTTCCTCCTTTTCTTCAGGTTCGGAAATAGTTGCAAACGAACGTTTCGATGATGACGATGGAGAAATTGTCACACGATCTACGGCTTTTTGTTCTTTGTTTCTGTTTCTTTCAACAAGAATTTCAGTTGTAGTTGTACCAATATTTTCCTCGGTGATTTCGCCAGTAGCTGTATCACAAGATTTTTCAAGTACTTCGTTTCCCTTCGATTGAAAAATTATAAAATAGTCTTTGTTTTCAATAGAGGATAATGTACTGAATGGTGCTTTAATTTGTCCCTCGTAAATAAATCCAAACTTTGCTGTTTTACACAAGAGAAAATGTTGTGTTTTACAAAAACATTCTATGTTGAACCACAAATAAATTTAATTGTTGTACACTTAAATTTATAAAGAATAATAGGGTCCTTGGACCCCCTTAGGGTGCGATTCCATGTAAGCAGAATAAGTCCACCGAAAGCAGAAAATCATGAGTGGAAAAGAGATAGGTAGATATTGTTGTTCTTTTCACTCTCATCAATTTGATTTGATTTTCTGGTATGTATAAAAAGCACCTTTATCGCATATAGAGATTATAAACATACAAATTAATTAAAACATAATATTAAAAATTAAAAGCTATTTGAAATTACGGGAAAAGAGGAATTACTGACAAATAGATTAAATAATTCAAATCTAAAAACAATTTTAAGGTTATTCAGATTTTTTTATGAAATGTATATTATAAACTCATGTATTCTCTGTGAGAATAAAAGCCTCACTGAGGCGGTTAAAAATAATAAAAGCTTATATTTTATTTAATGTCACATCACTTAAAATATTTTAAACAAACTTTTAATAAGCGTATAATTTGTTAATGTTTATATGTGTCGACGTACAAAACAATGATTTAAAGCGTAAAGCTTAGTTTACCGTGTAATCTCAATATACGTCTATAAATTTAAACTCTAAAATTAATGTTATATTAATAATTATTTATAAAATTTAAACCATATTCTATAACATTGATGAGAAGGAATCCTTAAATGAAAATTTCTTCATCGTACATAGACCGAAAATACATCCTAAATTATTATTCAACAAAACTGATTTTCGCGTTATTTGGCATGAAATTACATTTTAGGAACAAGCGGCTGAAAATCTTTGCAAATCTACAATAGAGAGATACTTGAACATGTGACGAATATCAGAAGTAGAAATTTGAATTTTGTAACATTTCTTAACCATACAATACATTAACGTCGTGCTCTCATCGATGCAATTTCTTCTTCTTTCTGCTATTTCGACATTTGCCTTCAAAAAATCAGCATATATCGGAAATTTCATTTGTGAAGATTTTATTGCAGTGAGAAAATCTTCGTTGTTTGAGTACCCTACAACTTTATCCATTGATTTCGTTAAAACATCTAAGAAAGTGAAATTTAAATTTTTATTTACTTTCGTCCTCTGCATGACCCTTTTCTCCTTTAAACACTTCTCTACCCAATCAATAACATCAATTAAATCACATTCCTCAAGCTCAATTCGATCATACTTTGTAATTAACAATACTAAACGACAAAATAATAATTTTAATATTTCTATTATATTCTTTTTCTCTAAGTCATTGTAGTAATCTTCATCGTAATCATTAATAATTTCTGAAATTGTGCCTAAAAGATTAGGAACGTTTTTTGAGTAACCAATTAAGAGCAATTGGTGCTTGATATTTTTAATGCTAGTGTATAATTCTATATCAAAACACGATTTCAAATCAATATTATATTCCACAAAAAGTTTAAACAACTCTGGTGGGTAATCAGATAAATCACTTTTTTCAAATAAAAATGACTCAGAAAAATCTTTAACTTCCTCTTCACTTAGATAATTAAATATGCATCTAACAATTTCAGGACGAAATACAGAATTACTTACAGCAGATGTTAGTCTTTCTGACTTTGGTTTTGAATTACTGATACTTGATAAAACTCTCATTTTAACTGCATAGTGAAATAAATCCTCAGTGGCTTTACTATTCAAATACTGAATTAACATATCCGTCACTTTTACCAATCCATCAAACACTGAAGGAGTAACAGGTATTAATATATGAATTATACCTGAATGAATCTTCAAAGCCGTTTTTAACGGTGAATCACAGCGTTTAGAGGTTATAGAGGGATCAGCACCATGATTTAGAAGAAATCTAACTACAGCTGGCTGCGCTGCAGTTGCTGCAAAATGTAATGGTGTTCGGTCCCAATCTTCAGTTTGTAAATTAACATCAGCTCCAGCTTCCAATAGCAGTTTCACTAGTCTCGGGTGCTCGAATGTTGCTGCAACGTGAAGAGGACTTATACATTTAAATAAACTGTCAGCAGGATAACCAGCGTTTAGAAGAATCTCTAATATTTCTTCACTGCCACTTTCAACGGCAATGTAAACGGCTAATTTTCTGGCGAAAGTGTTCGATTCATATTCGTTTGATGGTTCATTTACAATTGCCTTGACAGTTTCTAATTGGCCCATTCGAATAGCCAAATGAAGCTGCTTTTCTTTAAAATACGTATTTGCATTAATTTTCGACAACCTTGTTACTAAATATTTCCACATGTCATAACGACTCAAATAAAATGTACTATTAAATACATCATCTAAATCCTGTACTTTAATACCAATATCGACTAAAAAGTTTAAAGTATCCAAACTGCCTTCCAAAATAACTGTTATAAATAAGTCTACTTTATCTTTCTCAACTGTTTTGCTGTTTTTTACTCCATTCTTCATGAGATATTCTAGAATGTCCAAACGACCAAATGTTACTGCAAGTCTAAGAGAAGATTTGGGAAAAAAGTCACCATTATTTGGAATATCGACTATGTTACATCCGTTCGCCATGAGCAGCTTTACCATTTCAAAATTTCCTCTTCCAACTGCGTTACGAAGAGGTTTCATATTAGTTAAATCGTTGTCACTTAAAACAGCACCATGTTGAAAAAGAATTTCAGCCATTTGAACGTTTCCTTTCGCCAATGAAACATCAAGCGGTGTATTGCCCTTTATATCTTCTACCGCAATAGTGGCACCATTACCCAAAAGTGTCTTTGCTATTTCTGCATGTCCTCTTGCAGTCGCCACATGCAACAATGTCCTGCCGCGTATCGTTTCTGTCGCCGAATATTTCTCGAGCAGAGAATGAACTCGACTCAATTCTCCATTGTGTACTGCAAGAAACAACTCATTGTAGTCAGAAGTATCGTCGTAATCTTTAGATCTATCCATGGCAACGTATTGAAGAATTTGGTCCGAATACACTTTACTGAAGCTTTGATAGTGATCTACAATCCCGAATAGGTGAAACAGCTCCAATTAAATATTCTGTAACAAAAATAAGAAAGTTTGTATCACTTAACTTATTTAAATAAATTCTTGCTGCTTACTCATAATAGAGAAAAGATTGCATACTAAAAAAATAATGAAGAATTATGACAAAATATCAGACATTTTGATTATTTTTTCTTTTTTCTGATGCCTTTTTATGACTCTGATGATTCGTGATTTTTTCATTCTCTCTGACATAATTTTATAGAACGGCTTTGACATTTCTGAGAAATCTAACACTTCATATTTTAATATTTCATATTTAAAACTTTAATATTTAATAAAATTAAATAAGTATTTAAGAAATACTGCCCAATATCACCAGAAGTTTTGATAAATTTTTTTATGTTTTGTTATTATTTTTTTAATATGGTTGTATTGGTAAAAATTTTCAATTGTGATTTTTTGACATATTTCAATGTAGTTTGACCTCAGGAGACCAAAAAACGTGTTTCTGAAAATTGTCCGTACGTGTGTGTGTACTAAAATTAAATTAGCCTCAATATCTCAAAACCAGAAAAAACTATAGCTCTTCCCAGCTTCAAAATTTTCAACAATTTTAAGTCTCCCCAGAGGACATGAAATGAAAGTATTTTCAATCCATTTCATAAAGTTAAACTATATTTTTTGGCATTTCTAATTTAATCTTGATGTATTAAAATAATACTAGAGTGAATTAAAATAATCTGAAAAACTTTAATCCATCTAGAATTAAATGGACACCAGATATGATTAAAATAATCCATTTTAGTCTTATTGTTTACTACACTGAAAAAAAATTAAATTGAATCAAATAAAAATTAATTGACTCAATTAAACGGTTTAATTGTCTATTATACAATAATAGCTCGGCTATTCGATCTTTTTGCACACCTCTAGTAGTTACTAATTGTTGATAAGGCTTGATTTGCAGTAAAATTTCATGCATAATAAGAATAACACCAATTCTGAATTTATTTAATTTTTATGGTGTGTTAATTTAATTTGCAACGTTTTTTAATACCTCACAATTTACTGTGCATCTTTCGACTTCTTATTTGAAAGTTTTTCGTTCACTGTAGCCGGAGATATTAGACTTTTAAAAATCTAAAGCTTTAAAAAATAATATACTAAATGAATGTATTTAATATGTAAATGCAATTGAGAGACCGCATGCAAAGTATTTGAATCTACTATGAAAAATTGAAAACCAAATAATTAATATTCAAAAAATTAAAATTTGAACCTCTGTCGTAATGTTATTATATTTTTTATTGGCGATTTTTATAAACGCTTCTTTCACGATATTGAACAATTAGTCGCTTCAATTATTAACAATTTTAAATTCATCAAAAAATTAAAGTTTCTGGAAAATAAATTAAATCGTAAAAGAGTTAAAAGTTACATATTACATTTTTCGTACTATAATTTCAGGTATTAAAAGAATTCAAAAACAATTTGTTAGCCTTACGGCTACATAAGGTCCATTTTGAATGGCTGAAATGTTACTGGCTTTTTTTTCAAAATATACAACTTCTTTAACATTTTTTACTGTTTGTTGCATGGGTCTTACATGTTTGACGCGAAAATTGACTAATGAACAATGCAATGCTTGTATGCATTTAAAGAATTACTTTAAAATTTCATAATATTTCACATTTAAGAATTCGGAAGGTTGCATTCAAGTTAATTTTAACTTTCGCAGGAAACATAATTGATAATGTGTGGGTAACAGTTTGCTGTTCATCAAATTCAAAGTATATATACACTGGAACCTCGATTATATGGTGTGATCGTGTGTTTATATATTTTAAATTTGTTGATAGGTCTCCGGACCTCTATTTTCCGTAAAAGCAATTTCCGTTTAAACAAGATTCCAGTGTAATATGCAAATAAAAGCCTTAAAAAATTTATGACAATTTTAAAACACACCTAAAATGAGAGGGTTATTGGAAATTACAGGAAAACAAATTACTGACAAAAAGAAAAGAATAATTTTAAGGTATTAAGTATTTTATAAAACGTTTATTGTTTACAGATTCTCATATATGTGTAAAAATAAAGGCCTCACTGAGGTATATAAAAGCTTATTTTTGATTCAATATCATAATTATTAAAATATTTTAAACAACCTTTTAATAAGCGTTTAACTATAGTTTAACATTAACTATATTAATGTTAATGTTCTGACGTACAAAACATTGATTTAAAATTATGTTAACGATGTAATTCCAATATATATACATCCATTTGGAACTTTATAATTAACGAAAATAGTAATTAATCATAATTACTATTGAAGATTAAATTACATTTTAAAATATTGGTGAAAACAAATAATTAAATGAAAATTTCTTCATCGTAGAAGGAAAATGCATAACAAATTATACACAAAAATTACTCTTTGCCTTAAATGTGCCTATAATAAAATTACATTTTAGGAACAGGCTGCTGAAAATCTTTTCAAATCTACAATTGACAGATATTTGAAAATCTGATTGATTTCAGCTCTTGAAATTCGAATTCTATGACGGTTTTGAACCAAATCAAACATTAAACTAGCACAATCGTTGATGAAATTTCTTCTTCTTTCTGCTATTTCGAGAATTGATTTCAAAAAATCAGCATATATCGGAAATTTTGTATTAGAATATTCGATTGCTTTTAAGAAATCATTGTTGTTCGTGTACATCGCAACTTTATCAATTGATTTAGTTAATACATCATGGAAAGTGAATTTAAGATTTTTACTAACTTTCGTCCTTTGCATTATCCTTTTCTCCTTTGCACACATATCTCGCCAATCATTAAAATCATTCTTTAAACAAAATGCAATTAAAGGCAGATAACAATTAGCAGTTAACAACACTAACCTCGCTACTATTAATTTTATAAACTCTGGTTTACCCTCCATGTGTGCCTTATTGTATCCATCACAATCCTCATTCGAGATAATTGACCTTGCAGTATTTAAAAGACCATCAATGTTTCTAGAGTAACTAGTTAGGAGCAATTGGCACTTGTAATTGATCTCATTTTCACTTATGCTGATTCGAAAACACCAGTTGGAATCATTATAATCTATCAGAAGATGTAACAATTCTTTCGCATGTCCTATTGGAAACGGATTATTTAACATTTCTTCCGAAGAATATTCAACTAATTCATCGCTTAGATAATTAAAAAGGCATCTAACGATTTCAGGACGAAATTCAGAATCACATACGGCCGATGGTAGTACATTTGACTTTGGATTTGAATTATTGATACTTGAAACTCTTATTCTAACTGCTTCTGGAACTAGGATTTTAATATTTTCAGGTTTTGAATACCGAATTAGTGACTCCGTCACTTTTACCAAACCCTCAAACACTAATGGAGAAATAGGTCTGCAAGAAAACGAGGGTGAAAATAACTTCAAGGCCGTTTCTAATGCTGATCCGCTGAACGAACTGGATATGAAGGGATCAGCACCATTTTTAAGGAGGCATTTCACTACTGCTGACTGCCCTGCACATGCTGCGAAATGTAAAGGAGTGAGACCATGCTCAGTTTGCAAATTAACATCAACTTCAGCTTTCAAGAGAAGCTTTACTAATCTCGGGTGCTCGAATGTTGCTGCAATGTGAAGAGGACTTGTAAATTCAAATAGACTGTCAAAGGGATAACCAGCGTTTAATAGAGTTTCTAATATTTCTTCATTGCCACTTTCAGCAGCAATGTAAACGGCCAATTTTTTAGCAAAAGGGTCCGATTTATATTCACTTGCTGGTTCGTTTACGATTGCTGTAACAGATTCCACTTGGCCCATTCGAATTGAAAAATGAAGCTGCTTCTCTTTAAAATACGTTTTTGCATTAATTTTCGAGAAACATGTCAATATATATCGCCACACGTCATGAAAATTTTGAATCATTGAACAATAAAATATAAAATCTGCTTCTTCCGTCTTAAAACTAAGGTCGACTAAACATTTTAAAGTAGTTAAACTACCGCAACCCGTAATAATTGCCGAAAATAAACGTGATTCATCCGCATTAACTGTAGCGCTGTTTGTTACCCCATTCTTCAAGAGATATTCTAAAATGTCCATACGACCGGACGATACTGCGAGTTTAAGAGAAGATTTTGAATAAATGTTATCATCATTTGGAACATCGACTTTGTTACATCCGTTCGCCATGAGCAACTTTACCATTTCCAAATTTCCTTTCCCAACTGCGGAACGAAGAGACGCCTCACATTTTAAATCGTTGTCACTTAAAACAGCACCACGTTCAAAAAGAACTTCTGCTACTTTAACGTTTCCTTTCTCCACGGCAACATTAAGTGGCGTTTGTGAATTATGATCAGTAACGTCAATAATGGCGCCATTATTTATAAGTATCTTTGTAAATTTAGGACGATTATACAAAGCTGCATAGTGAAGTGGATTTTGGCCAAAGCAATTTTTTGCATTCAGGTTAATTTCCCCTAAAAGAAGTTTGAATACCTCAGGATGGTTTTCCCTAATCGCCAGATGCAGAGGTGTGTCTCTAATTTCGTCTTGCTTAGGGAGGAATAGTTTTGCAATCGCTGCATATCCTCTTGCAGCCGCCACATGCAGCAATGTCCTGCCACGTATCGTTTCCGTTGCCGAATATTTCTCGAGCAGAGAATGAACGAGATTTAAGTCTCCATTGTGGACTGCGAGAAACAGGTCATTGTACTCAGAAATGTCGTTGTAATCATTCGTACGATCCATGACAACGAATAGAAGATTTGTATTCCAAGTAGTTTACTGTCGCTTTGGCGGTGATTTGCAATCAAATAGGAGGCACTGCTCCACTTAAATATTCTATAACAAAAATTAGAAAATGTGCCCTTAATATGCCCATAAACAGGGTGTCCAGCAAGGATTGTGAGAAAAATTCTGACTTTTTCCCCGACTATTAAAATTTACTAACGTTATTTCTGCTTTTTTGGGACAAAAATAAGAATACTAACTTATTTAACAAAAAATTAATATCTAATGATAGTACCGAACTTAAATAAAAACCATTTAAGTCCTGTTAGATAAAAAAAATTTTAATCTTTTGATAAATTTCTAGAAATTTCCTTGACTATGAATAAAATTCCCTGACTTTTCCCTGGCCGCTGGACACCCTGATAAATGTAAAATTATAAAATTTAGTGTTTTAGGTGCCGAAAAAGTTGGGATAAATTGATTTTCAGTTTAGATAACAGAGGTTCAGATAATAAAGGAATAACTCTTCTCATTGGTTTCTCTAAGTGTTACAATTCATTTTCACATTATTATTAAGGTAAGTTCATCATTAACACTTGCAGGTGCTTCAATTACTGCCCCGTGTATAAATCTATCCTGGAAGTGTATAACTATCCAGTGGAGCTAGATTCAAGCCAGCAGCTGGAAGGGAAAACCGAACAGAAGCATATCGAGTTCCTATCCAGGTCTACTGTCTAGTTTCTGTTTTAACAAAATAGACCGTTGATAGCCATATCAAATATATACATATATGTACATAATTCAAATTTTATTTTATTTACTTTTTTAAAAATAAATAATGCATGGGTAATACATAGTTCACCCATCACATTTTGGATTAAAAAAGAAGCATATTATTTTTAGTATGAAGTATAGGTATGTATAAAATTATTGTGTAAATAACTTGTCACTACTCACTATTTTATTTATTTAAAAATAACAAATTATCGGTAGAAAATCTATTACTAAAATTATGGTGAATTATAAAACAATAATCATTTTATAAATTATACTTCATTATGAATAAAGAAAATGAACATTGTTAAATCAGTAAAAGTTTAGGCTTCACGGAGAGACAATATATTTATATTAAATTTTGCAAAAGTATTTTACAAATTGGGGAAAAAGTGCGACACAGAAAAATTTTGATATAAAAAATACTAAATTTTTAATAAAATTTATGTAAAATTTAGTAAAGTTCACGGAGAAAAAAGGAAAATTAAGGTTAATTAAACGTACTATGACGAATGTAAATTTAACACTCCTCAGGTTAAGTTCTAAACAGAAGAGTATCAACTTTTTCAAATTTGACACTCCTCAGGGTAAATTTGATTATTCTTTTTTCTCCGTGTTGTATTAGAATTTAATGTTTATTTTGAATACCTTCTTGATGGGCACTAACGTTTCAGGAATACTTTGGTAATACTTCTTTGATCTGCATAGAATTTTAGTTTTCAGGAATGAAATATTTAAGAGCCCCGGAGTCAAATAAAAAAAGTTGATTTTTTCAATTTATTTATACTTATTATTTTATTATTCATTAAATTAAAATTTAATTATCTAATTATTTATTTTAAACACTTATTAATTTTCAAATATGTAATAAATGTTTTTAAATCATACAACAAGAAAATATAAAATAATCCATTAATTAATTATTTAATAATTTCAACTTTCATTTTTATTCAAAACATGTATATTTTTAAATTTCAACTTAAAAATTTGAGAATCAGCATTTTAATAAATTCTTGTTTTACTGTATTAAATAGAAATTTAAATATTTTTCTTTATAATTATAAAATTATAATTTTAAAACATTTTATAAATAGATCTTAAATATACAGTAGAGACCACGCATATTATTTTGGATTTTCGAGTATCCGGTCAAATTTCAAATATTCTTTTTTTAATTTTAAAGTTTATAAGCATTTGATACAATAAATTTTTAACTTTGACATGAAACGTTGCGTTCTAATGTATTTTAATGATTTTAAGAGAATGTTTAAATACAAATCCAAATAAATACCTAAAATGATAAAAAAAACTAAGTGTAGCGCTGGTGCACTCACCACACCAATATAGTTTTCATTATAACTTTTAAAATACTTGTCGCTCATAAATTTTCTCGACGGATTTTGATTCCTTATAGTTTTTATTCTATGTTTATTAATTTCACATTTTTCCATTCTTAAACCAGTTTTGTAATTTTTCATGAAAATTCAACAAGTTGCCCAGAAATTACAGTATAGAGATCGCATTATCCGGACTAATGGATAACCTATCCGGATATTCAAAAAATAAAAAGTATATTTTATTTTATTTTTATTTTTTATTTATTTTATTTTTTTGTATACAAAAAAACGAATTTTCGGTTTATAATTTTAGGTATTCATTTGTACAGGTATTTAAATAAGACTAAAACGAAAGTCAACATTAGTAACTTTATAGTTATATTCATTCAATTTTAGTCAATTTTTATAGAAAAATATTTGCTCTTCTAAATGGAATAAACACAGCGGGTCTCTATTTTAATTTGTCTAACTATTGTCGTTTTTAATTTCTTTCAAGAAAATTCGTCTGTTCACGATTCTTATTTAATATTGTACACATTTTAATTTTAATAATTGTTTTGAGTTGACATCTTAATTCTTCAATTAAACTTATTTTGAAAAACTTATTATCACATGCAGTCAAAATGTGTAGTATATAAAAATATCAACAAAAAATATATAATATGTCAAACTTTAGTGATACAAGTAAATAAATACATAATTAAAACATTAGTTTTCTATTAAAAATACTAACCATGATGAATGCAATATCAACATATCGCTTTTGTGAACTCGAAGATTTTCCGTGACTAAAAGTTAAACACGTTAAACTAATGATGGCATTTTACAATGTTTCAATTACAGAAACCAAGACTTTTTAACTTTTACTTATTTTATATAAGTATTTATTAATAATTTATAGAATTTGATTTGTGAATACAGAGCTGTCACTGTCAGTCGAAAACATTTTAACGTTTATAACCATAAAAGAAAGTTTCCCAATAGAATGGAAACTTTAGCTGTGGAAAAAGCATGTAAAGGTACTCTCTCACCTTTAAGGTCATGTTATTCAGTGGTCACGTGCCCCATATACTTTACTATGGAAAAACTTCACACTGAATAACATGACCTTAAGTGGAGCAATAAGCGGGTTACACAACTCAAAATGAAAAGAGCATCTGACGCATCTGACTATATTTATCCTTTTCTACACCGTTTTATTTTTGGCAATTGCTCTTTGTAATGTATCTATTCAGTTGAATGTTTAAAAAGTTATCAAAAGTTGATAAATTCATAAGATGTGACTTGTAATTTTTATGTATTTTTTATTAGAAAAAATTATCAAAATCTTTAAATCACTTAATTATGTTAAAGTTTAATTAAAAAACAGAACGACATTGATATAAATAAATAAAATAATGCAAATTTTGTAGGAAAACGATTTGTTTCAATTTCTATTAATAAGAAAATATGAATTTATCAAGTTTTAAAAACTTGCTCTTCACTTGTATTATTTAAATTTGTAACGAAGTAAATTCGTTACTTATAAGGCGAATTATCGTTCTTAGTCCAGTGCTATAGTTTGTGACTTCGTCTCCGTCTTTTCTATCGCTCCGTCGCATTTTTCCCAATTTTGGTATAGTCCGTTGGTCAGCGTCTAGTGTCTATCTTCCGTCTTGTCCCTTCCCTGAATAATTTCTCGAGTAATTGAGAAGTGGGAGAAGTCAGGTGATGAGTAGCGACCCTTTCCCTCTTTCTTATAGGTAATTTCCATTGATTGAAAAAGGAAGGATGCATGGGAAAAATTAGAGAGTAGGATGAAGAAGGATTTTCCCAAAATCTACTGCAGGCTTCCAGGAAGGCGTTGGAACCATTCATAAATTCATTATTCGCAAGCAAGTGTTACGAGCTGGTCGAGTTTTTCCAAATTGAGCATTTCTTAAGATTTTATATTAATTTTCATTAAATTTTGATTTATAAATTTTGATTGTATTTTTCTTAATTAAATTTTCTAAAATAAAGTTATAATAGTTTAGTGAATTTTTAAGCGTTTTATTGAGTCTTTCTGAACTTTATTTCTTTGGAGTCGCCGGAAAGCCGTTGCAGAAAGGACGCCGTTGGTTGTTGGCGAGGGTTTTCATCGCAGGTTTGATTTTATTTTTGACTGGAGATCGATGCATCGTCGATCGTGTTCTCAGCAGTTCCTCCCTTTGTTTTATTTTAATTTGTCTTTCGTTTTTGTTAGCGTTGTTTTGTTGAGACCTTTTTGTGTGTTTATTTTAGAGTTTAGTCGCGACTTAGAGTTGGTAAAATATCGAATTTCGGGACTACGATGCAATAGCTATCTTCTTTAATTTATTATTTAATTTTCTATTTAAAAGTCCCGTTATAAATTAATATTAAATATTTCCAATTTGATATATGTGCGGTAATTTTTCAGTTAAGCAGCTTCTGTCATATCTAAAAATCTAATGCTTTTTGTTTAGTATTTTTGTTAATTTCTAGGAGGGTAAAAAAATTAATAAATGATTTTAGAAAATTTTTTATGCACATCAAATTTCTCGCAATGAACTTGTTAATAAAATAAATGTAAAATGGTTATAATTTAAAAACTTAAACATTAAAAAATATTAGACTGAAATTATTTTAAAATATACAGGCTTGATTTGAATAATCTGGGTCAGGTATGAAAATCAGTTTCATCCTCAAAATATTTTTTTTAAAGAATTTTAAACAAAACGTATTTTTTCATCGTCTTAAAAAATATTTTCGATTTCTGAATTATTTTTAAATACTTTTAATGAAAGGAATAATTTGTTTATTGCTAAAATTTTTGAACAAAATGTAGATTATTATTAGCATTATCATAATCTTCAACAAAATTTACATTTTGCTCAAAACAAAAACCATTCCAAAAAGGCTGCAAAATTAGTATTTCTGTTTAAAGTTTTGAATTCAAAAAAGTAAAAAAGAATATGTTGCAGAGATAATGTAATGAATATCAGAATATACTAATTATTAGTTTTTGTTTATTTCACAGAAGTAATTAAAAGATTAAAGAATCAGTATTTTATATTTGAGCCAAAGAAGCATTAAATATCACTATTTCTCTTACAGTTTCCTAAACTTTTTAAAACAAATTTTATTATATAAGTAACTAGAAAACGTATCTTTTATTCAGCGTGGCGACAAGTTAAGAAAAAACTGAAAATCAGAGAATTTTCAAAAATTCTTCAAAAGTAAGGGAATTTTAATCGAAAAAAAGTAGAAATTAAAAAATTTTGATAAATGTCAATTTAGTTTTTAGATTTTTAATAAATGGACATTGGCCGTTTATATCAATAAATAAAGCCGATTAAGCACGATTTAAATTGAAAATTTGCATTTACTTTTTTTATAATAATAATTTCAAACACATTAAAAATTTTTTAACAAACAATTTTTAATTATCATATTTTTTTTATGAATAAAATTGTTCCTTAAAAAGCATTGTTGCAATTTTAATTAGCAATGCAAAATATAAAATAATTTAAAAATTTGTTAATCAGGTAAAATGAAAAATTAGTCTGGAAACGTCAGGAAATTCTGAAAATTAAATTTCGCAGCCACCCTATTATTATTAATTTTATAATTTTTATAATATTAGGCAAATTATTTGAACCAAAACTTCAATTGTAAAAATAGTTATAAAAATAGTTTTTAACTAATAAGGACGATATTAAGTCCAGCATGGAGACTTAAATCGGGTTCATTCTCTACTCGAGAAATATTCTTCGACGGAAACGATACGTGGCAGGACGTTGCTGCATGTGGCGGCTGCAAGAGGACATTCAGAGATTGCAAAACTGTTCATCACTAAGCGAGACGGAAGAGGGAATACACCACTGCATCTGGCGATTAGAGAAAACCAGCCTGAGGTATTCAATCTTCTTTTAGAAGAGACTAATTTGAACGCAAAAAATCTCAAGGATGAAAGGCCACTTCACTATACAGCTTTGTATAATCGTTCTGAATTTGCAAAAAAACTTATAGATAATGGCGCGATTATTGAAGAAAAAGATAGTGAGGGTAACATTTACTGGTTCTGCTCTTAAACTTGCCGTATCATCCGGACGGTTGGATATTCTAAAATATCTCATGAAGAATGGCGAAAAAAATAGTGAAACGATTAATGAAGATGAACTCGGCTTGATTGAAACAAGTATAAAAATTAGGAACTTGAATATTTTTAAATATTTAGTACATATTGGTGTAAAAACAGAAACGCTAGATGTTCTATTTAATGATATAATTTTTTGGAGCCACCTTAAAATATGGGAATATTTAATAAAAGTTCTGTCAAAAATCTATGCAATAGAATAAATGTGGCAAAGGGTAATGGGAAAAATGATTCAAATCCAGAGTCAAATCTATTATTAGACGATGAGGATTTTGAATTTTGGCCTGAAATCGTTAGATGCATATTTAACTACCTAAGTGATACAAAAATTAAACTTTATTCTAAGAGAGCTTTCAAAACTATTGATTTATTAGAACATTCACCAGAATTTTTACAACTTATGATGGAATATAATGATTTGAGATCATGTTTTAAATTCGAAATAAGGGATCACGATATAAGTTACAAGAGCCAAGTGCTTATAATAGGTTACTCTAAAAATGTTGATGATCTTTTAAATATTAAAGTGGACTGTTTCTCGTCTTGTTTAAATGATGAAAATGATCAAGAGGATATAACGGATTGTTTTAAGTTGGTTGTAGCGCGTTTAATATTGTTGACGAAAGAGTGTCATCCAGGTGTGATAGAATTTTGTCAAAAGAACAATCTCAATGATTGGAGAGTAGAATGTATAAGGCAGAGAGATATTATGCGAAAGACAAAAATTGACATTGATTTAAACGTCACTTTCTACGATGTCTTAACCCGACCAGTTAATAAACTGGCCATGTACGCAAACAACAAGAATTTTGTGAAAGCAATTGATTATTCTCAAGCAGAATTTCCAGCGTATGCTGAGTTTATAAAAGCGAATGTCGAACTGGCAGAAACTAGAAGAACATTTATAACCGAATGTGTTTGTTTAATGTTTAGTGTGATTAAACAAAATCATAAAATCCAAATTTCAAATGCTGATATTTATCAAATTTTTCAGTATCTTTCAGTTGTAGATTTGCGAAGATTTTTAGCAGCTTGTTTCCTAAAATGTAAAAAATACTGAATTAACGCAAATATTTTTGTATGTATAATTTATTATGTTTCTTTTTCACGATAAAGAAATTGTCGTCTAAGTCGCAATGAGAAGTAATTTAAACTTTTTAATAATGAATATTAATATTAATTTATTATAGAGTTTAAATACATAGATGTATATTGTGATTACATTATTTTAAGCTTTAAGCTTTGAACCATTTTTTGTACGTGGGCTTAAAATCATTTACAAATTAAACGATATTTTGAAAATGTTGTTAAAAATATTGTAGTGATGTGATATTAAAATAAAAATGATTTTATTTTACCTTTTCATAAAATATATGCTGTAAATCTTATAATTATTTAGGTTTACTTGCATCCATTGCTATTGCTATTTCTCCCTTACAGATAAAACTAATCTAAAAATAAAAAAATTATGATTAAACATTTAATTTATTCTATTAATAATCATGCAAGTAGAATTATAAAAAAGGGCCCAAGATAAAGATTGCTTCGATTTTATTTTGAATACCAGAGAATAATTTCTATTTTAAACTCACAAAATTCAATTTTAGAACATTTTTTATACACATCAAATTTATCACAATGAACATGTTAATAAAATAAATGTAATGAAATAACTCAAATCATTTCAAAACAGACAGGCTTGATTTATTGGTCGGGTCTGAAAATCAATTTCATCCTCAAAATATTTTTTTTAAAGAATTTTAGACGAGATTTTTTTTTTAATTCTGAGAATATTAACTTTAAAAGTCGGAAAATTCGTTTATCAAAACAGTAAGAAAAAGACTTTGACGTCTTATAACTTTTTAAGTATTTAGGGTATATCGATTTTTCTTTTTGCAGGTGAAATCCAAATTAAGAAAATAGCGGCCTCTTTACTATAAAAAACTTAAAATTTAAATTGCTCAAAAGTCCCATCTTTATTATCCTTTACCTTTAAATACCAATCCGTGTGTCTTTTAATATTATTGTTTCCTCATAGAAAGCTTTATAGTGATGTCGATTTCTGAATTATTTAAAAAAAACTTTCAATATGAAATGAAAAATTTGTTATTTTCTTATTATACAGGCTAAAATTATCTCTACTATGTACTATATGTATTGTTACCTAAATTTTAAATTATTGCTAAAATTTTTGAACAAGATGTAGATTATTAGCATTATCATATTCTTGAACAAAATTTATATTTTGCTCAAAACCACTCCAAATTATTGTATTACTACATTTTTAGTTATAGGCTTTTATTATTTTTTATATTTTCCATCTTTAATTATGTGTTGATATATAAGTTTGAAAGAGTTCATTTTCAACCCAGTTGAATTCGTTACATGGGTCAAATTATTTGAACCCAAACTTCAATTGTATAAAAATAATTTTTCCAAAAATATATAAATGAATATTTTATAATATTTTATAATGAGGCGCAGGTGTTCTTTAAATCCGAAGTATATTGTTGGTTATTGGAAATTACATGAAGAGAAGTTTGTGAAAAATAAGAACAATTTTAAACAAACATATATTTTATTAAACGCCTTATCAATTTCAGATGTTCACAGTGTATAAAAATAAAGGCCTCACAGAGGTTAAAAAAGTGTATTTTTTGATTCAATGTCATATTACTAAAATATTCTAAACAAAATTTCTAATGAGCGTTTAATTTGGTAAATGTTAATTTGACGACGTACGTACAAAACATTAGTTTGAAGCTTAAAGCTTTGTTAACGATGTAATCATAAAATATATATACATCCATAAATTTGAAATTTGTAATTAACTTAATATTAATAATTACTTTTTAATACATATATGAAAACAAATCCTTAAATCATAATTTCTTTATCGCGGAAAACAGACACATAAAAAATTATACAAAACAAATATTTGCGCTAATTCAGTATTAAAGTTAGATCTTAGGAACAAGCTGCTGAGAACCTTTGTAAATCTACAATTGTGAGATATTGAAATATATGAACCATATCAGCTCGAGAAATTCGAATTTTATGAGATTTTTTTATCAAATTGAACATTAAGTTATTGCACTCGTTAATGAACTCTTTTCTTTTTTCTGCTATTTCGACATTTGTCTTCAAGAAATCAGCGTAGATCGGAAACTTTGTATCAGAAGATTCGATTGCTTTTAAAAAGTCACAGTTGCTCGTGTACATTGCAACCTCATTAGTTGATTTCGTTAGTACATCATAGAAAGTAACGATCATATTTTTATTAATTTTCGTCTTTTTCAAGACCTTTTTCTCCTCTAAACACTTTTCTCGCCAATCATTAAGATCATTGTTTGTGGAATACTCTAACACACCTTGATGATTGTCTTCGGTCAACAAAACTAAACGCGCGACAATCAACTTAAAAAATGCTATTTTCTCCTCTGAGACGTGGTAATCATCATCATCACCTTCAAAAGAGAAATTTTGAATACACAAAAGACGACTAATGTTTTTAGAGTAGCAAATTACAATTAATTTGCACTTGCGACTTGCATCCGTATCATAAACTTCCATAGTACAGCATGATTTGGAATTGTTGTAATCCATCATAAGTTGTAGCAATTCTGGTGAATGGCCGAATGAAATAGAGTCATTTAGAACTTGCTCCGAAAAAATTTGCAATGCTTCATCACTTAGATAACCAGACAGACATTTGACAATTTCAGGACGAAATACAGAATCTTCATCATTATAAATTAGTCCATTTGATTCTGAATTACTGATATTTAACACTTTAATTCCAGCTGCCAGCAAATATAAACTCTCAATAGAATCGGTTTCTAAATAACGAATTAACATCTCCGTTATTTCGGCCAACCTCTCAAACCTGAAAACAGGAATGCTTGTGGGAAAATGATTTGATGAAAACATGACCATGGCCATTGCTAATGGTGTTTCGCTGCAATTACAGGTGAGAGTGGGATCAGCACCGTTTTCTAGGAGATATTTTACAACAGCTGGCTTTCCTGAGGTTACTGCAAAATGCAATGGAGTGAGACCATGTTCAGTTTGCAAATTAACGTCAGCTCCAGCTTTTAGGAGAAGCTTTACTAATCTCGGATGCTCGAATGTTGCTGCAACGTGAAGGGGACTTATTATCGTAAATAAACTATTGACAGGATAACCGGCGTTTAATAGAGTTTCTAATATTTCTTCATTGCCAATTTCAGCGGCGATGTAAACTGCCAATTTTTTAGCGAAATCGTTCGATTGATACTGATTTGTAGGTTCCTGGACAGTTGCTTTGATAGTTTCCACTTGACCCATTCGGATAGAAAAATGAAGCTGCTTCTCCTTAAAATGCGTTTTTGCAAAAATTTTTGTCAAACATGTTAATATATATACAAATAGGTCGTAGTGTTTGTAGGTAATTGTATCATATAATACATCAGCCAGTCTTTCTGTTTTCAAACCTACGTCCACTAAGTATTTAAAAATATTCATGTGTTTATTCTTTATACTTGATTGAAACAAGCGGAGTTTGTCCTTATTAAACGTTTCACTGCTTTTCACGCCATTTTTCATGAGGTATTCTAGAATTTCCAAATGACCACAAGATACCGCGAGTGTAAGAGCAGAATCATCAAATATTGGAATATCGACTGTGCGACATCCGTTCGCCATGAGCAGCTTTACCATTTCATAATTTCCTTCCTTAACTGCGGAACGAAGAGGTCCCATGTATATCAAATCGTTGTCAGTCAAAACTGCACCGTGTTTAAAAAGGATTTCTGACATTTGAACGTTTCCTTTGGCCAATGCAACATAAAGTGGCGTTTTTCCCTCTTTATCTTTTACCTCAATAGAGGCGCCATTATCTAGAAGTGTCTTTGCAAATTCAGAGTGATTATACAAAGCTGCATAGTGAAGAGGCCTTTCGTCCTTAAGATTTCTAGCGTTCAAGTTAGTCTCGTCTAAGAGAAGGTTGAATACCTCAGGTTGATTCCTCATTATCGACAGATGCAGTGGAGTGTTTCCTGCTTCGTCTCGCTTGGTGGTGAACAATTTTGCTATTTCCGTATGTCCTCTTGCAGCCGCCACATGCAGCAATGTCCTTCCTCGTATCGTTTCCGTCGACGAATATTTAGCGAACAGAGAGTGAACAAGATTTAAGTCCCCATTATGGACTGCAAGAAACAGTTCATTATAATCAGTAGTATCGTCGTAATCCTTCGCAAGATCCATGGCAAAGAATTGAAGAACTAGATCCAAATGTACTTTACTCAAGCCTAGATGTTAATGGTCTAAAAATCTCCAATAGGCCGAATTGCTCCAAATAAACATTCTGTAACAAATATTAGAAAATTTGTATCACTTATTTAAAAAAATTCTTATAATCCTTATAAATACTCTCACATACATGTATCTAACAAAAAATTTTATGAATTTTCTAATGTTTAGAATTTTTGAAAAAATTGCATTCACTTTTTTTCGTTGGTACAGTTTCAGAATAATAAATATTTAATTATTATCTATTATGTGTTTTTCCGCAGGTATTAAAATTTCATTACTGTAACTTATTATTATTATTATTTTAATTAAAATTTTTTACAATTTACAACTTTTCTAAAACTTTAATTTGAAGCTTTTTAAAATTCAATCAATATTAATATGTATTAGTAATAATAATTTAACATTCTAAAATATGGAAATGCAAAATACGAGGCGCAGGAATTCTTCCCAAAAGACAATTGATCGTATAGACATTCGCTTGAACAGCATTTGATCGAAAATCAAAATCATTATTTCACAGAATGTGAAATTTTTTCTCTTTCAAATTTTTTCGATGAAGTTAATTAAAATTGTATTTTATTCAATTATTGTTAGAGATAGAAAGAATTTTAAATTAAATGTAATATTTTCCTTTTTCTTAAGTCTGTTAAGTTGAACAACAAAATTCATCATTTTCTTAAAAATTCTAAAAATTGAATATTCTTCCAGTACTTTGGATAATATTCCCTAACAAAGAAAACAATTTTATAAAAGATCGATCAATCTTTTTTAATGAAATATAATTGATAAGTCTTAAAATAAATATTTATATTTTTTCTTACAAAATAATATTAGTGTTTTTAACAAAAGATTACAAAACTTCCGGTCAAGATAAAAATTCACTGTTATTTCCCGGTTCTTACTGGTCCAAAAAAAATTTTGCGTTGGTTTAAGATATATTTTGACTGTTTCATCTAAAATCAAAATAAAAAAAAAATTTCTGTTAGTGAGTGAATATACCTTGCGTGATTGAACGAAGAGTTCTTTTTTGTTGCTGATTAGAACCGATTTTACATGGTCTTAATGGTTCTAAAAATGATAACTTTTGACAAAAGACAGCACAGTAAACGAAAACTAATTGAAATTAATTAAAATGAATTCACGCCTTCTACCAGTCTTAATTTATTTCAATTCGTTTGAATTTGATTTCATTTACTGGGTCAAAACTGTTACTAATTAAAATGATATGGGTGATTCTCCTGAAAGGGACCACTTCACGTGTCTCCAACATGAGGTTCATTATTTAAATTAATTTTTCATTAATATTTTATCAAGTTTAAATTTTTTGAAAAATTTATTTATAATCTACGAAGATTTATCTATCTTTATATAATCTTCTATTGCTTATATTTAAATTTCTTTCTATTTAAAAAACATATTTAATTTTGTCATCGAATTTTGGTTAAACAGAATGTATATTTTATAATTATATTTTAACGTATTTAAACAATTTCAACATATTTATGATATATATCAAATTAAAGTTCAGAATATAAGGATTATTTTTTACTTACATTTGTTTAAAATAAGGTAAAAAAAGTTATTTAAATTATTAATTAAAATAGTATTATCAATGAGAGTAAAAATTAAATTCATCTCCGAAGCCTCATTTTCTATATAATAACATCATATTTTTTAACGTTTTAAACATAATATGTAATCGATGTGAAAATATTTGATGATTAAAATTAAAAATATTGTTTAAAAAATTGTAATATTTTTAAAATTAGAAAAAATGAGAATTTTTTCATTAAATTATCAATTCATCTCCGAAGCCTTTTTTATATTTGATAGCCGTTTTCTTTTGTTTTTAATTTTTTAATCATTGTTTTGAAATATTTAAGGGCATTTGAACCATGATGACGTCACAGATTTAAAACTAATGCTTTGCACAAACTGTGACGTCATCAAGGTTCAAATCCCCTTAACCCTCAAATTAAATTATTAATTTAATAAAAATAAAATATACAATCAAAAAGTGCAATAAATTAAAACATAACAATTTATTATTTAAAAAAAATATTCCTACCGAGTTTTTTTTACAAAATAATTAATTTAAAAGTTATAATTAATTATACTTAACCTCTAGAACACATGATAGTAAAATGTTCCTGGAGGTCTTATTTCTGAAAATTAATTTTGCGCAACTTATATTTTTATCTTTAAACATTTTCTAAACTTATTTATGAAAGAAAAGTAACAAAAAAAGAATAATTTGATTTTTTGGAAATTCAACCAAAAAAGGGTCCCTTTCAGGAGAATCACCCATATACGAATCGATGGCTCCTAAATGAAAACATATTATTCGCGAGAGCTTTTGTAAAACACGTAACTCACGAAAACAAATAGAAAACATGCTTATTTAATTAAATTGAGTTTTTTTAAGGCTATGTTAGAATTTTTAATATTTATTATTTTTAAAGTGTAAACAAATTGCAAAAATATAAGTTAATAAAATTGTTTTATTAAAGCTAAATTAACTTTAAATAATAAAAATTCATATTGCTGCATTTTATACTTAAAATAAATGACAAAATTTAGAAAAAAATTATCCTAAAAAATATTTCAGATGAATAACGCTTTTTCTATTTTTTTTTCGTAAGAGTTAAGAGTTTTATAATTTCTCTCGCGAATAATGTGTATTCATTTAGCAGCCATCGACATGCACCAAAAAAAGTATAAAACTGTCAAAAAATATAGTGTCACTTATTTGTGACAATTGTAATCTTTTTTGTGAAATATTGACTCCACTTATCGATATAGATTTAAAACATATTTAATAACATTTAATAAAAACATAATTAATTTTTTATTAAAAATATACATACCATAATATAATATTTACATTTATCACTTATAAACATGACAATTTTCCGCGAGGAACATCAAACTAATGAAGACATTTTGCTATATGTTTGGATTATAGAATTTACAAGATTTTTTGACTTCTATTTATTTTATTTTATAATATAATAACTATATACAATTATAGAATTTTTTGGTTTAAAAATCAAGAGGCAATTGAGAATGTTTATATAACGTTTATAACCATAAATGAATTAAGCGCAATAGAATGGAAACTTCATCTTGAAACGGAGTAAAGCGGATTACACACAGTTACACATCTCAAAATGAAAAATGTGAGCAAAGGCCATAACGCAGAATAGATCTGTAACCGGAACCGCAATCGTAAGCGTAACCGTTAGAATGAGTTAAAGAAGGATAGGTATATTGTTAATCTTTCTCCAACTCATTCTTACGCTTACGGTTACGATGCGGTTCCGGTTACAGATCTATTCTGCGTTGGCCTCATGGTGCAGTCCCATGCTGAGCAGAAAACAGAATGCAAAGCAGAATTTCAGGCTGAATTCCCATGGCAGCGTTTTGCGTTGCGTTTTGTAACTAGGCAATGAGTATGAGAGAGATAGAGATATATGTTTGCTCTATTTGCACTCATTGTCTAGTTACAAAACGCAACGCAAAACGCTACCATGGGACTCCACCCTCATGAGTGCAAGAGAGCGAGATAGTCAGATATCACTATCCTTTCCACTCTCTCGAAATTCTGCTTTGCATGCTGTCCACAATAGGCTCTATTTATGTTCTAATCGGGCACAGAAGACAGCGAAGACAGAACTCAGCTTCATGGAAAAAAGTTATTGTAGAAAGCTCATTAGAATGTTACTAGGGAGTGGGGGTAAATGTAATGTCAGTGAGGTCAGTGATTGTCGTGATTGTCGAAGTGACAACAAAGAACAAACCGCGGAAGACACAATAATACTGTTCATACTGAAAAATAAATAATAAACGTTGTTTTTTTGTAAAATAAGAAGATTTAAAACGTTCGAAATACTAAATCCGACTATAACTTATTATAAACACGTGTAGTTGTCTTCTTAGTTGCTGACGTTGCTGATAAATCGCTGTGTACTGATGAGGTTAGGACTATTTGTTTATTGTTTACAACTTTACACCGTTTTATTGTTGGTAATAATTGTTCTTTGTTATGTATCTATTGAATGTTTAAAAAGCAAATAATGTGAAATCATCTGGTTTTGACTGTACGTACCGCACTCACTGCCTTTAACGAGTTTTTTGCCCGCCTGTCAATTTGGAGCATTTTTTTACGGAGTGTCTATTTGGCCCGTCAGCGGGCCAAATAAGTTACTTTTATTATTTAGCCCGTCACCCCACTTCCATGCATTTCAAGACGGGCCAAATAAAAAAAGTAGTTTATTTGGCCCGTCAGATAACAAATTAGCTGTAATTAATAACATTAGATTATTATTATTTCTATTTTTACAAATAGATTAATTTAATCACCAGGTACTATTTTTTACATGAATTTGACAGGTAATGTAATAAGAAAATTCTTCTTAAAAATTTTAATAAAATTCATTGAAACGATTCAATTATTTTTAAAAAACATAAACGAATTTTTCACAAAAAAATTAATACTTTGGTAAATAATCAAATTCTCTAAAACTTAATTAGTTAAAATATCTAGTATTTCAAAACAACTTCACGAAAGAATTTAATATTATTAATAAACAAAATTTTGATAAAATTCTACGTGAGAATTTAATTATTTTCATAAATAAATAAATTTTTCGCAAGAGTTCAATTATTTTTATAAATAAAAAAATTATTTTCAGAAATTCAGTTATTTTAAAAAATTTAAATAAAATTCTTCTCAAACATTTAATTATTTTTATAAATATTAAAATTTTTACAGCAATTATAACTTTAAAAAAAGTTATAAAGTCCTTTGGAAAATTTCATAAACAAAATTTTAAGAAATAATTAAATTTAAAAAAATCGCACAAATTCAAGACATTCTCATTTTTTATGAGAATGTAAAAATTGTATTCTTCGGAAATTTTTATTATTGTAAAAATATTTTAATTTTTATATTTTTAAAAAGTTAAATTTTAGAATAATTACAGTTAAAGTGAAAAAAGTGAAATTATTGAAAAAGTAAATAAGTACTTAAATATTTATTTAACTATGAATAAAAATTAGCCTTTTCAAGAAAAGTAATTGAAATTTTTTTTAGTTAAATTCCCATAAATAATTTTAAAAAATGAAATTAACTTTCCAATTAATTGGAAATTTTGTCAAATTTCATTGAATTTTGATTTATATTCGAAAAAATGTTATTGTTTACTTTTAAAAATTATTTTTAAATGTAATTTATAATATTATGTACTATAAATAATTATGTTTATAATTTGCATCTTTACTTTGAGGTTAAAATATACATTACCTTTTAAATTGATGTAAAAAAAATTTATGGTGATTAAATTAATCTATTTGTAGAAATAGTAATAATAATAATAATCTATTGTTATTAATTACAGCTAATTTGTTATCTGACGGGCCAAATAAACTACTTTTTTTATTTGGCCCGTCTTGAAATGCATGGAAGTGGGGTGACGGGCCAAATAATAAAAATAACTTATTTGGCCCGCTGACGGGCCAAATAGACACTCCGATTTTTTTATTAAAATATTCCAGTTGAATTCGTCACTTGACTGGTATTAGCGGAGTATATTCTTGAGTCGGTCAAATTATACGAAACTAAACTTACATTGTATAAAAATATTTTTTAAGAAGCGAAGACGATAGCAAGAACTTATTTGAACACACGCAAAAAAAATGTTTGGTTGGTTCAACAGAAAGTTCGTTTGCTGCAACCGAACTCTCTTGTTAAAATAGGACTGACCGTACACTCGGTTTTTAGTAACCAAACAAATTCGGTTGCATTTAGTTCCGTTGGATTAACCAAACTGACCGTTTCTGAAAACCAAACTCTATTTAAATGTGTTAATTTTTTTGTTTTTGAATTTTGAATTTAAAAATAGGTTTTCTACTTTTTTTACATTATAAAATTTTTTAAAGGTTCTAAAATAAAGAGATTTTTTAGAACACTAAAAAATATAAATTTAATAAAGGTTTAAAAATCTTAAGGCATGGGTAATTTTAGATTTTGAATAATGTTCATTTTTGAAATATGGAATTTCCTCTAAAAACTAATCTAAACTTTTCAACGTTTTTTGTAAATTTTTTGCAACAATTAAAGATTTAAAAAGAAGAAGGAGAAACGCAGAGAACTTTATTTCATTGAAAGTACCAATATTATTATCTTGTTTTATATCTCGTTAAAATTTTAAATTTTATTTTACTTACTTTAGAATTATATTTATAATTTATAAAGTTGAAATTATGTATACTTAGCGTTGTTATATGATTATAAGTTATATGATTCGCAAGTCAAAATATATATTAGTAATAATATAAGGAAACATGAAAATTAATTATTAAATAAATTTATTTCGTAGCAGTATAAGCATGTAAAAAGTGCCCCCTCCTGGATTAGGTCCATATTTAGGGAATAATTTTGACCTGTTATGAAACTCATTTTTACCAAGTTTCAATTCGAAAAAAAATTTTGTTTAACGATTTTTTTGAAAAATTCAAAAAAATTTAATTTTCTCCAAAATATGGCTGAACCCATTTTCTTGAAAAAATTTTTTTTGCACAATACAATATGAACAGTTGATAAAAAAATTGTCGACCAAATTCTTACAAAGAAAATCAGTAAAAAGACAGTAAAAAAAATTTTTTTTTTAAACATTTTTTTGGACAAAATTTTTTTTTTTGCACCACTGCACCGACATTTTTTTCTATAAAATAATTATCATTTCAAAAGTAACATAATTTTTGCAAGATGATTGAAAAGGTACTTCATACTTTAAAAAATAAAAAAACCGATTTTTGGCCCCTAAATAGTACCTACAGTTTTCTATATGAACGAGAGGCTAACATTTTTTTAAATTAAATTATTAATAATTAAATTAAATTTCTAAAAAAGCTAATAATATATGCCTATTTATTGTAAATATTGATTTTTTAATCAACTTTTCAAAAAAATTTACAAAAAAGTAAAGCTATCACTGGAAATTAATGATACATAACTGAAAATTTTAATAATTTATACAATGATTGCAGCAATCGACAAATTTGACAAAAAAAATTTTTTTAATAAAATTGTTTTAGAAATTTTTTTAACTTAAGCATATTTTTTAAAAATTGGAGAAAAAGTTTGAAATTTACATAGGTGGATCATTCAAGTTTTATCTTTAATTTAAGACCAAAAGAGTTTAAAAATCTTATTCGGTTCGTGAGATATATCATTATAAACGTCCGAGCATGTTTTTTGACAATATACTTTTCCAAAGTCCATTTAATCAGCAGTTGTTTATAATCTCCACTCATATTAATATTCTGCTGACTCCACTGACAGATTGAAATTTAAAAACATACATGAAGTAATGTTTTTAAAGTAACAAATGAATGAGTTTGGTTACCATAACCGAAACATTTTGATTTTTGCAACCGAACAAGTTCGGTTGAGACAACCTGCCCTTTGTTTCAATTAACCGAACTTTTTGTAACCAAACCCAGATTGGTCAATTTTACTGGACCATTTTTTTGCGTGCAATTAATTAAAATTTTATAATTTTTGTTCCAGAATACAGAATTTGTGCAATACTTCCCGTTTTAGATTGTAAATCACAGTCAAAACGACAGTGGGCTACGGATTTGGATCTAATTCTTAAATTTGTTGCCATGGATAGTTCGTCGAATGATTACAACGATACTTCTGACTACAATGAACTGTTCCTCGCAGTCCACAATGGAGAGTTACATCGTGCTTTCTCTCTGTTCGATAGATATTCGATAACAGAAACGATACGTGGCAAGTCGTTGCTGCATGTGGCGATTGCAAGAGGACATTCAGAGATTGCAAAAATGTTTATCCTTAAGCGAGACAGATATGGCAATACACCGCTGCATTTGGCGATAAGAGAAGACCAGCCTGAGTTGTTCAATCTTCTTTTGAAGGAAAGTCACCTGTTGAACGCAAGGAATTTTGGGAATAAAAGTCCACTACACTTTGCAGCTTCTTATGATTACCCTGAATTTGCAAAGCCACTTCTAGACAATGGCGCCACTGTTGAGGTAAAAGATAAAGAGGGAAATACTCCACTTTATGTTGCACTGGCGAATGAAAGCCTTCAGGTGGCAGAAGTTCTTTTTGAACATGGTGCAGTTTTGAGTGACAACGATTTGACAAATATGGAATCTCTTCGTAACGCAGTTTGGAGAGGAAATTTAGAATTGGTACAGTTGCTCATGGTGAATGGATGCAGCAGAGTCGATATTCCAAAAATTGGTAATTCTGCTCTTATACTTGCAGCAACGTCCGGTCGTTTGGACATTTTAGAATGTCTCATGAAGAAAGGCGAAAAAAGTAGTGAAACGATTAATAAAGATGAACTCCACTTGTTTAAAACAAGTATAGAGAATTATCGCTCGAATATTTTAAAGTATTTAGTAGACATTGGTGTGAAGACAGAAACAGTAGATGACATATTTTATGACGTAATTAATTTGAAACGTTATGACATGTGGGAGTATTTAGTAAAATTGTTGTCGACAATCTATGCAAAAGCGCATTGTAAAGAGAAGCAGCTTCATTTTTCGGTGCGAGCGGGTCAACCGGAAGTTGTTAAGGCAATTGTAAACGAACCAACTAACGAATATGAATCCGACCCTTTTGCTAAAAAATTGGCAGTTTACATCGCTGTTGAAACTGGCAACGAAGAAATATTAGAAACTCTATTAAACGCCGGTTATCCCGTCGATAGCTTATTTAAGGTAATAACTCCTCTTCACGTTGCAGCAACACTCGAGCACCCGAGACTAGTGAAACTGCTCTTGAAGGCAGGAGCTGATGTTAATTTACAAACTGAACATGGTCTCACCCCATTACACTTCGCAGCAACTTTAGCGCAGCCAGCAGTAGTTAAATTTCTCCTAGAAAACGGTGCTGATCCTTCTAAAACCTGCAATTTCAAAGGATCACCATTATCAATGTCCTTGAACATGTTTTCAGAAATATTTCGGGGAAGGAATATTACTACTTCAACGTTTGAGAAATTAGTAAAAATTACAAAGATGTTGATTCCACATTTGAAAAGTGAAGAATGTAAGGGCTTATTTCACTATGCAATTAAAATAAGAGTGTTAACTAGTAATGAGAAAAATGATTCAAATCTATTATTACACTATAATCATTTTGAATTTCGGCCTGAAATCGTTAGATGCATATGTGCCTACCTAAGTGATGAAGACATTAAACTTTGTTCTAATAGATTTTTAAATATTATTCATTCTTTAAAACCTACACCAGCATTGCTACAACTTTTGATGGAATATGATGATTCGACATCATGTTTTGATATAGAAATAGACAATTTCTATGTAAGTGACAAGAGCAAATTTCTTTTGATAGGTTACTCTAAAAACGTTAATGATCTTTTGAATATTAAAGCGGAAAATTTCTCGTCTCATTATAATGATGAAGATAACAAAAGGGAAAGAACGAATTGTTTTAAGTTGATAGTAGCGCGATTAATATTGTTGACCGAAGACTGTCATCCAGGTGTGTTAGAATTTTGTCAAAAGAACAATCTCACTGATTGGAGAATAGAATGTATAAGGCAGAGAGATATTATGCAAAAGACGAAAATTGACATTGATTTAAACGTCACTTTCTACGATGCCTTAACCCGACCAGTTAATAAACTGGCCATGTACGCAAACAACAAGAATTTTGTGAAGACAGTTGATTATTCTCAAGCAGAATTTCCAGCGTATGCTGAGTTTATAAAAGCGAATGTCGAACTGGCAGAAACTAGAAGAACATTTATAACCGAATGTGTTTGTTTAATGTTTAGTGTGATTAAACAAAATCATAAAATCCAAATTTCAAATGCTGATATTTATCAAATTTTTCAGTATCTTTCAGTTGTAGATTTGCGAAGATTTTCAACAGCTTGTTCCTAAAATGTAAATAATCCTGAATTATAAGGCAAATATTTTTGTATGTATAATTTGTTATGTTTCTTTTTCACGATAAAGAAATTGTCATTTAAGTTCAATGAAAAGTAATTAAAACTCTAATAATTATTATTATATTAAGTTGATTATAAAGTTTAAATACATAGATGTATTAAGTAATTACATTTCTAAGCTTCAAACCATTTTTTGTACAACGGCATAAAATCATTAACACATTAAACAATATTTTGAAAATTTTGTTAAAAATGTTGCAGTGATGTGATATTAAAATAAAAACTACATGAATCACTAAAAGTTTTGCTAATTTTGAGTCAATGGACAAGTTTTTCTTAATTCATCAGGTACAATTTCTGATTGCTTTAACGCATTGGAAAGGATAATCTTCTGGATTTGAAAATGATTATAGACTGGAAGTAAAAGATTATAGTATGTACATAAATATTTAAAAATTAAAACGCATTTGAATTAATTGTAGAATTTGATACAGTCAGACAAATATTGAGTTGATTATCAATTAACAGTAAGAAATTTTTTTTGTCAATTTCATTACTTATTACTTTTTTCAAGAAAATAAAATATGAAGTATACCTGATATTCTTTTAAAATACTCAATTTTGCATGTACACTTGATTACATTGAATAAGAATTTTGAACTCACCTTTAAAGGGGAAAAAAGTTATTGTAGAAAGTTCATTAGAATGTCACTGAGGAGTGGGGGTGAATGTAATGTCAGATTGTCGGAGTGACAACAAAGAACGACAAAGAACAAACCGCGGAAGACACAATAATACTGTTCTTACTGAGAAATAAATTATAAACGTTGTTTTTTTGTACAAATATGAAGATTCAAAACGTTCGAAATATTAATTCCGACTATAACTTATTATAAACACGTGTTTCTTAGTTGCTGAGAAATCGATGTGTATTGATGAGGTTAGGACTATTTCTTTACAACTTTACATTGTTTTTCTATTGTTGGCAATTGCTCTTTGCAATGTATATCATCTATTGATTGAATGTTTAAAAAAAGTAAATGATGTTAAATCATTTGCTTTTGCCTGCGTGTCGCACTCTTCGTCTTCAACTTAAGGTGAGTTTTCTGCTCACCTATAGAAATCGTTTACTCCTTATAGGACAAGTTTCTTTTTGTGAATTCATAATATTACGTTCTCAAGAAAAGTTAAGGCGGTCATAAAAATTGCTATAACTTTTTTTATTTTTCATATTTCTGCAAAAATGTTTAGGAAAGTAATTTTATGAAAATAAGGAAAATTTTAAAGCAAAAAAAAATTGATTTTTTTGAATTCTTTGATTTAATAATAAAGTGCAAAACTGATAAAATGTAATTTTTGACTAAGAATTATAAGAAAAAGGGCCCAAGATAAACATTGTTTCGATTTTATTTTCAAAAAGAGAATAATTTATATATTTTAAACTCAGAAAATTTAAGTTTATAGAACATTTTTATACACATCAAATTTATCACAATGAACTTGTTAATAAAATAAATGCGGTCATGATTTAAAAACTTAAGCATTAAAAAATATTAGACTGAATTCATTTTAAAACAGACAGACTTGATTTATTGGTCGGGTCTGAAAATCAATTTCATCCTCAAAATATTTTTTTTAAAGAATTTTAGACGACACGTATTTTTTCATTGTCCTGAAATTTTTTTTAAAGTTCTAAGAATATTACACTGTTAAAAATCGGACTCCAACTTAACACCGAAAGATTGATAATTATAAACTTTCAATCTCAAAAAGTGTGAATACTTTCATTTGATTGTATTTACTAAAAGGTTGAAACCGCAATAAAATGCAAGAATTCACACTTTGCGATATTGAAATAACATTATTTCAATCTTTTTGGTGTAAAGTTGGAATCAGATTTTTAACAGTGTAATTTTGAGTGATTATTGATAAAATTTTTGAACAAAATGTAGATTATTTATCATATACTTGAGCGAAATTTACATTTTGCTTAAAAATAGCTCATTAAGCACGATTTAAATTGTAAATTTGCATTTACTTTTTTTATAATAATAGTTTCAAACACATTAAAAATTTTTTAACAAACAATTTTTAATTATCTTATATTTTTTTATAAATAAAATTGTTCCTTAAAAAGCATTGTTACAATTTTAATTAGCAATACAGAATATAAACTAATTTAAAAATTTGTTTATCAGGGAAAATGAAAAATTAGTCTGGAAAAGTCAGGAAATTCTGAAAATTAAATTTCCCAGCCACTCTATTATTATTAATTTTATAATTTAAATAATATTAAAAAAACGAATTACTTAAAAATAATTATTAAAAAAATAGTATAAAAAATGTGATTGTTTTGATTTTTTTGTAAAAATCATGATTTTTATCAGACCAGAAATTTTGCTTCTTCAATTATTTATTTTTAATTACTTATAAAAGGGCAAAGTTTTAGTAGTGCCCAATCGTACAAAGTACTAAGAGTAAAACTAAAAAGTTAACATTAAGTGGCCGCATAACAAAAACTATTATTAGTATTATAATTTGTATCTAAATGAAAAAATGTCAAAATTACAAAATAAAACCCAGTTCTGATGAAAAAAAGACGTGTTGATATGCAAGTTTAAAAGAGTTCTTTTTCAACCCAATTAAATTCGCTACTTGGGTCAAATTATTTGAACTCATACTTTTCAATTGTATAAAAATATTTTTTAAATAATGAGGACGATAATAAGAATTTATTTAAATAACTAATTAAAATTTTATAATTTTTGTTACAGAATAAAGAATTTATGCAATACTTACCATTTGAGATTGTAAATCGCCGTCAAAGCGAAAGTGGGCTTCGCATTCGGATCTAAATCTTCAATTTGTTGCCATGGATACTTCAAATGATTACGCCGACACTTCTGGTTATAATGAATTGTTTCTCGCAGTCCACCATGGAGACTTAAATCTTGTTGATTCTCTACTCGAGAAATATTCTTCGACGGAAACGATACGTGGCCGGACATTGCTGCATGTGGCGGCTGCAAGAGGACATGCAGCGATTGCTAAACTATTCATCCCTAAGCGAGACGGAATTAGAGATACACCTCTGCATCTGGCGATTAGAGAAAACCATCCTGAGGTATTCAAACTTCTTTTAGAAGAGACTAACTTGAACGCAAAAAATCTTCGGGATGAAAGACCTCTTCACTATGCAGTTTTGTTTAATCGTCCTGAATTCGTAAAAAAACTTATAGATAATGGCGCGATTATTGAGGAAAAAAATAATGAGGGTAAAACACCTCTTTATGTTTCATTGGCGAAAGGAAACGTTCAAATTGCCGAAATTCTTTTTAAACATGGTGCAGTTTTGAGTGATAACGATTTGACATATATGGGACCTCTTCGTACAGCAGTTGCAAATGGGAATTTTGAAATGGTAAAACTTCTCATGATGAACGGATGCAGCACAGTCGATATTCCAACATTCAGTGATTCTCCTCTTAAACTTGCAGCATCGTGTGGTCGTTTAGAAATTCTAAAATATCTCATGAAAAATGGCGTAAAAAGCAGTGAAACGATTAATAAGGACGAACTCGGCTTGTTTGCAACATGTATAAAGTGTTTCAATTTGAATATTATTAAATATTTAGTGGACGTAGGTGTGAAGACTAACATTAGATGTTATATTTAGTAATATAATTTATTGGAGCCGCCTTGAAATGTGGGAATGTTTAATAAAAGTCGTGTCGAAAATAAATGCAAATACGCATTTTAGAGAGACACAGCTTCACTTCTCTATTCGAACGGGTCAATTGGAAACTGTCAAAGCAATTGCAAACGATCCGACAAACGAGTATCAATCGAACGCTTTCGCTAAAAAATTAGCCGTCTACATTGCTGTTGAAAGTGACAACGATGAGATATTAGAAATTCTTTTAAAAGCAGGTTATCCTGTTGATAGTTTGTTCGAAATTACAAGTCCCCTTCACCTTGCAGCAACATTCGAGCACACGAGATTAGTGAAGCTTCTCCTAAAAGCTGGAGCTGACGTTAATTTACAAACTGAGCACGGTCTCACTCCTTTACACTTCGCAGCAACTGCAGCGCAGCCAGCTGTAGTTAAGTTTCTCCTAGAAAATGGTGCTGATCCTTCGAAAACCTGTAAATACAGAGGGTCACCACTATCAATGTCTTTCAACATGTTTTCACGCTTATTTCGTGGAAGGAGTATTTCTGCTTTAACGTTTGAAAAATTGGTAAAAGTAACAGAAATTTTGATTCCACGTTTGAAAAGTAAACAATCTGAGGAGTTATTTTCCGATGCAGTTCAAATAAGAGTGTCAACTAGTAATAAAAAAAATTATTCAAATTTGGAGTCAGATGTGCTAATCTTAGACGATGATAATTTTGAATTTCGGCCTCAAATCGTTAGATGCATATTTAATTATCTAAGTGATGAAAAAATTAAACGTCTTTCTGAGGAAGAATTCAATAGTGACTGTCCATCAGGTCATACACCAGAATCGCTACAACTTTTGATGGAATATAATGACTCGAAATCCTGTTTCGATATAGAAATAAACGATTACGATGTAAATTACAAGAGCAAATTGCTTTTGATAGGTTACTCTAAGAACATTGCTGATCTTTTGAGTATTAATGCGGATTTTTTTTCGTCTAATTTTGATGATGAAGATAACAAAGAGGATATAACGGATTGTTTTAAGTTGGTAGTAGCGCGATTAATATTGTTGACCGAAGACTGTCATCCAGGTGTGATAGAATTTTGTCAAAAGAACAATCTCACTGATTGGAGAGTAGAATGTATAAGGCAGAGAGATATTATGCGAAAGACAAAAATTGATATTGATTTAAACGTCACTTTCTACGATGTCTTAACCCGACCAGTTAATAAACTGGCCATGTACGCAAACAACAAGAATTTTGTGAAGACAGTTGATTATTCTCAAGCAGAATTTCCAGCGTATGCTGAGTTTATAAAAGCAAATGTCGAACTGGCAGAAACTAGAAAAACATTTATAACCGAATGTGTTTGTTTAATGTTTAGTGTGATTAAACAAAATCATAAAATCCAAATTTCAAATGCTGATATTTATCCAATTTTTCAGTATCTTTCAGTTGTAGATTTGCGAAGATTTTCAACAGCTTGTTCCTAAAATGTAAATAATCCTGAATTATAAGGCAAATATTTTTGTATGTATAATTTATTATATGTGTCTTTTTTATGATAAAGAAATTGTCTTCTAAGTCCAATGAATGTTATGAATGTAATGAAAAGTAATTTAAATTCTTTAATAATTATAATTAATATTTAGTTGAGTATAGAGTTTCAATACACAGATGTAAACTGTGATTACATTGTTAAGTTCTAAGCTTTGAACTATTTTTTGTACGTCGGCATAATATCATTAACAAATTAAATGATATTTTGAACATTTTGTTAAAAATGCCAAAGTGATGTGATATTAAAATAAAAATTATTTTTCTTATTTTTTAAGGCTCTCAGTGAGGCCTTTGAACACTATGATAATCTGTAAATATAATATTATGTTTCGTAAAAATATATGTTTGAAATCTTATAACTATTTGGGTTTATACTTACGAAAAGCACACATAGCTCCTATTGTTCTAAGACTTTTTGTATATATATTTCTGTTTTGATGCATTTATTACGAAAATAATAATGAAAATTGAGACAAATTTTATTTTCATTTAAAAAAACATAAAAAAACAAAAAATCGTGATATATTTTAAGTTTAATTTGTGAAATAGAACCTGTTTCTATAAATTTTCACTCTAAATTTGAATCTCTGAAAGTTTCACTAATTTTTGAATTTGCATTGGAAAGGGAAATCTTCTGGATGTGATTCCCAACTCAATATTCTATGAAGAATCCTTTATGACATCCTTTTATTGTTCCCTACATACGATCCTGCAAAGAATTACGAAAAAGATAAATTTACAGTATATAATAAATAAATCTAAATTCAAATTACTGGGATTATAACTAAATCAATCAGTATAGAGTTACCAGATGATGTTTATTACGAAAAGTAGCACATGATGCAAAAGAGAGGATATATTTTTATAAATAATACAATAAACAACTTCAACACTTTCCTGCAATAAAATCAAATTCAGATGTTCAGAAGTGATCATTTTTAAAAATAATACGCTGTAATTAACGCACTTACCCTACAATCCCTATGTTACATCCCGAGCAGAAGGCGAGTTTGATAGGTTAGGTTAAAGAATTTTGGAGGAATGGTAGGCTGATTATGGTCAAGTTGGTAAAGCTTGACCTTTATTTTTAAGTAGGATCGTTTGCACTTGTCAAAACTACGGGTTTTGAGTTACAACAACAATAAATATTCCCTTTTTAACAATTTATTTAAATATTCAAGAGTATGTTTACAAAATTATACAATGTTACTTACTTTTAGTTTACAGATTAGTCGTAGATTCAAAATTGAAGCGCTGGTCGATATAAGTTTGGTTTTCAAGATGTTGTTTCAATTGAATGAAACTGAGAAAGTTTGTTATGTTACACTTATGTAACTTTCACAACTTTAGAGTTTTTGCGTTTGTTTCAAGAGTTAGTACCGTTTCTAAGTGTTACTTATCGTCACTTGCACCTAATTATGGAAAGAAACTTGTTTCTAAGTGTGAGAAAAGCAACTTGCACAATAATTGAGTACAATTCGGTCTGCAATTGCCAATTAAAGAAAGAATTGGTGAAAAACTACAATTAATGAAACTTGACACGCAAAATACGACAGTTAATACATTAAAATTATTGATTCTAAGTGTCAAATTGCTTTTCTTGCACCTTTTACGGAAAGAAACTTGTTTCTAAGTGAATAACAAAATTGACTTGCACAATAACCGAGTACAACTCGAACTGCAGTTGCCGATTAAAGAAAGAATACAATAAATAATGAAAAACTGAAGGGTCGCTCTACAATGACTACTGGTCTTATAAACCGCACCGGAACTTTTGACAATTTGTGTTAAAAAGCTTTGCCTTATATACTATAAAATTATTAAAAAGTGGGAGAGTTTGTAGACAATTATGGGGGTAAAAGGTGTCAATTCTTTAGAATAATACTTATTCATTATAATTCTATTTATAATTGAGAAAAGAAGAAAGAATGCGATTTCGACAAATGATCTAAATATCTACCTCAATTATGGAAAAAGTGAAGCTAGAGTTACAAGAAGTGATTCACAGAACTCGGGTTGCGTAATGAGGTCATAGCGGCTGAGTGCGAGCTTGCGTGAGTCACTCCTTGACTCAACGCATTGTTTCTTATTTTTGTCAATTTCTATCTCTGGTTTTGTTTTTTAATCATTATTCTAATATGTAGGACGAAGTATAGAATTTCAGTTATAACTTCTATCTCAATTTCGGAATATTAAATGCTTTTATCGTGTTTATTATATGTTATAAAAATAGTTACATCGCAGTTACATAAACAGTTTCTTAAAAATGTACCTGGGATGTAACACCCTACAATAAATTTTAGATATTTGTAAAATCATACGAAATATTCTAAATTTAATTATATTTTAAACTTATAATTATTGTTTTTATTTAAATTAAAAAAATGGTTGGTACGGTTGGTAGATAATTGTTGTTCTTTTCCGCTTTCGGTCGATGTATTCTGCTCACATGTGATCGCACCCTTAATTTGACGTTTTGTTCCCAGTTCACACCTCACTTTTCTCGTTGAAAAATGAGGGAAGATTTGAATACCTATTAAAATTCAAATCTTCCCTCATTTTTCAACGGGAAAAGTGAGGTGTGAACGATCTTCTGCCTGCGCAGGCAGGCAGAGCTGTGAGTGCTCCATTATACCCTACAATAAATTTTAGATATTTGAAATCGTATGAAAAATTACAAATTCTAAATTTTATTATTTTAAACTTTCAATGCTTAAATTAAAAAAATGTTTGATCTTAAATTTTTAGTCACACGCATAACAATATTTAGAACTCGTGTATTGTTAAAGTTAGGTTAAAGTAAAGGAATTGCCGTGGGAATTGCAATATAAACGCAATTCCCATATTTTTCCGCAAATTTTTTTTCTACCGATGGCGGTGTAATTGCACCTTTAGGGTGGAGTCCCATGGCACCGTTTTGCGTTGCGTTTTGTAACTAGGCCATGAGTGTGAGAGAAATTGAGATATATGTTGGCTATATTTGCACTCATGGCCTAGTTAAAAAACGCAACGCGAAACGATCCCATGGGACTCCAGCCTTAGGCGTTGTTTACATGCTTGTAGAAACAGCATTATTTTGAGGCTTTGTTTCACAGCCGAAGTTTCCACTCTATTGCAATTAATACTTTTATGTTTATAAATGTTGTCAACTGTGTCTTGATCGTCTTGCCGTCTTGATTTACAAATAATATTCTATAAATTGTAATTATAATTATATATGTATAGTATATAAAATATAAATAAAAGTTAAAAAGTCTTGGTTTCTGCAATCTAAACGTTGTAAAATGCCATTATTATTTTAATATTTCGTCACAAAAAATCGTCGAGTTTATGAAAGCGATATGTTGATATTGCATTAATCATGGTTAGTACTTTTAATAGAAACTAATTTAATTATGTATTTATTTATTTGTTTCTCGGTTTTTTTTAAATATATCGACAAGTAAAATTTAACAATATCACAAAAACTTGAACCGTTGTATTTTCTGACATTTTTACACTGCCCATTTTTAATGCATGTATGGGAATAAATATTACGAATAAAAAAAAAATACTCTTCACTTTTCTTGAAAATTTCACGAATTCTGACCCATGTAATTCTGTAATTCTTCAATGCGCAGAGTCTCTGAGATATTGAGTCTTATTCGAAGTCATTAAAAAACCATTTGAAAATTTTTAACATGAAAATCGAACTTTTCTGAAAAAAATATAGTTTTTCTCATATATCTTCAATTCTTGAATAAAAATTTTCCGAATAGAAATTACTATTTATACATAATATTAAGAAACAATTTTTGTCTACATTTCATAATTACATCGTTTCCTCCTCAAGATTTTTATTTTAGGAATACATATTACAAATAAACATCATTGACAATCATTGTTACATATAATTTATAATATCAAAAAACCACAAAATATCTTTTTTTTATGAAAATTTCTAATTAATTAAATTAAATTTGTCCGGATAATCGAAAATCCGAATATATACCTATATATTTAAGTTCAATTTATAAAATATTATTTTTATATTATGTTTAAAATATTAAAACGTTTATAATTAAATATAGAAAAACGTTAAAATTTTAAAATATACATATTTTGAATAAAAAAGTAAAAGTTAAAATTATTAAATTAATTATAATATCTTTCTAAAATATTAAATAATTCTATTATTTAGTTTTAATTAAATGAATAAATCATATTCAAAAAAATAAGTATTTCATTGCTATTTTATATTTTCTTTTTGTATACGATTAAAAATTATTTATTACATATTGGACCCTTAATTAAGTGTTTAAAATAATTAATTAGGTAATTAAATTTTAATTTAATTAGTAATACCAAAATCCTTCCTCTATGAAGAAGCAATAAGAATTTATTTAAATAAGTGATACAGACTTTTTTATTTTTATTACAGAATATTTAATTGGAGCTGTTTCTCCTATTCGGGATTGTAGATTACTATCAAAGCTGCAGTAAAGTTCACAGGGATTTAATTCTTCAATTTGTTGCCATGGATATTTCGAATGATTACAACGATACTTCTGGCTACAATGAGTTGTTCCTCGCAGTCCACAATGGAGACTTAAATCTTGTTCACTCTCTACTCGAGAAATATTCGGCGACGGAAACGATACGTGGCAGGACGTTGCTGCATGTGGCGGCTGCAGGAGGACATGCTGAGATAGCTACACTGCTCACCACCAAGCGGGACGAAACAGGAAACACACCTCTGCACCTAGCGATAATGAGGAACCAACCTCAGGTTTTCAATCTTCTTTTAGAGGAGACTAACTTGAACGCTAGAAATCTTAAGGACGAAAGACCTCTTCACTATGCAGCTTTGTATAATCACTCTGAATTTGCAAAGACACTTCTAGATAATGGCGCCTCTATTGAGGTAAAAGATAAAGAGGGAAAAACGCCACTTTATGTTGCATTGGCCAAAGGAAACGTTCAAATGTCAGAAATCCTTTTTAAACACGGTGCAGTTTTGACTGACAACGATTTGATATACATGGGACCTCTTCGTAACGCAGTTAGGAGAGGAAATTTCGAAATGGTAAAGCTGCTCATGGCGAACGGATGTCGCACAGTCGATATTCCAACGTTTGATGGTTCTGCTCTTAAATTCGCAGTATCGTGTGGTCATTTGAACATTTTGCAATATCTCATAAAGAATGGCGAGAAAAGTAGTGAAACGATTAATAAAGATGAACTCCACTTGTTTAAAACAAGTATACAGATGAAGCGCTTAGATATTTTGAAATATTTAGTAGACATAGGTTTGAAGACAAAAACAGTGAGTAATACATTTTTTGACATAATTAAGCATCGACGCTATGAAACTTGGGAATATTTATTAAAACATCTATCGAAAATTAATGCAACAACGTATTTTAGAGAGAAGCAGCTTCATTTTTCAGTGCGAATGAACCAAGTGGAAACTATTAAAGCAACTGTTAAGGAACTTAAAATACCACTGTATCAATTCATTCCTTTCAATAGAAAATTGGCCGTTTACATTGCTGCCGAAACTGGGAATGAAGAAATATTAGAAATACTTTTAAACGCTGGTTATCCCATTGACAGTGTTTTTAAATTCATAACTCCTCTCCACGTTGCAGCTACTTTTGAGCACCCGAGATTAGTAAAATTACTTCTGAAAGCAGGAGCTGATGTTAATCTGCAAACTGAAGATGGTCTCACTCCACTACATTTTGCAGCAATGTCGGTGCAACCAGCTGTCGTGAAATTCCTCCTAGAAAATGGTGCTGATTCTTGTAAAACCTGTGGTTGCTATAAAGAACCACCATTTGGATCAGCTGTAGCCATGTTTGGGACAAATTTATCTTCTAGAAGCATTCCTGTTGTTATGTTTGAGAGACTGATAAAAATTACGAAAATGTTAACTACCTCTACGAATGTTGAAGAAATCGATAGGTTATATTTAGCGGCAGTTACAATAAGGGTGCTAAACATCAACAATTTAAATCAAGAGACAAATAAAGTAACATGGGCCGATTATTCTGAATTTCGTCCTGAAATTATTAAATGTATGTCTAGTTATATAAGTGATGAATCATTGAAAATTAATTGTGAGATGGTCTTTAATGAGTCTCCATCAGGTCTTACGCCAGAATTGATGCAACTTATGATGGATTATGATGATTCAAAATCATGTTGTACTATCGAAATAAACGATCCGGATGTAAGTTATAAATGCAAATTGCTTATGATTGGTTACTCTAAAAATATTGATAATCTTTTGAGTATCAATAAAGTTGAAGATTTCATATTTGATATTGGTTACAAATTCGTCAAAAAGGATAGAACAGAATTGGTAAACTTGATTGTAGCGCGTTTGGTATTGTTGACCGAAGACGGTCATCCTGGTGTCTTGAAATATTGTCTGGACAATGATGTCAATGCTTTGCTAGAGAAGTGCTTGAAAGAGAAGGTGGACATGCAAAAGGCGAAAGTTAATGAAAATATGATCGTTACTTTCTACGACGTATTAACGAAATCGACTAATGAAGTTGCAATGTACGCGAGCAACTGTGACTTTTTAAAAGCAATCGAATCTTCTGATACAACATTTCCGGTGTATGCTGATTTTTTAAAGACAAGTGTCGAAGTTGCAGAGAAAAGAAAAGAGTTCATCAACGAGTGCACTACCTTAATGTTTAGTTTGGTTCAAAAATGTCACAAAATTCGAATTTCTCGAGCTGACATCGGACATATTTTTCAGTATCTCTCTATTATAGATTTGCGGAGATTTTCAGCAGTTTGTTCCTAAAATGTAATTTTTATACCGAATTAACGGAAATATTTTTTATGTATAATTTGTTAAGCGTCTTTCTTCCACGATGAAGAATATACAGAAGAATGTCTTCAGAATGTACAAAATCAAAAGAAGTTAAAACTTTTGTTCCCAAGAATGTACTGAATAGTTATTCAAGCTTTAATAATAATTATTCAATTTAAGTTGATTGTCGAGTTCAAATTTATAGACATAAATTACGATTACACAGATAACTAAGCTTTGAGCTTTGAAACAATATTTTTTGATGTCGATACATTAATACTAACGAACTAATCGCTTATTTAAAATTTTGTTTAACAAATTTTAGCAATGTGACAAACAAAAAATGTTTTTTTTTTGTTAACCCTCAGAGATGTGTTTATTCCTATAAACTGTGAGAATCTGTAAATACTACGTTTCATAAAATATGAAAATTTAATACATACATTCTTTTCTATTTGTCAGTAATTTATTTTCCTGTAATTTCCAATATCTTTCTAATTTCGGGTTACGAAACTCATAAAATTTTTTATAACTACGTCATTTTTCAGTTTTCAGAAATTTTAAACTTATTATCATAAATTTTAAATAGCAAATTAAAAGAACCTTTAAATTTAGACATTTTTAGAAATTTTTACAAATCTTATTTTTTAATTTCTTTTTGTTGTTAAAAGTAACAAAATACTATGTTTCAAATGCAAATATTAATAAATGAAAGATAAATAAAGTTTTGAATGTTCAAATGAGTGAAATATTTTTTTCAATTTCAATATTTTTAAAAATATTGAAAATTACGTTACCTAGAAAAATTTAGAAATTATTTTATTTTACAAAATTTTTGAGTTAATAAGCAAACTTTTTAAAAAATTTTAAAGTTGACACTTTTCTTAAAAGAATGTTATTCTCGTTATTCTTATATATATTTTAACATTTATAATTTCGAATCTGAAACAATTTAATTCTTGCAGAAAATTTTATTAAAATTAATTAAAAGAATTGAATTATTGTTTATCGAAATTTGTGAAAATAATTCAAAAACCTTTCGAGGAATTTTATTGGAATTTTCAAAAAAAATTAAATTCTATTAAGAATTTGTATTAAAATTCTAATGAAAATAATTATAAATCCCTCCGAAGAATTTGATAACTTTATGAAAATAATTCAATACTTGTGACGAATTTTATTAAATTGTTTGAAAATAATTGAATTGTTTCGAAGATTTTCATTAAAACTTTTAAAATAAATTAAATTCTTGCAAGAAATTCAATTAATAATGTATTGAAATTAATTTTTTCGACATTTTTTAAATAATTAAATTCTTTTGAGAAATTTTATTGAAATTTTATTTAAAATAATTGAATTAATTTATGAAACTAATGTCTAAATAGAAAATAATAATAAAATTTGTCAAAATCTAAATTCAATTTTTTTTAATTTTCAATTTCCTTCAAGGAATTTGATTAAAATTGTACTGAAAATAATTAAATTCAATTTTTATTAAAATTTATTGAAAATAATTTTTTTTTGAAAAATTGTATTTTTGAAATTAATTGAATTCTTTTGAAGAATTCAATTTAAATTGTATTAAAAATAACTGAATTCATCTAAAGAATTGAATATAAAAATTTTTGAAAATAATTGAATACTTTCTGCCAAACTTATTTTTGAAAAAAAATTGAATTCTTACCAAATCTTTGAAATTCTATAATTGTTGTAAATGTATAATAATAATTATTCAAATATAAAAAATTATTAAATTGTTACCATTTTTAAAAATTTAAAGTTTTGAATAATATTATTCAAAAATTTTAAATACATATATAATAATATGTAATTGAGTTTTGGAACGTTCGTAAAAAATTGTTTAAATGTTTTTGCATTGAATGTATTTCGAAATTTTAAGCAAATAAAGAACAATAAAAAAATTTATTTTGCAAAAATGATTGCAAATTCAAAGATTGTGAACGCACCCTTATTTTGACGCTTTGTTCCCACAGCTGAAGTTTCTATTCTATTGGGTTTAATACTTTTATGGTTATAAATGTTTTCAGTGGTTTTCAACGTTTTCATCCTTTTCATCTGACAGCTTTTTATTCACAAATCAAATTCTATAAATTGTAAATAAATACTTATATAGAATAAGTACAAGTTAAAAAGTCTTGGTTTCTGTAATCGACATATTGTAATCTGCCATCGTTAATTTAATGTTTGTTTCGTCACGGAAAATCGTCGAGTTTACAAAAGTAAATAAATGTTGATATGGCATTAATCATGGTTAGTATTTTTAATTAGAAACTAATATAAACGACAATAAGTAAAGTTAACAATATCACTAAAGTTTGACACATTATATATTTTTTGTTGTTGACATTTTTACACGCTACAAATTTTGAGTGAATGTGAGAATATAAGTAATTATTTTATGGATTAACTTAAATTATAATATATGTTCAACCTGATTTTTTTAATATAAAAGGGAACAACAAAGTTCGAAATTTTTTGCACAAATGTTATCTGAGGAAAAGAAGTTATTCCTAATCGAACAGAGTGATTAGTATCTATAATAAATGTGGAAAAAGAATTGGATCTGAGGCGGGGAAATAGAAATTATTTCAAAATTTCTGAATTTTCGAAACATCCGTGTCAAAAAATCAAAATCATTGCCCTCCCCGACCTGGTTCCAGTTGAAAATAATTTCTTATGATTCCTGAAATTAGTATTTTTTAATAAATGTAGAAAAAAAATTGGATCTGAGGCGGGGAAATAGAAATTGTTTCGAAATTTCTGAATTTTCGAAAAATCGGTAACAAAAAAAATGTCAAAATCGTTGCCCTCCCCGACCTGGTTCCACTTGAAAATAATTTCTAATGGCTTCTAACATTAGTATTTATAATAAAAGTGGAAAAAAATTGGATCTGAGGCGGGGAAATAGAAATTATTACGTATTATGTTTTTCGTCGAACAAACGTTGGTAACTTCAGTTTCATCTTTATTTGCAATTTTTTATTTTTATGATTTACTGCGTTTTATAATAATTTCCAAATCATTTCTATGAAATTCAAGCCTTCTTTTTATTTTGTATTGACTTACATTTTTTCTTCAACTTTTTCTTTTTATTCTTTCTACATTTTTCTCAAAAAATTTTTTTTTATTTTATTCTTTTTGAAGACATAACCAGGTCCTGCTTCAATAAATTCATTTCTTTCAAAAAACTAAACAATTTAATTACTCCATCCAAACAATTATTCGCCACATCGAAATATATAAATCTCACCTGGAAATTTATTTACAAATATTCATATTCCGAAATTAGTAATAATAATAACAATTATGTTTTAAATGTGCAAACAACATAAAAAAGAAATGCTAAAGGGAGCTTATGCGTACGTGCATTTAAAAGTGATACACATTTTCTCATTTTTGTTATAGAATATGTAAGTGGAGCAATGCTTCCTTTTTGAGATTGCAAATCACCGCCAAAGTGACAGTAAACTACCTACGAATCTAAACCTTTTGTTTGTTACAATGGATCATACAAATGATTACAACGATAGTTCTGGTTACGATGAATTGTTTCTCGCAGTCCACAATGGAGAATTGAATCTTGTCCATTCTCTGCTCGAGAAATATTCGGCGACGGAAACACTTCGTGGCAGGAAATTGTTACATGTGGCGGCTGCAAGAGGACATTTAGAGATAGTAAAACTGTTCATCACTAACCGAGATGGAATTAGAAATACACCTCTGCATCTGGCGATCAGGGAAAATCACCCAGACGTATTCAATCTTCTTCTAGAGGAAAGTAACCTGAACGCAAAAAATTCCTTTCACCAAAATCCACTTCACTATGCAGCCATCTATAATCGCCCTGAATTCGCAAAGGCACTGATAGATAATGGCGCCATTATTAACGTAAAAGATCATTGTAGAAAAACGCCACTTGATGTTGCATTATCGGAAGAAAACGTTCAAATTGCCGAAATTCTTTTTAAACATGGTGCGGTTTTAAGTGACAGCGATTTGACATATATGTGGCCTCTTCGTGACGCAGTTAGGAAAGAAAATTTTGAAATGATAAAGTTGCTCATGATGAATGGATGCAACAAAGTCGATATTCCAAATGACGATGGCATTTTTTCTCGATCTTCTCTCAATCTTGCAATATCGTCTCGTCGTTTGGACATTCTGAAATTTCTCATAGAAAATGGGATAAAAAATAGTTCAACAGTCAATAAGGATGACTTATGCTTATTTAACATAATTACTAGAATTGGAGGTGGTTGTGTAACTACTTTAAAATGTTTAGTCGATTTTGGTTTTAAGACGGAAGAGGCAGATGTTATATTTTACAGACCAATTATTTGGCATTTCCATGATATATGGCGATATATATTGACATGTTTCTCAAAGATTAATGCAAGCACCTTTTTTAAAGAGAAGCAGCTTCATTTTTCAATTCGAATGGGCCAAGTGGAAACTGTTAAAGCAATCGTAAACGAAGCTTCAAATGAATATAAATTGAGCCGTTTCGACAAGAAATTGGCCGTTTACATTGCTGCTGAAAGTGGCAACGCTAAAATATTAGAAGTTCTTTTAAACGCCTCTTATCCTATTGATAGTGTGTTTAGCATTGGAAGTCCTTTGCACATTGCAGCTACAGTCGAGGACACGAAATTAGTGAAACTGCTCTTGGAAGCTGGAGCTGATGTTAATCTGCAAAATGAGAAAGGTCTCACGCCATTGCACTTTGCAGCATGTGCAGGGCAACCAGCAGTAGTCAAATGCCTCCTTGAAAATGGTGCTGATCCCTCCATAGCCTGGATGTTCAGCGGAGCACCATTAGAAATGGCTTTGAAGTTATATTCACCCTCGTTTTCTTGCAGACCTACTTCTCCATTAGTGTTTGACGGTTTGGTAAAAGTGACGGAGTCGCTAATTCGGTATTTAGAACCTGAAGAGATTAAAAGCTTAGTTCCAAAAGCAGTCGGAATAAGAGTGCTAAGAATCAAGAATTCAAATACAGAGTCAAATGAACTAACAACAGGCGATGGTGATTCTGAATTTCGTCCAGAAATCGTCAGATGCCTATTTAATTATCTAAGTGATGAATTAGTTATATGTTCTTCTGACGGAGCTTTAGATGATGCGTATCCACTGGGACATACACCAGAATTGTTGCACCTTCTGATAGAATATAATGATTGCACCTCATGTATTGATATGAGAGTGAGGGATCGGGAGAACAATTACAAGTGCCAATTGCTCCTAACTGGTTACTCTAGAAGCATTGAGGAACTTTTAAATACTGCAGAGTCAATTATCTGGAGTAAGAATAATGATGACTACGAAAAAGCTGACATGGAGGGTTTAATAGTTTTTCTAAAATTGATAGTAGCGAGACTAGTATTATTAACTACAAAACATTATCTACCTTTGATTAAATTTTGTTTAAAGAATGATTTTAATGATTGGCGAGAGAAGTGTTTAAAGGAGAAAAGGGTCATGCAAAGGACGAGAGTTAATAAAAATCTGAACATCACATTCTATGGTGTTTCATTGAAATCAGTTAATGATCTTCTAATGTATGCAAGCAACAAAGAATTTCTGAAAGCATTTAAATCTTGTCAAGTACAATTTCCGGTATATGCTGATTTTTTAAAGGCAAACGTCGAAATGGCAGAAAAAAGAAGAAATTTCGTCAACGAGTGCTCCAAATTAATGTATCGCGTGGTTAAAAAATGTTACAAAATTCAAATTTCTAGTTCTGATATCTGTCATATTTTCCATTATCTGTCAATTGTAGATTTGCGAAGATTTTCAGCAGCTTGTTCCTAAAATATGATTTTAATATTTAATTAACAAAAATATTTTCTTATGTATAATTTGTTATGCATTTTCAGTCTGCGAATATGAAATTTTTATTTAAAGATTCGTTCTCATTAATGTATTCAAAAGTAATTTAATCTTTAATAATAATTATATTCATATTATTACGTTAACTATAAAGTTCAAATTTATGGATGTATATATTGCGATTACACCGTTAACTAAGCTTTAAGCTTTAAAACAATGTTTTGTACGTCGTCACTGTAACATTAACAAAACAAACGTTTATTAAAAGTTTGTTTAAAATATTTCAATTATATGACATTAAATAAAAAGTTATTTCTTTATATTTTTTAACCCTCAGTTAGGCTTTTATTCTTATACACTTGTGAGAATTTATAAATAATAATACTTTTTATAAAATATTTGAAACTTTAAGACCCTATGCTTATACGCAATAAGTGACTGTTATCGACAATAAACGACAATTCGGTTGTCTGGTGGGAACTATGCGGAAATTACATATTCAAAAGCGCTAGAGTGGGGATAAGTCAGCGTAGGCAGAGGGTTAAACTTGTTTTTTTCTTTTTGAGTAAATTCTTTTCCTGTAATTTCGAATAATTTTCTATTATTGAGTGTGTTTTAAAATTATTATATATTTTTTAAAAGGTTGCATCTCATATGATGGGTTCAAAAAATAGCAAAATTTTGTTTTAATTAATAAATTTAATTAATTAATTAATTAAATTTAATTAAATTAATTATTAATTAATTTAATTTAATTTAATTTTTATTTAATCTATAAATTGATGTATAGATAATAAAAGTTTTTGAACAGGAAATCTAGCTTTAGAAAATTCATAAATTTTATGATTGGTATACGCATGTATAGAGTGTTAACAAGAATAATTAGAATATATTTCAGTATAAGTGATGTAAACTCTCTTATTTTTGTTACAGAATATTTAATTGGATCAATTCTACCTATTCGACATTGTAGATTACTTTCGAAGTAATTTTTTCTTTCATTCGTTGCCATGGATCGTTCGAATGATTACAGCGATACTTCTGACTACAATGAGTTGTTTCTCGCAGTCCACAATGGAGACTTAAACCTTGTTCATTCTCTGCTAAAAAAGTATTCGGCGACGGAAACAATTCGTGGCAGGACATTGCTGCATGTGGCGACTGCAAGAGGACATGCAGAGATCGCAAAACTGTTCATCACTAACCGAGACGGAAGAGAAAATACACCTCTGCATTTGGCGATAAGCGAAAACCAGCCTGAGTTATTCAATCTTCTTTTAAAAGATAGTAACTTGAACGCAAGAAATCTCAATGGTGAAAGACCACTTCACTATGCAGCTTTGTTTAATCGTTCTGAATTTGCAAAAAATCTTATAGATAATGGCGCGATTATTGAAGAAAAAGATAGTGAGGGTAAAACACCTTTTTATGTTGCAATGGCGAAAGGAAGCGTTCAAATTGCCGAAATTCTTTTTAAACATGGTGCGGTTTTAAGTGACTACGATTTGAAAAATATGGCACCTCTTTGTAACGCAGTTGAGGAAGGAAATTTTGAAATGGTAAAACTGCTTATGGTGAACGGATGTAACACAGTCGACATTCCAAGTAAATATGGTTCTTCTCTTTACCATGCAGTATCATCTGGTCATTTGGAAATTCTAAAATATCTCATGAAAAATGGCTTGAAAAGTAGTTCAACAGTTAATTATGATAAAGAAGGCTTATTTAATTCAAGTATTTCAAAAGGCAATTTAGTTACTTTTAAATATTTAATCGATATTGGCATTAAGACACAAAAATTATATAATATTTTTAATAGAATAATTATTAGGGGTCATCATGAAATGTGGAAATATTTATTAACAAGTTTGTCGAAAATTAGTGCAAAAACGTATTTTAAAGAGAAGCAGCTTCATTTGGCTATTCGAATGGGCCAATTAGAAACTGTCGAGGCTATTGTAAATGAACCATCAAACGAATATGAATCGGACAGTTTCGCCAGAAAATTAGCCGTTTACATTGCCGTTGAAAGTGGCAGTGAAGAAATATTAGAAATTCTTCTAAACGCTCGTTATCCCATTGCCACTCTGTTTAAATTTATAAGTCCCCTTCACCTTGCAGCAACATTCGAGCACCCGAAACTAGTGAAACTGCTATTGAAAGCCGGAGTTGATGTTAATTTGCAAACTGATTATGGCCTCACCCCATTACATTTCGCAGCAATTTCAGCGCAGCCAGCTGTAGTTAAGTTTCTTCTTAAAAAAGGTGCTGATCCCTTTAAAATCTCCCAATGCAGTCAATCACCGTTAAAAATGGCCATAAAGATATTTTCTCCGTTTTGTGATCCTGTACCTGTTTCTGCATTAGCATTTGAGAGATTGGTCAAAATAACGAAGATGTTAATTCGATATTCAAAATCGGAAGCTATTGAAAGTTTACTTTCACCTGCAGTTAGAATAAGGGTTTTATCAAGTATCAATGATTCAAATTCAAAGTCTGATGGACTACTATCTGACGTAGGAAATTCCGTATTTCGTCCTGAAATTGTTGAATGCATATTTAATTATCTAAAGAAAGAAAAAATTAAATGTTGTTCTGAGTCAGTTCTAAATGATGATAATGATCCATCTGAATATACACCAGAGTTGCTACAACTTATGATGGAATACAATGATACGAAATCTTGTTTCAATATAGAAATAAACGTTTCCGATAGAAATTACAAGTGCCAATTACTCATAACTGGTTACTCTAAAAACGTTAAAGATATTTTAAGTGTTATTTCTGAACTTTTTTATACTTACACGGAGAGAAAAATCAATCGTTTATAGCATGAATGCTTTGTATTTTAAAAGTATGAAATGTTAGTATACTATGACTGCAAGAAAGTATACTGCGATTGCAAGAATCCTATGCTTTTTCGGTATTAGACCCTTGCAACTGGCTATTAGGCCACGCCCAGAGCCTGGGCCGACCAATCACATTGCAGAAAACTTTTACCGAAATCGCATAGGTTTCTTGCAATCGTAGTATGAAGAACTTCATGCTAAAAAGCCCAGATATTTCTCTCCGTGTACGATGAAGATAACGACAATGACGTCGAAAAGAAGAGTAAAATAAATTTCTTAAAATTGTTAGTATGTCGTTTAGTATTGGGGGCCGTCTATAAACCACGTAGCCCCATTTTTTGAGAATTTTGACCCCCCCCTCCCCCCATGTAGTACGCTATTACATGTATTAGCGCCATTTTTTCCTCTTGTCGTAGTCAATTGCTTGACCCCCCCCTCCCCCTCAAGAGGCTACGTGGTTTATGGATGGCCCCTTGTTGAAAACGAATTGTGATTTAACTGAGTATAAGAAATGTGAATTCATTGATCTTAATGCTTTGCGAGAGAAGTGCTTAAAAGAGAAGGTGGACATGCAAAAGACGAAAGTTAATAAAAATCTGAACTTTACTTTTTATGATGTACTAACGAAATCAATTGATAAAGTTGCAATGTACGCGAGCAACAATGACTTTTTAGAAGCAATCGAATCTTCTGAAATAAAATTTCCCATGTATGCTGATTTTTTGAAGGCGAATGTGGAAATAGCAGAAAAAAGAAGAAATTTCATCAACGACTGTGTTAGTTTTATGTTTCATTTGGTTAAAAAGTATCACAAAATTCGAATTTCTAGAATTGAAATCAATCAAATTTTCAAATATCTGTCAATTGTAGATTTGCGAAGATTTTCAGCTGCTTGTTCATAAAATTTAATTTCAAAACAATTAACGTAAGGGTTCGTTTTAATCAATAATTTGTTACGCATCTCCTTTCTACGATAAAGTATTTTAATTTTAAGGATTTGTTCCCATGATTGTATTGGAAAGTAATTTAATCTTTAATAATAATTACATATATTAATATATTATTTCATTAATTATGAAGCACAAAATTATGGATATATTTTGGAATTACATCGTTAACTAAGTTTTAAATCAATGTTGTTTTCGTCTACACGTTAATATTAATTAATTAAACTTTAACATAATAAAATATTACTTTTTAAAATATTTATGGAATTTAAAAATCCTAATCGACCCAAAGGCTTCCAAAATTCAAGTTATTTTGTTGATATTAAGAAGCAAAAATGTTACAAACTTTCAGAGTAAAGCACTCCCGGCAGCCGTTTTCTAATAAGACTTATATTATTATACATATTATAAAAAAATTAGATACTAAATGTTTATGTTGATCAGTATACATAATTATCGTTGTATCTACAATAGCTTGCAAATGTATTTATTATGTCTAATTCAAAGTTAATTATCACATTCTATACATATAAATTATAACGATAATTTACTTAAAATCAGACAAATCAAATGCATTTTCGGCATATTATTTTTTTCTTTCGACTGAGGTGTAAATGCACCTTTAGGCATTGCTAACATGCATGTAAAAACAGCCTTAATTTGGGGCTTTGTTCCCACAGCTGAAGTTTCCACTCTATCACGATTAATATTTTTATGGGTATAAATGTTGTCAACTGTCTCTTGATTTACAAATAATATTCTATAAATTATAATTATTAGATACTTATATAAAATATAAGTAAAAGTTAAAAAGTCTTGGTTACTGTAATCCAAACGTTGTAAAATGCCATCGTTATTTTAATGTTTGTTTCGTCACGGAAAATCGTCGAGTATATAAAAGCGATATGTTGATATTGCATTAATCATGGTTAGTAATAATAGAAACTAATTTAATTATGTATTTATTTATTTGTTTCTCGGTTTTTTTTAAATATACCTACAACAAGTAAAATTAATAATATCACAAAAACTTGATCCGTAGTATTTTCTGACATTTTTACACTGCCCACTTTTAATGCATGTATGGGAATAAATATTTCGAATTAAAAAAAATACTTTTCATTTTTATTGAAAATTTCACGAATTCTGACCCATGTAATTCTGTAATTCTTCGACGCGCAGAGTCTCTGAGATATTGAGTCTTATTCGAAGTCATTACAAAAACATTTGAAAATTTTTAATATCAACATCGAACTTTTCTGGAAAAATATAAAGTTTTTCTCATATCCTCAATTTTTAAATAAAAATTTTCCGAGTAGAAATTACTATTTATATATAATATTAAGAAACAATTTTTGTCTACATTTCATAAATACATCTTTCTTTCTTTCTTTTGGTTAAATGGCCTCTGGTCCCATAGGTATGGAACAACTAATAAAATCATAAATACATCGTTTCCAATCATTGTTAGATAATTTATAATATCAAAAAACCTATATATTTAAGTTCAATTTATAAAATATTTTTATATTATGTTATTTTATTATTATAAAGAAAAACGTTAAAATTTTAAAATATAGGTACATATTTTGAATAAAAAAGTAAAAGTTGAAATTATTAAATTAATTATAATAAAAAAAATAATCTTTCTAAAATATTAAATAATTCTATTATTTAGTTTTAATTAAATGAATAAATGATATTAAAAAAAAATAAGTATTTCATTTCTATTTTATATTTTCTTTTTGTACGATTCAAAAATATTTATTACATATTTGACCCTTAATAAGTGTTTAAAATAATTAATCAGATAATTAAATTTTAATTTAATTAGTAATAACATAATAATTAATTAAATATAAATACACTACCGTCGGAATTATCGGTACAAAAAAATTGTATTGTATATTGTATTGTAGATACCGATGCAGCATAAACATTTGCGCACATTCTGTTAGATCAGCTGAAAAAAGCATCACAAAATCTGAAGAATAATCAAAATGTCTGATGTTTTGACATAATTCCACATCATTATCTTTTTAGTACTAAATCCTTCCTCTATGAAGAAGCAATGAGAATTTATTTAAATAAGTGATACAGACTTTTTTGTTTTTATTACAGAATATTTAATTGGAGCTGTTTTTTCTATTCGGGATTGTAGATCACTATCGAAGCTACAGTAAAGTCTATAATGGATTTAATTCTTAAATTCGTTGCCATGGATCGTTCGAATGATTACAACGATACTTCGGACTACAATGAATTATTTCTCGCAGTCCACCATGGAGACTTAAATCTTGTTCATTCTCTACTCGAGAAATATTCGGCGACGGAAACAATTCGTGGCAGGACATTGCTGCATGTGGCGGCTGCAGGAGGACATGCAGAAATAGCAAAGACACTTTTAGGTAATGGAGCCACTATTGGGGTAAAAGATATTAAGGGCAATACACCGCTCGATGTTTCATTGGAGAAAGGAAACGTTCAAATGGCCGAAATTCTTTTTCAACATGGCGCTGTTTTAAGTGACAACGATTTAACTAATATGAAACCTCTTCGTAACGCAGTTGAGGAAGGAAATTTTGAAATGGTAAAACTGCTTATGGTGAATGGATGTAACAAAGTCGATATTCCAAATGATGATCGCAGTTATTTGGAATCTTCTCTTGAACTTGCAGTATCGTCCGATCGTGTGGACATTCTAGAATATCTCATGAAGAATGGCGTCAAAAACAGCTCGACAGTTAATGAAGATGAACTACGCTTATTTAGATCACATATTTTGAAAGGCAGTTTAGATACTATAAAATGTTTAGTCAATATTGGTATTAAAGTACAAAATTTAGGTGATGTATTTGATGCTACAATTAATTTGGGTCGTCATTACATGTGGAAATATTTAGTTACAAGGTTGTCGAAAATTAGTGCAAATAATACGTGTTTTAAAGAAAAGCAGCTTCATTTGGCTATTCGAATGGGACAACTGCAAACTGTTAAGGCAATTGTAAATGAACCATCAAACGAATATGAATCGGACACTTTCGCCAGAAAATTAGCCGTTTACATTGCTGTTGAAAGTGGCAGTGAAGAAATATTAGAGATTCTTCTAAACGCTGGTTATCCTGTTACTGACAGTCTGTTTAATTGTATAAGTCCCCTTCACCTCGCAGCAACATTCGAACACCCGAGACTAGTGAAACTGCTATTGGAAGCTGGAGCTGATGTTAATATACAAACTGAAGAGTGTGGCCGTACACCATTACATTTCGCAGCAATTGCAGCGCAGCCAGCTGTAGTTAAATTTCTTCTAAAAAATGGTGCTGATCCCTCTATAACCTCTAAACGCGGTGAATCACCGTTAAAAACGGCTTTAGTGATTTATTCAGGTTGGATATATGTATCCATACCTTTAACTCCTTTAGTGTTTGATAGATTGGTAAAAGTGACGGACATGTTAATCCAGTATTGGAATAGTGAAGCTAATGAGGATTTATTTTTTTACGCACTTAGCATAAGAGTTTTAAATATCAATAATTCAAATCCAGAGTCAAAGGAAATAATATCTGACCTAGGTGATTCGGTATTTCGTCCTGAAATTGTTAGATGCATATTTAATTACCTAAGTGAAGAGGAAGTTAAATGTTGTTGTGAATCAGTTTTACTTGAAGAAGGATATTCATCTCGTTACCCACCAGAGATGTTACAACTTCTGATGGAATATAGTATTGATGTGAAATCGTGTTTTGATATAGAAATATATACTTGCATTAAATATATCAAGCACCAATTGCTGTTCATTAGTTACTCGAAAAACGTTCGTAATCTTTTAGACACAATTTCAAAAACTATGAATGATTACGATCAACGTTACTACAATGACGTAGAGAAAGAGAATATAATAGAATTATTAAAATTATTATTTTGTCGTTCAGTATTGTTGAATAGAAATTGTGATCTAACTGACTTTGAAGAAAGTGAATTAAATGATCTTATTGATTGGCAAGAAAATTGTATACTGGAGAAGATTGTCATGCAAAGTACGAGAGTTAATAAAAGTTTAAATTTCACTTTCTATGACGTATTAACGAAATCAATGGATAAAGTTGCAGGGTACACAAATAATGAAGATTTTCTCACTGCAGTGAAATCTACACAAAAAATATTTCCGATATATGCTGATTTTTTCAAGGCAAATATCGAAATAGCAGAAAGGAGAAGAGATTGCGTCGATGAGTGCACGACGTTAATGTATCGTATGGTTGAAAAATGTTACAAAATTCGAATTTCTAATTCTGATATTCGTCACATTCTCCAGTATCTCTCTATTGTAGATTTGCGAAAATTTTCAGCCGCTTGTTCCTAAAATGTAATTTCATGACAAATAACGCAAATATTAGTTTTGTTGAATAAGTTGTTATGCATCTCCTTTCTACGAAAAAGGAATTTTAATTTAAAAGGATTTGTTCCTTTGGAATCTATTGGAAAGAAATTTAACATTTAATAATAATTATTGTTAATTATGAAGAGTTTAAATTTATGGACGTATAATAAGTATATTGCGATTACATCGTTAACTAACCTTGAAGCTTTAAATTAGTGTTTTGTACGTCTGCTTATTAAGATTAACAAATTAAAAGCTTACAAAAAATTTGTTTAAAATGTTTTAGTAGTGTGACAATAAATAAAAAATACGCTTTTTTTCTTTTTCAGCCCTCAGTGAAGCGCCATATCAATACGAAACCAAAAGTAATTTTTTAAAATTATGTTTATTATTTTCTAACTTTAAAAATTTATTATCGGATTTATCATGATAATTAGGGGAATTCATGATGATAAAGAATATTCTCGAAAATTGCAAGTAATGTTAGAAATAAATATTGAAAAACGAAATTACAAAAGTTGGATTTTTGGCGAAAGTGAGAGACTTGAACTAAGGAAATGTATTAAACCTCAAATTACTCCACTTTCAATCGTTAATAAAATAATTTCCTCGCAAAATTATTGCAAAAACGGAGAGGGCCGCTCCTCGGAGAGTCTTCCTCTATCACCCCTCCAAATATGAACCCGAAATATTTTATCCTCTCAAAATGAGACGTCTATACTGAACCGTTCAAAACCCCCTTTTTCCGTATATTTCAACAATTTTTTTCAATAATTATTTATCAAAATTTCTCTAAATTCCGAGAGGACCGCTGGTCCCAGAGCATTTCTCTATATTTACCAAAAAATACCGACTCAAAATATTCTTCTCTTCTTAAATGAGACGTCTATCACGAAGCCATTATTTTTTCCCGGATGCCCTTAAGCACCTCACTTTTTGAGATAAATTTTCATGTCCAAAAATACCCAGCAAAATCTGTTCACAAAAATTCCATGCTCTTTAAAATCAAATAATATATAAATTTAAATAATAACTAATTACTTAATTATCATCTTAAAATATTTATAAACAGACAATAATCTATCAATCTATATACAAATTATAATTATTTTTAGTTAAGATGATCACGATCCAACACATTGATAAATAATGTTTAAACGCCATTTTCATACGGTTGAAAAAAATAATGAATGACTTTACGTCCTGTCGTCAGCTATCTAAAAGCGACATTTTTGTACATGTGGGATGAAAAATAGTTTAAAATTAAATTTTTTTAAAATAATTGAATTTCAGGTGTTAAATGGAATTTTTTTTTGAAATAATTGATTCATAAAAAGTTGCATTACAAGTTCTATATGATTAATTAAATTGCACAAGAATTTAAACTGTATTTTTATAAATTAATTGACTTTCATACGGTTTAAAATTAAAAACTTTTTTTAAACAATTGAAATTCAGCAGGTTTTAAATTGAATTTTCTGAAAATAATATACGTACTATTTTCTTTTATTCCTCAAAATGAACACGTTAGGATAGGTCCGATTTAAAGAAATTTTTTACCATTACACAGTGTTATTAAATTTTTAAGTGATTTATTACATTAATTGCGATATTTCAAATAATATAAAACTTATATAATTAAATAAGTTCGATAATTATAAATTTTCAGAATTGCAGGAGGAGAAAAAGATTCTTTTGTTCCAAAATTTGTTATGGTCCTATTCTTATTCGAAAATAGTCAATAAGTGAATAAAGAGAAGTTAAACTAAGTGCAAAAATTATTTAATATTTCATTTTTATGTCATTTAGCTGAAACTGATAAATTTTTCAATTGTACATTACATAAATTTTAATTAATTCCTCTTCTTCTATTTCGATATTGAATATTTTAATGTTACAATTTATTAGACACTGATGACATATTTAATTGTATGCAGCGTGTTGTGTTCTAATTTATCAAACATTATTAATAAACTGTTTAATATTGTACATTGTTTTATATTTTGTTTTTCTTTAATAAAAGTTCTCTTTAATTTTTAATTCATTATTTTAAATCTATAGGTATTGTCATTAACCATAAATATCAGTACATAAACTGATTTCTAAATGTTTTAAATTACATCAAATTTAAGCTGTTCAAAATAAATGCATTGTCCTTAATTTGATACTTAGAAATGTGTATTAAACTTTTAGTTTATTCGGAACAATGGAATTGCACCGTTTTTTTCATTTCTGATTTAATTGGTGAAGCGATTACAAATCGATGTAAATCTGCAGTGCCCATGTATGATATAATTTTATCCAAAACAAGAAAGGGTAATTGAAATCTTTCTATAGTTTGAAAACAGTCGTAACTTAATTCTATTAATCGCTTTTCAAGTTTTGCTTTATTTACACGCACTTCAAATTGATGGGCGAAATTTGGAAATAAAGTTTTAATATCAAATGAATTTATGAATTCGAGAAAAATGTCATTTCGCATCAAAATAGAAAGTCGTCTATGTGACATAGTTAGGAGATCGTACATTGTCACATCAGTTTCACTAATTTTTGTTTTTTTCATTTCTTCAAGTTCGTTAGGGCATTTAGGATAATTGCGATCTAAGACTCTTAAATTTACGCTGTGATCAGATGTCAGATGAATTATTTCATTAAATTTAGATGAAGATCTTGAAGATTCAAATATTGATTCCGTTTCCCCTGAACAGAAAGTGGCACCATAGTGCAAAAGCAATTTTGTAATATTTATGTTTATATTCCAGTCGATAGACCTGTAAAGTGGAGTGTGATTGTTGGAAGCAATACAATTAACGTTAGCGCCAGCTTCTAGAAGTAATTGAACGCATTCGAAACTATCCATATCAACTGCGATCCAAAGTGGAGTTTCATTTTCGTAATTGCAAGAATTGATATTGGCATTTTTTGTTAACAAAATTTTAGTAATTTCTACGAAATTGTACATCACTGATACATGAAGTGGTGAAAATTTCTTTCTGCTTCCAATTACATTCACATTGGCACCACGTGCCAAAAGTTCTTTGACAATAGTTGAGCATCCTCCTCTACAGGCATGATGCAGTAATGTAAAATCATGAATCAAACAATTAACATTACAATCATTTGGTAAGAAATTGTAAAAAATATCCGTTAATCCGTACTTAATGGCACCTATTAATACATGATATTCCAGAAATTCTTGCTTCATTTTTTCCTCACAGGATGTTTCTTCTTTATTTAAAAGACTTTGCACAATGTTTCTATTTTCTATCATCGTTGAATGATCTAGAGGAACTAATATCAATTCCTCCGGTATTGACATATTTTTTATGTCATCGGTGTTAAGCCTAAAACCATAATTATAAAATAATTCACTGATTAACTGGCATACAGATTTATTTCCATGTTGTGTGAACATTCTTAGATAAAGTATTGTGTCATTATGAAATCTCAGAAAGGAAAGGAAAAAAGCCATTTTTAGAGTAATATTGCAAGTATCTGGATTTTCACCCAGAAGAATTGTAGCATCAATCAGAGATTGACACTGAACGGCGTAACTCAAAGGAATCAGGCCATCATTATTTATAGCTGTTAAATTAGCACCGTTATTTATAAGCATCTTTAGAAATTTGCCTTTGTCTTTATTGAAATCATATTGGGCTGCCAAATGCAATGGAGTGTCATCTGCAACAGTAGTAGCGTTTACATCTGCACCTGCTCGTAAAAGAAGAAGCGAAATTTTTTTATGACGAATTTGGCTAGCAAGATGTAGAGGTGTTTTTTTACACTTTGTCTTAGCATTCACTTCAGATCCTTTAGATAGTAGAAATTCAACAAGATCGTAACTACGACTTTCAACCGCTCTATGTAACACTGTATAACCACTAGAGTCTTTTTCCTGAATATCTCCACCATTATCAAGAAGCATTTTTATTTCATGCTGTGATAAAATACGCTTAATACTATCATTAAACGCCTCATGATAAGGTGTATTGCCAACCTTATTACAAATTTTTATATCAGCTCCATTTTCAAGTAAAAGTTGAATAGCACTTTCAGAAAGATTGTTTCTTTCTGAAACAGCAATATGTAGAGGTGTATTCAACTCTTTATTAGTTGCATTAACAATAGCTCCTTTTTCCAGTAAAATTTTTATGATTTCCACTTTTGCAATATGTACCGCAAAATGAAGTGGAGTCTGATCGTGATCTTGAGTTTCGTCATTCACTTTTACAGGATGATGCAAAAGGAGTCTTGAAATTCCGAGAAAATTGACTAGAAGGAGTTCGTACACTTCGTATTCTACTTTTAATTCTTTATGACGTTGTGATGAATAAGAAGAATTTTCAAGCATACTACAAAGTAGTGAATAACCAGAAGAAGATGCGAGGTAATCATTAAAATTGTTGTCAGAAAGAATATTTCTTACTGTCCACTCATTACCAGAGTAACATGCATTTTGTAAAGACTGAATTTCTGTCGAAGACATTGTCACTTTATTCTTTGAGACTTATGTTGAATTATTCAATTGGATCAAACTTGTTGACATTGAAATTGAGAAAATCTGTAAACAAAGAGTTTGTTAATTTTACTGGAAAATCATTAAAAAATAACAGTTATTACTTAATTGAGAATACCAAAAACTAGCTTTTAAAAACACACTCCGAAGAAAGAACCCCATCAAGAAATAAAAAAATGTTAGGTCATGTTTATTATTTTTGGAAATAAAAATACACCTAGAAGATCAACTTTTAATATAAACCTGTTACGATCAAATCTTCATTACATCCAAAATAGTTTATAAAAACAGATTTAGCATTAAATTAAATAATTTTTTTAATTTAGATACAAATGACGCAAAAATAACCTAAATATGTAATTTGACTCTTAGGTGATTTTCTTGGAAGCGCGTTACATATTCTCATTTCTCTTAGAAGCAAAGAAAATAAACTATATCGGCGGTAATTGTGCGATTGCTACTTTTTCTTGACTATTAAATAACTTCTAACTTAAAAAAAATATTAAAAATTTTTCTATTTTATGTTCAAAAAAACTGGAAAAATAACTTTAGAATGCAGGTCATAAAAGTTCACTGTGGGTCCCCCATATCGATTCTATCCATTTAGAAAATTTAGCTTCAGAAAACAAGTATTTTGTGTTGAAAACTTTGCAGTCTCGGTCTCGTCTCGAAATTCAGTAACGAGACCGAGACGAGACTAACACGCGTCTCAGAGTCTCGTCGAGAGTCTCGACTAAATGACTTTTCATAAGTAATTTCGTTAAATTTTTTTTGTAATAAAGTATCTCTAATTTTAATCATAATAGTTATTTATAGTTAAATAATCTAATAAAAATAGAGAACCTACAGTACATTTTGTTATTTCCAATCAATTATTTAGAGTAAAAATTTTATTTTTCTTCTCATTGAGAGGCTATTCTCTTTAGCAGGTTCAGTAGTAACTCGGCTTAGAAATTCATTAAAGATAAGTCGATCACATCACTTTTGTGCTTAAATTAAATTAAATTAAATAAATAATATAATTTTTATTTGCTTTATTCGAAGATAATTAAATCTAAAAAAATTATGACAAAAAATTCTAATAATTAAGTAGTTTTTAAAAATATTTTTATGTACTTTTTCGAAAACAATTGAATTTCTTAAAAGTGTTTTTTTATTATTTAAATAAATTCATGAATTTTAATGAAATATTTTGAACACAATTTTTATCTGCACTGCACACTGTACAAATTGTAAAATGTTAAAAATCATTCTAAAATGTTATTATTTTTTGTATGCATTTGAATTTTCGGAAATATATATAATTAAAAGTACTGAAAATAGTACATTTTAAAAAATTAGAAGCTAATTTTCATTAATTCTCATTTTTATATTTACGTTCAAAGATTTCTAAGTTTAAAGATTTCAATTATTTTGAAAATTTGCAATTAAAATTCTTCGAAAGTTGATTTTCAAAAATTTTATAAAATTTAAATTATTCAAAATCTTTTTAATTGTTTTACTTCGAAAATTTAAATAGAAAAATGATTCAAAAATAATTATTGAAAGATTTGTTTATAATTATTTTTCGCACTATAAAAATCGGAACGAGTTACATTTAATATTAAAAAATATGATATTTTGTTGCAATATTTGGAAGAAAATTCGACAAAGTCGCATTTTTTGAAAATATGTCGAAAAAATCCCAATTTACAGATTATACTTTTTAACATCTGAGATATTAAACCATATTATTGAAATTATATAAAACACCTAAAATCATACATTATTTTCCCTCATTTTTAAAAAACACTTATAAAAATTGTCATTTTTTTACTTTATTCGCAAACTTTGGAAAAATTTTAGTTTTTTGAAACTTAAAAATCTTTTTCTACCTATTGTTTCTCAGAGTTTTTAAACTTAGAAATTTTTTCATAAAAGATAACAAAATAAATTTTTCTTCTGAGAAAAATGAATATAGTTTGGAGTTTTTATTGAAACTAATGTATTATTTTCAAAATAAGTATATTTTACTAATTTTCAATAAAATTTGCGACGGATATTACAAAATTTACTCTGGAAATAACGTTTTTTAATAGTAAAATTTATTATTTTCGAAGTCAATTTTTTTAATATAAAAATTATTTAAATTTTCTTTGAACATTACAATTAGCTGTTAAATATTCCTATATTTTTTAAGAGCAAATTTTCCAATTTTTGAAATAAATTTTTCCAATTTTTATTAAAAAAAATTGTCTTTTAAAATAGTAAAAGCTATTCCAGAAATAAAAATTTTTAACAATAAATTTTACTAATTTTCTACTGAAATTTACTTTGATTAAGATTAATGGAATTTTTAAAACAAAAGTACAAGGTTGTAAAATAAATTTTTATGTTTAGCACTGAAATTACAATGAAAAAAAAATCACAGGACGCGAAATTTTTATAATTTTTTTCTACCCTGCTAAAAATAAAATCAGGAATAATAAGAAAACTTCAGAAAATTTGATGTTTTGTGACTACTTTGACGTTTTCTGAAGCTTTTGGTTAATTCTGACTAAAGGGTTTTTTATACTACTATTGAATCCTGATTATTATGGATTGTGATTATTTCTTATTGTGGGTCTGTTGTTATGAGCTTCGGGGGTCTCCAACCTGATTTTTATTGCTTAAAAGTTTTGCAATTTTAACATTTCAAGTAAAATGAATATAAATTAAGAATCTAAAAATCTCCACGATTACAAATATCTAAAATTAATTATAAAAAGCATTTTTTAAGGAAACTGTAATGTATCTCGAAAACCGTAATTGATAAATGAAAAAGAATATCATTTTTGAATTTAAGTTCTAAAGGATATATTGTATATAAATAATAAGAACATAACGTTAGAATTCTAAATCGATAAAAAATCCTCGTTTTTAAGAAAATTTTCTGGAAATTCAATTATTCTCTATTACTGGCTTCTTACCGAGTTGCACAATTACCTCTTGTATACTTATATTTTTATCTTCATTAAAAGTTCCTTATTTGTTATGTAAAATCGAAATAAGTTTTTATTAAATATTTTGGACAAAATAAAAACTTAAATATCAATTTTCTGTATTGAAAATTGTTTCTCCTTCCGCACTATTACTTTAAAAAATTACAAACATAACCTAAAAATTTGGGTGGAAAGTGTGAAAAGATTTGTCCTATTCTTTCACTCATAAAATTCTATCACTGTAAAAAAATCTGGTGTAAAATAACACGAAACTTGTAATTTCACACATCAAAATTATAGGTTGTATACGTAGTAAATTTATTTCGTTCCAATAGTTGTTTTACTATTTTTAATAATTTTACATTATACGACTATGTAATTTAATAGTTTTGTGTAAATTTACTACGTCCGACGTAGGAAAATTTGATCACTATGTCCGACGTGGTATTTTTACATTGCGTGTATTTCTACACTTTGATGTAATATTACGTCGCACGAACTGTACAATTACATGGCGAATGTAATTTTCTTATTCCTTTAAAATTTTCAAAAAAATTTCAAGTTTTTATAAATAACTCTAAAAAAGTGTATATAATGTACATTTATAGAAAGTATATGCTAATTTATAAGTAAATAATAATATTACAAAAAGTTTTGGGCTACATTTCATAAATACAAAAAGTTACGACTGAAAATATTTCAAAAAATATTTGCAGGTTATGTAGATTACAGTCGGCGTGTAAAAATACCACGTCGGACATAGTGACCAAACTTTCCAACGTCGGACATAGTAAATTTACACCAGATTTTTTTACAGTATACTTTCTTACACGCTTATTCCTACGTTACTGACTTTAAACATTAATATCCTTTCTTAAAAAAGACATGGAGTGGAAAGGTCGAATGTATCGAAAAGTATCGAAGTAAAGAATGGGCAATGAGAATGTAAAATCTTAATAGAAGGGTGTTTTTAATCCTTTCTTAAAAAAGACATGGAGTGGAAAGGTCGAATGTATCGAAAAGTATCGAAGTAAAGAATGGGCAATGAGAATGTAAAATCTTAATAGAAGGGTGTTTTTAAAATTGTTTGTACATGTGAAAGTGGCGCTGCAGTCGTATGTTATTTAAAAAGAGCGCGAATATATAAATTTTATTTTTGTTAAGAGAAAGTACTCATATTAAATCTTATTTTGCATTGTCAAAAAAAACGTCAACATTTTAAATATAAATAAGCAAATTATTAACTGAAAAAAATTGAATATTATTATTAATGAAATAATGGACTTGGACAATGGACATATAAAAACTAGCACCGAAGACGGCCGCTTGCGGCCGTCGGAGGAGCTAGTTTCAATAAAAAAAGCACTAATCATACAAATTTATTACCTTACTGTATCCAAAGATTGAGACGATTTTTTCTTTGTTGATTTTTGCAAAGCAGAAGCAAAACGGGTCGAGTTTGTTACACTTTCTCATCCCTGGTTTTTATGCTTGCGAATTAGGCTTTATTCACATGTGGACCTTGCATTCTCATGACGAGGTGTGATTTAGACTTAAAAGTTCAAGGTATGTACAGTATAGTAAACATAAACACAAACACTATACCTGTTTGACTGTTTACATGTTGTCATTTCGAAATTATCAATCGTTTAAACTAAAAAAATAAAAGAGTTGGTGGCTGTTTAAATGGAAATGTATATTAAATGTATTTAAAATCGTCTTTTCCTTGGATTTAAAAAGTTAGTGAGAATTTTTTTAAAACTTGAGTGAAATTTCTTTTTTGAAAATGTATTTAAAATTGTCTTTTCTTTGGATTTAAAAAATTAGTGGGGAAAATGTCAATTTTTCATTTTAGATGATAAGGTAATGTTCTTGTTAATATTTATAAAAATAATATGCACTGTAAAAAAATCTGGTGTAAAATAACACGAAACTTGTAATTTCACACATCAAAATTATAGGTTGTACGTAGTAAATTTATTTCGTTCCAAAAGTAGTTTTACTATTTTTAATAATTTTACATTATACGACTATGTAATTTAATAGTTTTGTGTAAATTTACTACGTCCGACGTAGGAAAATTTGATCACTATGTCCGACGTGGTATTTTTACATTGCGTGTATTTCTACACTTTGACGTAATATTACGTCGCACGATCTGTACAATTACATGGCGAATGTAATTTTCTTATTCCTTTAAGATTTTCAAAAAATTTTCAAGTTTTTATAAATAACTCTAAAAAAGTGTATATAATGTACATTTATAGAAAGTATATGCTAATTTATAAGTAAATAATAATATTACAAAAAGTTTTGGGCTATATTTCATAAATACAAAAAGTTACGACTGAAAATATTATTTCAAAAAATATTTGCAGGTTATGTAGATTACAGTCGGCGTGTAAAAATACCACGTCGGACATAGTGACCAAACTTTCCAACGTCGGACATAGTAAATTTACACCAGATTTTTTTACAGTGCGTGCATACATTTGAGAATACGAGCAAGAGAAGGTTAGTTTGTTAATTTTTAGGTTATATGTTCTTTGATATGTCCTTTTGCTCATTCTTAAAATTTACGATTCTACGATTATGCTGAAGCCTAAGTAGAAAAATAAGAATACTGATTTGAATTTTCTTTTAAGGGTCAGAATTTCCCAAACGGATCACCTAAATCTAAAAAATTTTCATTTTGAGCCAAAATATATTTGTTTTACTCCCCTACTAAAAATAAAATCAGGAATGGTCAGACAAATGGTCAGGCCGCCTGACCACTTTAATCCAGTTTTCTTACGATTCTGGATGGATCTCGTCAGAAATCTATCACAACTGATCAGGAGGAAGTTTAAAGTGGTCACAAGTTTGCTACTATCCCCTCCTCTTTGTTGACCCCGCCCATAATTGGTGACTATTTGAGACCATTTGTATCTCATTTTTGACCATATTTTTAAGCCACTTCTGTTTTATTTATTTAAACAATATGCAAAAAGTTGCAACAAATTAATTTTAAAAAATATATTTTATTAATTAATATCAGTTTGTTTACATACGGAACAACTTGAAACTAATTCCCGGAATTAAATTAAAATTTGGACCCTACGGGGATCGAACCCCGACGCATGACCTATCTAGTGCCTAAACTAACTGCCCTAACGACTGCGACTACCGAGGTCTATTAAGTTGGCACCACTACTTTTATATTTTGAGTTATCAACTATGTCACAATTTAGGGCTCAAATAGGGCTCTTTAACGCTCAAAAATCAAAATTTGTCGCTCCTCATTTTTAAAAAAAAAACTTTGATTCTGCTAGCTTAACGTTAAGTTGGCATAAATTACTCTATAACTTCAATAAACAATTACAAATCAAAAAAATTTTAACGCTATAATTTAGGGCTCATTTAGGGCTCTCCGATAGACAAAGAACAAACTTCTTAAAAATACTCTTTGTCTAAAAAATTGCCCATCCACATTTTTTTTTAATAAAACCTTGTTTTTGCTAACTTAACGTTAAGCTAGCACAAATTACTTTATAACTTGAATAAATAATTACATATCAAAAAAATTTTAACGCTATAATTTAAGGCTCATTTAGGGCTCTCCAAAGGGTAAAGAACGAACCTCCCAAAAACTACCCTTAAACTTAAAAAATTACCTTAACTACTTTTTTATATTTAAAAAATTTTTAAAAAATGACCTTTTTTATCTAATTAATTTTTCCAGCCTTAAAAATTTATTAAATACTATTTTTATTTGTAGTTAGAAACTCTGAATCTAAAAATCACTCTCAAAACATTTATTTAAAATAAAGGACGTTAATGTTACCTCATCATTTTTCTGGGGCCATATACGCTCTTAAATTATATGAAACTAATTAATAATCAAACATTTTTTAACACTATAATTTTAGGCACATTTAGAACTCTTCAATTAATTAAAAAACAATTTCCTAAAAATACCCTTTGCCTAAAAAATCTTCGCACCCCCATTTAAAAAAAATACCTCGTTTTTGCTTGCTCAACTTTAAGTTGACACAAATTATTCTGTTACTTCAATAAATAATTATAAATCAAACAAATTTTAACGCTATTATTTAGAGCTTATTTAGAGCTAATTTAGGGCTCTTTGATGTATGGAGAACGAACTTCCGAAAATACTCTTTGTCTGAAAAATTGCTTATCCACATTTTTTTTAATTAAACCTTGTTTTTGCTAACTTAACCTTAAGCTAGCACAAATTACTCTCTCACTTTAATAAATAATTACATATTTATTAAACAATATTGTTCTGTAAAATCTCTAAAAGTTAACTACCATATCTAAGAAGCTTTCAGTGAACTTGTTGCTGTTACAACCAACATAAGTAAAAATTAATGAGTGTTAGCTATCACAATTAACATTTTTTATTCTTAGCTATGCCTATTATAATAAACCATATGTTAGCTGCGATGGCTAACTTTTTCTACGTATGAGTTGTTTTACCTTTCATTTTTTGAAAAATCACTGTGCTTTTTTTAAAAATGTATTATTATATTTTTTTGTATACTTATTTGTCAAAATTGTTTATAAAATCTTTCACTGAAAAAATATTTATTTGATTCAAATAATTCAAATTATTTGAAAAATATTTAATTATTATTATTATTTTTTTTTTAATTGATTTTTAGATTCAGAGTTTCTAACTACAAATAAAAATAGTATTTAATAAATTTTTAAGGCTGGAAAAATTAATTAGATAAAAAAGGTCATTTTTTAAAAATTTTTTAAATATAAAAAAGTAGTTAAGGTAATTTTTTAAGTTTAAGGGTAGTTTTTGGGAGGTTCGTTCTTTACCCTTTGGAGAGCCCTAAATGAGCCTAAATAATTAATTTATTAATTTAATTGAAAATAAAGTTGAGGGCATTTTATGAAATCCACGAGGGCACCGCGTGGAAAATCCATATGGAATCCATGAGGATTTTCCTCGAGGGCACCCATGAGGGAAAGCATGTCACGCCTTCGAGGGCTCCGCGTGGATTGCCATTATGGATTCCACATGGCAAGAGGGCAATCCACGAGGGCCCCGCCGGGGGCCCTCACCATTTTTCTGCACGGGTATACATTATATAAATATATTAAATAATCCCGTGCAGAAAAATGGTGAGGGCCCCCGGCGGGGCCCTCGTGGATTGCCCTCTTGCCATGTGGAATCCATAATGGCAATCCACGCGGAGCCCTCGAAGGCGTGACATGCTTTCCCTCATGGGTGCCCTCGAGGAAAATCCTCATGGATTCCATATGGATTTTCCACGCGGTGCCCTCGTGGATTTCATAAAATGCCCTCAACTTTATTTTCAATTAAATTAATAAATTAATTATTTATTAATAACAAATTTGTCCAATTATTCATAAATAACATTCTTATTTAACAATTTTTACTTTTTTTAATTAAATCGTGACAAAAAAAAAAAAAAAAATCTGACGCACACGGGAATTGAGCCTACGACCTACTGACTACCAGACAACACTCTTACCACTATGCTACGGGACCTACTTGAAAATTATTGCTTTAATGTAGGTGACTTGCTGACTTGCTTTTGATGATTCAATAAATTATTTATTAACACTAATACACCATGACAAATAATTAAATAGTTTAATAATAATAATAACAATATCAATAATATAATAATAGACCATAAATATTCATAAATTAATATTTTTATAATTTCAAAAAAAAAAAAAATGTCAAAACATATGTGTTAAAAACGCGTTTTTCATAGTTTAAAATCATTATAAACATTAATTTTTGTATGTAAAAAAAAATTTTTTTTTTGGGCTTAGAAATTTTTTCTAGTTAATGATGTGGGCAATCCATGAGGGCCCTCGCGTGGGCCCTCATGGATTTGCCCTTAGGTAAGTTCAATATTTTCAAAAAAAGTAACATTAAATATTTGTTAAAAACGTGTTTTTCTTTTTTTAAAATGATAGTAAACAATAATTTTTTGTTGTAAAAAAAATTTGTCGTTTGGACTTAGAAAAATTGTTGAGCAGGGCATTCATAATGGCTAAGAGCAGGGGCCATGCTGGTGCCCTCGTAAATTTCCATAACTTTGTGACAGGATTTCTGGAAAAATGTCACTTAATGTTTATTTCAGGTGCTTTGAAACGTAATTTAATGCATTCTGAACTAAAGTTTTTCAACAAAAAATTTTTTTTTTTAAAACTTAGATAAATTTTTGAGCAGGGCAACCGTAAGGGCAAAGAACGGGGCCCCTACTGGTGCCCTCGTGGATTTCTCCTCATGGATCTTCCACGAGGGCCCCCGACAGGGGCCCCGGAGCTGTGGGGCTCAAACGTGGCTTTTTCCACACGGGATGTTAAAAGAATGGTCCGAATGTTTTGATTTATTTACCTACTTTTGCTGTATAATTAATTCAATAATTATACCAATTTGAAAAATGAGAACTTTTGTCAAGTTAAAAGAACAATTTTTATAATAGAATAATGTATTCTGAAATGTAAAAAATAAATTTGAAAGATTTTATATGTATAGTATATAAATTTTCATGAGACTTTACCAAAATTAGAAAGATGTACCAAAATTTTTATAGGTTATGTGTTCACACATTTCAGAAATAGTCAAGAATTTCAGAAATGGTCACAGCTTCGAAAATGGTGGGAGTAAAGTGGGAGGAGCTTGGAAAGTATTTGGTTAGGAATGGTGAGAAACGTTCGAAAACGTCAGAAGTGGTGAGACTGTTCAGGAATGTTCAGAAATTCTGACCATTCATGACGATTCCTGATTTTATTTTTAGTAGGGTCTTAATGTGGTTAAGAATAATCCCTGAAAATATTAAGCCAACAAATTTTTTTTGTAAAAGTTATTAACAATTGAGTTTTTAGTACTGCTAAATTAAAAAATTTTTTTTTTAGTTCCAGTTGACGGATTTAAAAATCAAAATATGTATTATTTTCGCCTTGAATTGCACTATTTGAATATTTTCCTTTAGTTTTTTTAATTTTTTATATTATTTGTTTATAAAATGTTAATAAAGAAATATGTTCTTCACGTCCTAACAAAAAATTAAAATTGTATTATATATTCTTTAAATGTCTCCGAGTATGAAACTTAAATTAAAGGAGATAAAATTTATAACAGATTCCTCTAAACCGATTTTTGAATTTTTATTTGTTTATATTTTTTTGTTACTCAAAGTTAACAATTTACAATATTTTTAGAAAAATCATGTTTATTTTTTTATTTTTCCATTGCACATGATCGAAATCAATTTAAATTAGTCTAGTATGTGTACCAGATAAATAATAATATGCATAATGCAATTTATTTAAATTGTTGAAAACAATATTAATTAACAAATAGATAACTTTGGTCATTGTTCATAAAACAATTGTTTTTTTGCAAACAAAATGTTTATGTAAGTAATTTATGCTTATTTTGCTAAAAAATTATTTTGAATTTAATAAATTATTTACTTAAATTACCCCCCCCCCCCCGTTACCCCCATTCCATCTTTTCTAATACTTAGGTCAATCATTTTTATTATTTAATTAACATTTATATTTTTTATTTAAATAATTAAATAATTGTTATTTTACATATATACTTACATTTAATTAATACTTAACACAAATACAACAAATATACCTTGAAAGAAAATTTTCCACGGTCGGAGGAATTGAACTCGGGTTGCACGCACCAGAAGCCGTCACGCTACCACTATGCCATCCTAACCTCAATGGACAGTTTCCAAAAACTGATATTTAAGTTGCATATACATTTGAAGAAAAATATTTTCTTGGATCAAGAACACCGCCATTGTGTTAAGTAAAAAAAAGTTTCAAAGCAAATAAATAAAATGATTCGATTCAAGAAACATGAATTCTCCACACAATACTTTATTATTTCGCTTAAGAACATGATATTCTAGATTCAATACTTTTTGGTACTTCGGAAAAGTAAAATATTTGGTTGAAATAATAACATATTTAGTTCCGCCAAATACTAAATTGTTAATTCAAGAATTCTGTTCAATGCTAATAATTACTTGACACAAGAAAATGAATTTCTTTCTTCAAATAAATATGGGATTAATTGAATGTAATTTTTAATCAACTTGAAACAAATATTTACTTATATTAACCTTCGTATTTTCTTGAATCAGGATTATATGAGCGTTGAATTAAGTAAAAGCTTTTTTAAAGGAAACAAAAGAATGATTTGATTTAAAAATTTTATGACTAATTCAACTAAAAAATAAATTTTTTAATTCAAGAGAAATATAATATTATTTTAAGAAATTAAATGTTCTTGAAACATGAGAATATAGAAATGCTTAAAGTAAAAGAAATGCTTAGATTAATTAATATTTCTTTGGAACAAAATAATTTTTAATTGAGTTGAAACAATTATTAACTTGTATTAATCTTCTCATTTTCTTGGCTCAAGACTATGGGTGTTGGATGAAATAAATAGTTCCTTTAAAGGAAATAAAAAAATTATTTGACTCAAGATACCAAATGACTCAAGGTAAATTACTTGACGTGAGAACATGATATTCTTGATTCAATACTTTTTCGAGACTTGGCGCATGTAAAACAGTTCGTTTGAAACAGTAAGATATTTACTTATGTCAAACCCATATTTTCTTATTTCAATAACTTTGATCAATGCTCAAAATTACTTGACACAAGAAAATAAATTTCTTCCAATAAGAAAATATGGGTTTGTTTCAAGTAAATCAGGTCAAGAAAATGCATTTACTTGATTCAATGAACTTTTTTTTCAGTGTACTATCAGAATAAAATAAAATTTTTAAAAGTATTAATTAATTTAATTTCATAAATAATTAATGTAAATTCCCTTGCAGAAAAAAGTATAAACAACCTGATCAGTGGGGTCCAAATGTGACCCTGATAAGGCCCTGATGTGGTTTTTTTAAATATTTCTGTCTAAAATTATTATTTATCATTTTAATAATGGAAAAAAATTTAATTTTAAAATAATAATAGCAAATTGTTTGTTTTTGTTTTCAAATATTATTTTAAATAATACAAAATTATTGTTTAAACTCATATTTAAAAACAAATATTTTTTTGTTATTAAAATCTGTAGGTAATAATTTTATATTATTTAAAATAATATTTTTAAATAAAAACAAAGAATTTTTTGTTATTAAAATGTATAAGTATAGGCAGAGGGTTAAAACTATATAAGAAATTAAAATTCGTTGAGGAAATTTATGACCAATTCTATACTAAAAAACGACTTGCATAAATCGATATTCGGTCAAATTAGATTTCTGGCAAATTGAAACTCGATAAACTTGACTTTCTGTCAAATATTATAATTCGAACGAATAAATATTCTACTAAATTAAAATTCTTTCTAATAAATTAATATTCTTTAGAATTTCTATTCAGTTTAATTTAAATTCTGGGAAACATCTTTTCTCAACAATTAAAATTCAATCATATTTAATTTGTGACTACTCATTACTATTCTTACGAATAAAAATTCTACAACATTGATAATCGATTTAATGGAAATTCTTCCAAGCTCACGTTCTAAGAATTTAATATTCTGTTACAATTATATTCTAGAGAATAAAATTCTATGAAATAAAAATCCGTATTTCTAAAAAAATTCACAAAAACAGTGTTCTTTTCCCAATGAAACCCTTACACCGCCCCCCCCCCCCCTCTTAATACCTACAGAATAGAAAAAATTTTATTTATGGTAAGTAGCAACACCTAATATTTAATAGTTAATTAGTTATCGTCTTTTAATCCTTTAATGGCTAGTGGTACACATACGTATCACCTACTTCAAAAAATCATAACTTTCTTAAAACTTAACGCATCCACTCAGCTAAGGTCTCATTTTGAAGGAGGGAGCGAGAGTAACAAATACATATGCATGTAATTTTTTTAAAAAAACTACCCTTTTTGAAATACACCCCTTCAAAAAACGAAAGAAATGACAAAAATTAAAAAAGGTATAAATTTAAAAAAAAAAAATTTCGGCTTCCACAGTAACATACACTACCGTCCGCAAGCCGTGTTTGATGTCATTTCGTTAACTATTTGTTGAGTTGTGAAGTGAGAAGGAAATAAAATAAATTATCAAATTTTCTCATTTTTGTCTCTTGACTTCAACTTTTTCAAAAATCTAAAAAAATTTAGATAACACTTTTTCTTACAACGTATCCCCCTCGTCCATATTTTTACTTTGGGGCCTGACCCAATATTCCTTATGTCCATACTCATATATTTAAATCTAGTTTTTGACATTTTCAATTAAGTAATAACTGATATTTAATGATTTTCCAGAGAAATTAACAAACTCTTTGTTTACAGATTTCCTCAATTTCGATGTCGAGAAGTTTGATCCAATTCAATAATCCAAAATAAATCTCAAGGGAAATAAAGTGTGACAATGTCGTCGATAGAAATTCAGTCTTTGCAAAATGCATGCTTCTCTGGTGATGAGTCGTCAGTAAGAAATATTCTTTCTCAAAACAATTTTAATGATTACCTCGCATCCTCTTCTGGTTATTCACTGCTTTGTAGTATGCTTAAAAATGCTATTTATTCATCACAACGTCGTGACGAATTACAAGCAGAGGACGCAATGTACAAACAACATTTAGCCAAGTTCCTCGAAATTTCAAAACTTCTTTTGCAACATCCTGTGAAAGTAAATAACGTAACTCAAGATTACGATCAGACTCCACTTCATTTTGCGGTACAAAATGGAAATGTGGAAATCGTGAAAATTTTACTGGAAAAAGGAGCACTTATTAATGCAAGAAATAATGAGTTAGATTCACCTCTACATCTTGCTGTTTCAGAAAGAAACAATCTTTCTGAAAGTGTTATTAAACTTTTACTTGAAAATGGGGCTGATATGAAAATTTGTAATCAGTTTTCTAAAACATCTCATGATGTGTGTGTTAATGCAAGTGTTAAACGTATTTTATCACAGCATGAAATAAAAATGCTTCTTGATAGTGGTGGGGATATTGAGGAAAAAGATTTTAGTGGTTATACAGCGTTACACAGAGCGGTGGAAGGTGAGAGTTATGATCTTGTGGAATTTCTACTATCGAGAGGATCTGACGTGAATGCTAAGACAGAGTTTGATGAAACACCTCTACATCTTGCTAGCCAAATTCGTCATAAAGAAATTTCGCTTCTTCTTTTACGCGCAGGTGCAGACGTTAACGCTGTCACTGATACAAATGATACTGCATTACACTTGGTAGCCAAACATTTATCCGATGAAGACGATGCCGAATTTCTAAAGATGCTTGTAAATAACGGTGCTGATTTAACAGCTATAAATGATGATGGCCTGATTCCTTTGAATTACGCCATTGAAATTCTAGCTTTGACTGAATCTACAATTCTTCTGGGTGAAAAACCAGATACTTGCGATATGACTCTAAAACTGGCTTTTTGCCTTTCCTTTCTGGGTTCCTATTATGAAACATTACCTGATCTTAAAATTCCCAAAGACCGAAGTCATAAATGTATAAGCCAGTTAATTAGTGAATTATTTTATAATAAGGGTTTCATTATTAATATCGAAGACATAAAAAATATGTCAATTCCAGAGCATTTGACATTAGTCTCTCTAGATCATTCAACGCTGATAGAACATAGAAACATTGTGCAAAGTCTTTTAAATAAAGAAGATACATCCTGTGATGAAAAAATGAGGCAAGAATTTCTTGAATATCATATATTAATAGGCGCCATTAAGTACGGATTTACGGATATTTTTTACAATTTCTTACCGAATGTTTGTAACGTAAATACTTGTTTAATTGATGGTTTTACATTACTGCATCATGCTTGTAGAGGAGGATGCTCAATTATTGTCAAAGAACTTTTGGCACGTGGTGCTAATGTGAATGTAAATAGAGGCAGAAATAAATTTTCACCCCTTCATGTATCAGTGAAATACAGTTGCTTAGAAATAACTAAAATTTTACTAACTAAAAATGCCAATATCAATTCTTGCAGTAGGAAAAATGAAACCCCACTTTGCATCGCAGTTTATATCGATAGTTTCGAATGCATTCAATTACTTCTAGAAGCTGGCGCCAACGTTAATTGTATTAATTTCGAAAACCACTCTCCACTTTACTATGCTAGCGTTTCCAATAAAGACATGAATATTACAAAACTGCTTCTGCACTATGGTGCCACTTACTGTCCTGGGGAAACAGAAATTATGTCTAAATTTTCAAGATCTCCGTTAGAAAACGATGAAACGATTGATTTGGCATCTGATCACAGCGTATATTTAAACTTAGATCGCAATTATCCTAAATATCCTAACGAACTTGAAGAAATGAAAAAAACGAAAATTAGTGAAACTGCTGTGACAATGTACGATCTCCTAACTATGTCACATAGACGACTTTCTATTTTAATGCGAAATAACGATTTTCTCGACTTTATAAATTCATTTGATTTTAAAACTTCATTTCCGAATTTTGCCCGTAGATTTGAAGTCCGTCTGAATAAAGCAAAACTTGAGAAGCGATTAATAGAATTAAGTTACGACTGTTTTCGAATTATTGTAAAATTTCAATTACCCATTCTCGTTTTAAACGAAATTATATCGTACATTGACACTGCAGATTTACATCGATTTGTAATCGCTTCACCAATTAAATCAGAAACGAAAAAAGCAGTGCATTTCCATTGTTCCGAATAGATTAAAAGTTTAATTCACATTTCTAATTTTCGAATCAAGAACAATGCACTTATTTCAAACAGTTTATATTTGATGTAATGTAAAAAAATTTTGTATCAGTTTATGTACTGAAGTTTTTATTTCATGACAATATATAGATTTAAAATATTTATTGTAAATTGTAACAAACATTAAAATACATAAATATCTTAAGTTAGAGTAATAAAAATGTAACCAATGTACAAATTAACTGGGTTATTTGTACCTGAAAAGATAAAGCATGTAAAAAAGCAACGTGAAATTTAACAATTATAAATTAAAAATTTTAGAATAAAAAAATTAATAAAAATAAAAAAAATTTGTTAAAGTCGTTAAATGAACTTATTATATTTTCAAACAATTGTCATAAGTGTCCAATAAATTATAACATAAAAAAATTTAAACAATATACAATTAAAAGATTTTTCAATTTTGATAAATTAGAAAACAAAAAAATTCAATTATTAAAGTTGTACAGAATGTACTAATTAAGATCAAAGAAATGTACAATTAAATATGTCATCAGTTATTTAAAATTGAAGTATTGTACAATTGAAAAATTAATCAGAACCTTCTGAATGACATAAAAAAATTAATAGTAAATTAGTTTTATATTTAGTATTTCTCTTCATTATTATTGACCAAATCTTTGAATAATAATAGGACCATAATTTGTATCTTGCAACAAGAGAATCTTCTTCTCCTTCTGCATTTCTGAAATTTTACAATTTTCGAACTTATTTGATTATAAATTTTTCTTATTATTTTGAATATCATTTGAATGTTATAAATATATTTAAATAACACTGTATGACAGGAAATAATTACTTTAAATCGGACCTATCCTAACGTGTTCAGTTTTTAGGAACTAAAAAATTTTATAATCAGGGTTTCAGGATTAATATCGAAGACATAAATAATAATAAAAAATATGTCTACTTTCTATTTTAATACGAAATGAAAAATTTCTCGACTTTTTAAATTCATTTAATTTCAAATCATCATTTCCGAATTTTGCCCGTCGATTTGAAGTGCGTGTAAATAAAGCAGAACTTGAGAAGCGATTAATAGAATTAAGTTTCGACTATTTTCAAACTATAGTAAAATTTCAATTACCCATGTTTTGAATTCTGAAATTTTAAAATTGTAAATAATTTACATAATATTTATAATTATTTAAAACCAACTGAAGTTCAATTATTTGAAATAAATCCAATTTAAAAACCTTAAGAACGTCAATTATTTTATAAAAATACAATTTAAAAACCGCTTGTAAAATTTGATTAATTACGGAATATGTAACTGCAACTTTTCTAGAATCAATTATTTTCATATTTTAATAATTTTTAATAATTTACGATTTTTATAAAATTTACAAAAAGAAATCAATTATTTAAAAAAATCTTCGCAGGAATTCAATTTTTTTTATGATTAATAAAAATTTCTCAGGAAATCAATTATTTATATTAGAATTTGCATAAAATTAATACACAGAGATCAATTGTTTAAAAATTCTTGTAAAATTCTTCGTAAGAATTAAATTAATTTTATAAATATATTTAAATTCTTTCAAAAATTTCAAAATTTTTCACATAAATTTAATTCTTTTTAAACATTCCAATAAAATTTTTCGCAATAATTCAATTATTTTAATAAATAATAAAATTCTTTTCAGGAATTGAATTATTTTTGAAAATTTTAATAAAATTCATCGAAGGATTTGAATTATTTTTAATATTAATTTACAGGAATTTCGCGAAATATGTTATAACTCTTGAAAATTTAATTTTAATTCCTCAATTATATTTAAAAAATTTTTTTTTCAAATTCTTTGGAAGAGTTCAATTATTTACATAAATAATTCTTCGAAAGAATTCAATTATGTCGACGAATAACAAAATTATTTCCAAAAATTCAATTATTTTAAAAAATTCTAATAAAATCGTTCGCAAGAATTCAATTATTTTCATAAATAATATAATGCTTTTCAGGAATTCAATTATTTTCAAAAAAATTTAATAAAATACCACACAGACATTCAATTATTTTCAAAAAGTTTAAGATAATTCTCTGTAAAATTTAATTATTTTTAAAAACTTTTCGCAATTGAATGCTTTTCAATTTCTACTGTTTTCATAAAATTTTCAAACAGAATTCAATTATTCAAACAATTTTTTGTAAAAATCTTCAGAGCTCGGATCGTCTTTAAGACTCAAAAAATGTCGCTTTGATCACATAAATTTACAACAAAAGTCACGAAAAGTCGCATAAAATTTCCAAGAAAAGTCGCAGAAATTAAATTATTTTCAAAATTTTTTTTAAATTTCTCGTTAAAATTTTTATTATTTTTATAAATAATAAAATTCATTCTGGAAATTTAATTATTTTCAAAAGTTCTGATAAAATTTTCTGCAAAATTCAATTGTCTTCAAAAGTAAAAAAATTCTTCACAGAAATTCAATTATTTTCAAAAAATTTTTTTTTAATTCTCTTCAAAATTTCAATTATCTTTCTAAATATCAACATTCTTTTGCAAAATTCAATTACTTACTAATGTTTTATAAATTTCTTCCCAATAATTCAATTATTTGCATAAAAAATAATTTAAAATGTTTTTTTATAAAGTCTTTTAATATAAATTAATTATTTTATCACTCAGTCATCTTTAATTAGTATAAAACATGAAGACATCGATTGCTCCGAGTCGAAGACTCGGAGTGATCGATTTCTTCATGTTTTATAATAATTTTTTATAAGTTGTTTAATTTCAAAAAGGTTTGAATTTGAATCTTTTGAAGAATTTTAATTCCTATGGAAAAATGATAATTAAATATTTATTTTAAAAAAGAAGTTATTGATGTTTTTGAATAATTTTACAATTAGAGAAATTTGTAAATAAATGTAATAGAACATTTTTTTGACTCAAACTGTTTCCTTTAAATTTAAAAAAAAAATTAAATTTCATTCGCATTTTACTAAAAAAAAAAGTCAAGAAAGTCGATTATTCGCATTTTTTCACAAAAAAGTCGAAAAAGTCGCACAATCCGAGCCCTGAATCTTCTTAAGAATTCAATTATTTTCATGAATAATAAAAATTTCTCAAGAATTCAATTATTTGAATTAGAATTTACATACAATTAGTCGGGAGAAATTAATTATTTAAAAATTTTTAGAAAATTCTTGACAAAAATTAAATTATTTTTATAAATATTTAAATTCTTTCATGAACAATAAAATTCGTTGTAGAAATTCAGTTTGTTAACAGGATAAGAAAGAAGTAAATATTTTTGATGAAAATTAAAAAAAAATTCAGGTATATAAAATATAGAATGAAATTTTTGTCAGTTTTGTGACGTGTCTAAAACCAGTTTTTTTGGTCGTCAAGTTTAATTTTTTCGATAGCCACTTTTTTACTACTACCTTTTACTACTTTTTTTAAAAATTAATTATCGAGTGCAATATTACGTGGTTTCTATAGATGAATTAATAATAATAGTTGAAACTGAAAATACAGTACCGTTGCTATAGAAGTGATGAATATCTCCAGAATGGCTTGAATGATTTCAACATAATTACTACTAAAATAATTAGTACTATAATAATTAGTATAAAAAATTATACTAAATTATAAAAAAAAATTATACATAATTAGTAATAAAAATAAAGAAAGAAACCTAATATTTTATCAGTGTGATGACGAAAAATGGTAAAGAAAAAAGTTTTCCTTTCATCATTGCCTTTTTTATACAAGTTTTTGCAGAGACATATAAACTGAATAAAATTTAATTTAATATTTATACACAAGTATGTTTGAAAGATGCATATTTTTGAATATTATTGTTAATTGTATGTTTAAAAATATTATCAGTGTATTTGAAATAACATAATTTGGCTAATATATAGAGCGATAACGAGATAAGAGAAAAATTAATTAATGGTAATTAATTAATTAGTTAATCATACAATTATTTGTTTTTCATAACTTGAATAAATATCAAACATTCACATTGAATCCACCATTTTGGAGAAGATTATAAAATAGATAAAAGAAGGAAAAACAATTTTTTCCTCCGCATTTTTACGTCAGTAACAAAATATTACGTTTGTTTTATTTCATTTCGTTAGTATAAAAGGCTCCTCACACTGCAAAGATCTCGAATTCACTCGAATTTTTCTGAGAATATTATCTATTTTGTTATACTCACAGTGACGGTATAGTGCTTTTTATATGGTTTCGCAATAATTATTTTCCCCCACAACACCGAAAATTTTCTACAAATTTATATAATATTTATATATATTCAAATATATAAATATATATATATATATATATGGGCAATTCCACGTGAGATTTTAGTCGACCTCTTAAAATTCGCCAAAAATATTTTTTTTCTATTCTGCATCGAAAAAAAACAGATACGTATTTTTTTATTTTTGTTTAATTGTCCAAATTTTCGAGTTATGAATTTTCGAAATTTTGGACTTTTAATTGTAGACCTATATTCTGTAGCTTATAAGTCCGAAAATATTGAGTTTAGAAAAAAGTTGTCAAAGAATGAAAGTTGTAGTTTTCTTTCGACTTTTAAGAAATGTAAACAAAAAATTTTTTTTTAATTGTTTATTAAAAAAAAATTTTTTTTTATAAACAAATTAATTTTTTTTAACTTTGGGCCGGATTTTTTTTTTTATTTTTTTGTACCTTATAATATAGAGAAGATTTTCCAAAAAGTCCCGAAATGGGCCTGATGTGTTAAATGAGTTTTAAAACATTTTCAAAAATCACTTGCAAGCATCACAGAGGGATTTTTTTTACAATTAACTTTTTAAAACTATCTACAGCGTAGACCCTTTAATTTAAAACAAAGAACACTCAAATAGATTAAAAATTATACGCTGTAGACAGTTTTAAAAAGTTAATTATAAAAAAATCCCTCTGTGATGCTTGCAAGTGATTTTTGAAAATGTTTTAAAACTCATTTAACACATCAGGCCCATTTTGGGACTTTTTGGAAAATCTTCTCTATATTATAAGGTATAAATAAATTTAAAAAAAATAAAAAAAAATCCGGCCTAAAGTTAAAAAAAATTAATTTATTTATAAAAAAAAAATTTTTTTTAATAAAAAATTTAAAAAAAAATTTTTTGTTTACATTTCTTAAAAGTCGAAAGAAAACTACAACTTTCATTCTTTGACAATTTTTTTCTAAACTCAATATTTTCGGACTTATAAGCTACTGAATATAGGTCTACAATTAAAAGTCCAAAATTTCGAAAATTCATAACTCGAAAATTTGGACAATTAAACAAAAATAAAAAAATACGTATCTGTTTTTTTTCGATACAGAATAGAAAAAAAATATTTTTGGCCGATTTTAAGAGGTCGACTAAAATCTCACGTGGAATTGCCCATATATATATATTAAATATTTAGGTACACTTTCAATGTCTGGAATATTTAAATGCAAAGTTTAGAGAAAATTGTGTATAAAGATTTAAATTTCCCGATTAAATAAATGTTTAAGGTCAGAATTTCCTGAAAATTTAAATACATTATAGCTGAAAATTTAGCGTGAAACGAATATAGAATTACTAATTAATTTATTAATTATTAATTTTTAAATTAATTAATTACTAATTATTAGAATTATTAATTTATTAATTAATTAGAAAATTTAATTTAGATATTCCGGAAAGTTTCACTATGAGCATTTATTTAAATCTTCATGCAATTTGCATTTTTAAATACTTCAAACATTGCAAATAAATATTTAATAAATTTTCTGTGCTGTGGAAATTCGTTTATCTGGGATATGTATATAAATGTTTTTTAACTATATACATTTAAAAATAAAAAGTTTTAAATAAGTAAAATTTATATCATTAATAATATTTTCAGGAAGGTAGTTAAAAATGAGGGGACACACGTTTATATTTATGCTATTAGCAGCAGTATTAGTATTGTTGAGCAGTGTTGCGTCGCAGCCACCTCCAACTCCTGCACCAACACCTGGACCCTCACCCGGACCATGGTGTCTCCGAAGTGGCAGTCGATGTAGAATAGGTGACGGAGGAAGAACTTGCTGCTCAGGACAATGTTTGCAGAGTCCTTGGCAACGAATTGGAGTGTG